TTTCAGGAGATGTTCGTCGGTAAAGAGAGAAGTTGACAGGTGCTGCTGTCCCGGAACTTCTCTCGTCGTTGGAAGTAACTTTACGAGGCTTTTACCAGCCATACGATACAGTATTTTACAAGCAATAAGAACGTCTAGGAAAGTTTCGAGCTTCGTGCTAGGATCTAGACAAGATTTCTCGATGCCGCTATCGTATTTAACCCTTCAGCCGTGAACGACCCGTGCGAGCGTCGTGGATCGAATCTCGACGATTTATCTTCGGATTACTAACCAAATTATTTATTCCTCGGCCGATTGTGCCCATAGAGAGCGCTATTCTGTCCATCGAGTATCTCGACGTTATCGATCTTCCGTTCGTTTTCTTTTTGTTTCTGAAAACTTTGCTAGTCACGGTAAGTTGTTGTCCGGTAGCTGGATTATCCGGTCGAATCGCGTTGTTCGTGTCATACCGTAAATACGTAAGCGTATCGATAGCTCTTGCTGCTCGTAAATCACTGGATTCGTAGGCATTCGTAAATTAGTCTATCGACCACGATATCGGAAATACAGAAAATCTTTTACCGAACGTCGCGTATTTGTCTCGTCGAGTTTTAAATCGCGCTACAACCGATATCATCGTCGTCGGATCGTATGCGGGTATATTCCCGCTTCCGAACGAGTCATTTTCAAATTCTCTTTAACGAAAAAACGAATTTCATAGCGCCGATCGACGTAACGACTTGCGACTGATAACCAACGAAAAGAAAAAGAGGTCAGAATCGCGCGTCGAATTCCCGAATGCCGACTAGAAACGATAAATCGTGGCATTGTCTTCGTACGTTGAAAAGCCATTATCGAGTGCCATTATTCGCACGGCTAAATGGCTTCGTTTCGAATCTCCCCGTGGTCCGCGGTAGAGGAGGGCCGCGTTCGCTATCTGACGATTCGATACCTGCGAAATACCGCCGAGGAAATTTCGCGTTCCCTGAATCGTTAAGCTTCGCCAGTTTCCACCCGAATCGACCGAACTCTAAATTCCAACTCTGTCAATTTCACGCTATCGACGGACGTTAACGGGCTCCCGCTCGTTTCTGCCCGACACTGAGAATCGAGATTTAATTAAAATTCATGATATCGTTATTGCGAGCTGCAATATTTCCGCCCGATTCGTTCCGGTCCGTGAAGAACTTATCCGTGCCGATTTCCCACGTTTCTTTCTCTCTCTCTTACGAGAGAGAGAGAGGGAGAATGAACGAAAATAAACGTTACGTCACGAGTTTCGTTGGGAATTCGAAACTCTGGAATCTCGACGGTTTTCGTTAATGCTGATACCACGAGATGCTATAGACTCTAATTCCACGCGTTCCAAGAGTTTCGCTGCTGCCACGCGTACCAACCAACGGGGATGACTGATGCTTCGTGACGACTACGAAACGTCAACCAAACACCAGCCATCGCATCGTTTTCAACGAGCAAAGCATTAACCGTAATGAACGACTCGCTAAATCGGGAAATTGATCCATCCCTTAACCGAAGCACGGTTCCCCTCAAATTCTGTACGTTCTTGTACACGAATCAATTCTTTCGTATTAGTTTTCGACGCGAAATCCGCTTTCGCTCTCCTATTGTTGCGTCGAAGCTGCCATATCCGACTGAGACCACATAAGCGGAGATAACGGTAAATTGACGTCGGTATGGCGGATGATCCCCATTTCCTGCGAATTTTCCGCTATTATACCTTCAAATTTGCATATTTGTTAATGACGGTATACCGTTGCGACGTCGTGAAAAGCTGTCCTTAGGATGAAACTGAATCCTCGCCGGTCGCGTTCACCTTCCTGGAGAAAAGGGTTAACCAAGATAACCGTGCGCGAATTACGCGGGCTTTTATGCGTGTTGCTCCTAACGATGTCTCTTAAAAGCATGAAAGACGGTGTTAAAGACCATTCGTGTTCCCATTCGAGCGGAATATCTTCGTTAACGAAGCTTTTACTCCAAGCACAGTGCGACTCACCGTTTCGTTGCACGAACTTTAATCGAGTGTTTTAATCGACGTACGACCCACGGTCGTACGGGAGAAACAATCATTATAGAAGGACAACCTATCCTCGAACCTACTACGTCCGGCTTCTTCGATTCGACCGTTCATCGATACTTGCCGAAAGAGAACCGGTGATCTTTCACGGCGAAATCGAGTATTACCGAGGAATAAGATCCTTTATACGTACGATCATTCGATTCGATTTGCACCGTTAAACGGCACTTTCTTCTCGAGGGATGACTCGACGATTCCAATTTATCTACGAACAGTATATTTTTTACGGCAATGCGCGCGCAGAAGATTTTTGACATAAATCAGGCTAGTGACGCGAAGCTACTAGTGCTATACTCTGACGTATATCGAAACGAGCGATTATCGGACCAAGTGTCGAGAAAGAAACGTTAGAAAAAAACAGCGCGATATTGGGACATTCGACGAGACCGATCGTTGGCGAAATCCTTCGGAGGAACGAATAAAGAGAAATAAAAATAAATCCTTTTGATCGAGAAAAAGGAATTCGTCGCTCGATGCCGCAGCCTTATCAACGAAACATCTTTGTCGTCGGCGACGAGGAATCAGAGAAATCGAGGTCGGACCTGCAGGACACGTAATCCATAGCCCGCGCCACGTCGCACGGACTACGGAGACACGTATCCTTTCTCGATCGGATAGCGCGTGTCCCATCGAACCGAATTCCCGAAAATTTTGCCGAACCACTCCGGGACGCGCGATATCAATCGGATTCATCGCGCGATTCCTCCCGGCCGATATCGAGTCCATCCATCGGCACACGCTGCAGAATTCATATCGCGAAGTGGTTCCTCGTACCGAGACCGATTGTTCGATTTTTTCTTTCTCTCCTTCGATCCGCTCTTTACTCTCCTCCTCTCGGTCTCTGTTACGAGTTAATACCGGCACGATGAAGAGCGTACGAGATGTTCCTCGCCGTTTCAACGACCCTCTCAGCGACGAACGAGACGCGAACGAAGAAAGGAGGAGGATGCTACGTGTATACGTATATAGTTAGCGAAACTACGCAATTATAACATCTATGGAAGTTTGTAGAACAACGTATCGCATGAACTGTTCCGAAACTTCTCCCTCCGAGAGTATTCGTCCCGAATGCCTCTTCGAGTCTCTCTCGATGACACTCCGCTCGTTGTTTATATTCCGAAAGCTAAGAGGGCAAAAGCCTATGCCAACCGCGAATATTGGATACTGCAACCTGCAGCGCGTCAACGCGTTCCAAACTTTGCATCGCGTGCATACGTATTTGTAAATTATCATACGCGGACCTATCAACCACTCTCTATAGTTTCGATTGCTCTCGAAAATCAAAATTCTTTCGAGTAACGACATCCACGAGTAAATATCAAATACTATAGGCCTGCGCTGCTAACTTTTAATACCTTAACGAGTTAAGAATAGCCTCGATGTCGAAGTGCTTCACCTTGGTCAGGCAAATATTCTAACGCTTTTCGGGAACTGAAATCCTGATCGCTCGAGCCACCGCTAGTTACCATAGTCACGGAAGCGAAACGTTCCAGATTCGCTTCGTTTGTTCTTTAATTGCGCGTGTTATTAAGGGACACCCAAAGTGGTAGGGTTGATTTTTTGCACCCTGCTTAAATGAGCCCTCGTAAACGACGCCGTACCGTTTGCTTCTATGCATACAGCACAACGAATTTTCCTAACAAACGTGCCAGTAATGGTAATTAAGTCCAGGCCGAATAGCCGACATATAATTGGGACGTGCTACGTAGAGGGTGAATTCTTTTCAATAATTTTACAATTCGATGAGATGGTCGAAAACTCGGTTCGCGAATGAATAATTTTTGTAGAATAATGGCGAAACGAAATTAAAAACGAAACAACGTTAAAGTAAATCTGGTAATGAGGATAATCTAATTTTTCAGAACATTCAAAGATACGTAATACAAATGATGGTTTTTATTTCCCATTTAATCACCCCTGAGTTTTTCCAGTATACAAAGTGTGCAAACATGCAAACGTGACGAGTGTTTTCATCGAGAGACAAAACATTGTTTTTTCCTATTTTTTTTGGTTTTGTTTTTTTTTAATAAAATACAAACCAGATCATTCCAAATATTTCTCTTACAACGTATATTTAAATTAATGGTTTAAAAAAAAAAAAAAAACAGGAAAAATGTTGAACACGTTATTCTATATAATATCTGCATACATCCACAAAAGGTACAGTCAACGTTAATAAAGATTTATATTATAATCCTTTTTATTATAACATTTTATCTCGCTCCGAAGTTAACTGAACGACTTAATGCTCACGTATAGGTGTATAGCTGTACGGAAGAGTGCTTTTTGAAGTTGATTTTTCATTCGGTCACGCGTTGCACGTAATCGAGACGTTGACACGGAGGAGAACGAATTCGCGTGAATCACGCGATATTCGACAGCGATTTTCATCGCGAGAGGAACCACGCGTGATAAAACGTTTCCCGTTCGTTCGAGCGCGACGTTATTAACTACGATAGTTTCGCGTGTCGATTACTTCCGATACGATTCGCTATTCGCTTGTTCGTGTTTCGTACGAGCGAAAATGCAAATTTCATTAAACGAGCACCGCTAATGTTCGAATATTATTGCGTCACGGTCTCTATGGGCTTTCGATTCATAAATAACGAACCGGGACTAGCATGAATTTCCGACTGCCGCGAACGTTCTGTTCGCGATCTAACCTTTCTCTTTTCGCGTTACGGATAAAAGACAAAACCACCGAATCGCGTTCTGCCAATCAAGAAATTTCGATATCGTGCACGAGTTATTTCAAGAAAATGGATACCGAAGGAATCGTTCTTGGTACAACGAATTACGAATAATATTAATAATGATACTGTCCGAAAATCTTTCGGTCCCTTCTGCCACGAATTGTACCTTTCGTGGTGTACATTCTCTTTTCAAACGCTTTCATACTGACGTATACGTCTCTGTCTGTTTTTAGTTGCCCCTGTCGTCACTCTGAAGATGGGCTCTTCGCTGAATCCAAAGAACATCAAGGAAGGTGACGGCGTTTACTTCGAGTGCAACGTTAGGGCAAATCCTAGAGCTTACAAATTGACATGGTTTCACGAGGTACGTCCAAATATATTGTACCCGCTAGTGGTCCGCTGAAAACAGCCAGGAAATTTCGTTCACCACGAGCGAGAATGTCATGCAAAAAATAGGAGAACGCCGTAAAGCTGCTTCTCGATAAATCGACGCGACCGTGAAATTAAACGGAATACCGGTGAAAGCTCCTTTTTCGCGTTTCCTTTATACCGTTCGCTCGTAAAACGGAAGATTCTACAAGAGTATAAAATCGACGTTATCGTGTCGTCGCACGGTAAAGTTTAGAGGATCTCGAGAATTATGACATAATGGATAAAGGAAGAAATAATTGAAAATTAAAACGGATCTTCTCTTCGTCTTTTTTTCTATCGAATTCCTAGATTCGGAAATCTTCGACTCTTGCAACGAATTCAACGTCGATTACTCCTGTGGTAGTAGTATTAATCAATTAAACGAGAAATAATGTAATTTGTCAGCTTGAACGGTTAACGGCTAGCCTTCAATGTTGCAAGCATATTACGGTAAATGACTGGAATAATTGCTCGTCTATAGCGAATTCATGACAGCAAACGTGCTAAGGGGTTAAATCGTGAATAATGCAGGTCGCGAAGAAACAAAGCCGCAAGAAAGCAGCGATTCCGGGTGTCGCGTCGTTTCTTTTTCGTCTTGACTCGCGAAAAATATCGTAGAAAAACTACGGGCTCCCACCTGGAAAGCTCGAGCGTTATCTCCGGTCACTCGAGGATCGTCGAGTTAAGCCTCTTAAGGGGGATTATGCTTTCCATCATTTTCTACGGAGGCTCTCCCTAGGGGTTGGCGAAATCCTGGAAGCGTCCTACAACTACTCGCCTCGCTCCAGTGACGGTATTTCGACCTCGTGACGACAATTTCGCTGACCCGTGTGCGATACCGAGTCGCGTCGACCATCGACAACCAGGCGGAACGAAATTCACAAAAGGAACACACCGATTGTTCGGCCCATATTTAACCCTTTCAATTGAAAGCTTTCTAAACGCGAAATAAACGCCAACACGTTTTTACACAGTTTAAACGCGAAACTGCAAATGCCACGAAGTTGAAATATTTTTCAACGAAAATAACATCTGAATTAGAGCTTTTACGTTTTATTCATATTTTATACGCGTTTTATAGCTATTTGACAACGATTCCCTTTTACCAACCGATCAAAGTGGCCTACTCGTACGTAAATCAGAAAATGTTACCATTTTATTATTTTTTCAGATATCGCGCATTTATAGATAAACATTTTCGACTGTCGTTTCTCTTCGTATTTCGATTTGTTCGCGTATATTCGACGTACAAATAAAACGGAATCTGTGCAACGTATTTTATACGTTGCAACTCTGATTATATTGTACAATACATGTATACGTGTACACGTATACAGGTATAATTTCCTTAGCGGAGAGATTCCTAATTAAGGTTGATTCGCCAATGGCAAGGAATCACGATCGAACGAATCGGAAGAATCGAAAGTTGGTAAAATTGGAACGAGAGAGGGGAAAAAGTTTTAATAATAGGGAGCGTCTTCCCGATGAATATGATTGAATGCCGGGTCGAAGAAGAGAGTAGAGGGAAAAAATTCGGTGAATAAGTAACGGAGTTTAAAACTCCCGAGGAAAAAGAGTTTTCAGCCGCGGGGCGGAAAGAATGGGAGAGAAGTTGCCTCTCTCGTGGCAAAGATAATTTCAAATGTCTCGAAGCGATCGGCCTCTTGCGCACGATCGTGTGCATTCTGTCGAAATTATTGCAAATTTACGAGCGTCCAGTTGTCGTTTCCCATCCATTCGAGTTGCCCCCAGCCCGCGTAGTCCGAAAACCAAACCAATAAATTGCCCACGAATCAGCGAGCAGTCCTGGTTTACCAATCCGTAAAAATGTTCGCGTAAAAAGCGTTCGACCGACAAAAATTCGTTCTCCCGTATAAACAACGCGTATCTACCGCTCCCAGAAATGTCATGAAACTTTCACGAGAATCTCGGATATATACTCGTTCGAACTGCATTTGCCTTCTATTAAAATATGAACGAAGAATCGTCTTCGTTTTGTATCTAGCAATTCGTCTAGATTAACCTCGGGATAGAAAAGATTAAATCGATTCGAACTCGAATCGCCTCCGCGCGCGAACAAACTGCTCGACCGCGAATCGTACGTATCGTATCGTAGGAAAAGATTAAAAAAAATGAAAAGAACAGACAAATACGATTGGACGTGACGTTGCTGGTGCGTGCTTTTCAGTGACAGATTCAACGTCGGATAACCTCGGGCTATGACATGCGGTTCAAACTACATCCGTCGAATACGTTACATCGGGGTATACCGATTTGTCGAAACTGTGTTGCGGTGCGGAGCTCGCGTATGCATTACGGCTCCGGTATGCGTTTAATATTATCGCGAACCCGCTAATCGCATTACGAGTCACTTTATTCTACCATACATATGCGTGTACGTAGACACGCGTTATGCCTTACGGCGCGTAAAAAGAAAATGTGGCGAGTCACTGTCCGCTCCATTTCACCAGTTTCGATTTAATTCGGCTCCATTTCGAAATAAGCGCCGAACGATGTCAAATTATTTAGAATTACTAAAAGCATCCTCCGGTGGAGAAAGAATCGAGCAACGGAGAAAGCTTGCTTATGCGTTATGCATAATCCGATGGAGGAAGAATAGGGTGAGAGAGTCGGTGGCAAGACGCACGTGCCTTCAGATATTCAACGAGAATACGAGTTATCGCTCTTGTCTGCCTCTTTTCTCTTTCCCTTTCTCTGGCATCTGTTTGTAATGCAGAGAAGCAAATATATTCGTTGCTCGCTGCAAATACGTATTATTGTTCTGACACGAATGCGAATATTTAACGTCTAATACAGGTCGCGTTACGTTACGCGAAAACAGAGAAATTCGTGGCAAAATGAATACGCAAAGCTGTAAGAAAAGGAACGATCCTCTTTGCTCGTAAACCATTCCATGATTCTATGATCTTTCCGTTTATTTTATTCATGAAAGTACACCGTAGAATCTCCGATTAATTATCAGAATCGTATCGCGCAGAAAGGAATATTATCGCGTTCTCTGCTACAGCAACAACCAATAGCGAGACATGTTCCATCGAATTTTCTTGCTTCCGACAATCTCGTGAGTCGATGCGGCATGTACCGACGAGCGATTAGAAAGTTAATTACGACGTTCGCAGAACGAGCAACCGCGCCCAGAAACCAGACGCGACAATCCAGAGGGCAAATTTTCGCTGTTCCGTTTCTTCTTTGGATACCGGTCGAGGGTGGGGAAAGTTTAGCAACTCGTGATTTTAGCGCGAGACTGCGATGAAATATTCAAGTAGTCTACTTGCCGGCAGATATCCGCGGGAATATATAGGGTTCTCCGGGCAAGGGAAATAATCGAGTTTCAGAAATTTACATCCATCTACGGCTACGGGCTTGGATTTCGTGCGACGCGCCTTGGGCTGCAATCTGTGTGCAAAGGCTTTGCCAGAAAGTTAAGGGTAAATTATAATATCGCGCGAGTATGCGTGTACGTAAATGGAGAGGAGAAAGTAGAAGAAGAAGAGGACTAGAAGATGAACAGGCGCGAGAACTGGCGGGTTTGTCGATGTATACGCGACAATAAACGTAATTCGCGAATGCTCGTAAAATCGTGGATACGAGTTGTTCCGAAAGTTTCCAGTCCTGTTCGATAAATAAGGAATTTACGCGATCTTACGTACACCGTATAAACGAAACTTTCATTTCTTCTCCGTTCCTCGTTAACGAGAAATTGGTATGTTTGCGAATCAGTGGGCAGAGATAAGTGCAGTACGCGCGCGGACGCACACAGTCGAGTACGCGCGACTTAACGAGCTAGCGAGAGCAGAGAATGGAGACAGAGAACTGTACTCGAGCGGTGTACATCGTAAATTCCCTTTGTCCGAGCTGGCGAAGCTAACGACAATCTGCAAGCGCGACTATGCTATCCTCCTTCGCGTAGCAGACGTCGCCTTTGGTCGAAGAAAGTCGTTGGAAAAAAGAATGACGATACATGGCGACAGAACGGATTTAGAAATGCTATCCGCATAATACTCGCGAGCATTACGTCCGAGCCTTGATCGTCTCTTAAATACTCGCGCAAGCTTTTAAGGCTTTTCTTCTGTTGTTACGCGAACGTTGATCCTTTGCGACAAGCTTCGCGTTTAGATACGAGCCGGGGAACGCAGCAAACACGAGACTAACTTGTCGAAGCTTTGCCACTAACTTTTCTCGCCAACTGCGACCGAAGCGTAACTATGTACGACATACGCAACAAACCGTGAACCGGCGTCTGCTCCTTGTTCCTCCGCTATCCTCTCCTGGTTATCTCGACGACCTTCGTCGGGATTCGCGAGTAACGTATCAAGCTGTCGAATTTCCGTCGCGATTTCGCGATATAAAGGCATCTCCAAGTGACACTGATATCGCGTTAATCCGAAACTTAGAAGTTTCAGAGTTTCACCGATATTCCTACTGGAAATCGATGTAAAAATTCTCGTCGTTCGTTCGTCGATCGAAATCTTAGCCAAGCATTGTCCAATGCAGGATATATTTTCCTTTTGTTCGTCCAGGAAGAAGAGCTCCATTACAACGTCACCGCCGGCATAGTACTCTCGGACCACTCTCTGGTGCTTCAAAGTATAACTCGAGAATCCGCTGGAAGGTACACCTGCATGGCCTTCAACGTGGAGGGTCGTGCCAGTTCTAACGTGGTGAATCTCGAGGTGATGTGTAAGTACGTTTCCTACTCTTGCGGTGCTCTTCCACGATACGAGAAAGAAACAAATATTTCATGCCGCGCTCGAGTTCATGATAAAACTCGGCCCTACTCGTCGTATCTTTCCCTAAGGATCACGCTACGAGCGGATAATCGGTCCTTTTATTTTTCCTCGACGTTAATGCACCGAACGTATTCCCTCCGAGACAAATGCCGCGAGAGATGCTTCGTGACGCGAGACTTTTCCTTTTTATTAACGAGCGGCGCGGTAACGTCGAATGAAACATGCAAATCGTATGATTCGTGACTACGCTTTCTATCCGTTTCCGGTACAGTCGCCCCTGTTTGCAAGCACGTCGTAAACTCGCTGCCATGGAAGTATCAGAACGCCACGCCGCCGCCGTTGAACGTTCCCGAGGAGATTCACGGAGCCTTGAAACACGAAACCATCAGCTTAGTTTGCGAGGTTGAAGCCAGCCCGACCACCGTCACCTTTCACTGGACCTTCAACAGCAGCGGCGACCTCACCGACATTCCGTCCACCAAGTACACCAACGAGGGTACATCGAGTAGACTCAACTATACACCATCGTCCGACATGGATTACGGAACGTTAGGCTGCTGGGCCAACAACGAAGTTGGTCCCTCGAGACAACCGTGCATTTATCAAGTGATCGCAGCAGGTTCGTTCAAATTTCAATATAATCCGCCTACTTAAAATTTTCGTTAAAACGAATTAGCGAAACTCGAACGTAGCCTGTTATTAAGTACGGGAATCGCTATGAAACTATGAAGGACAGATATACTCCTAACCTGAATAGGTGCTACTTTGCTTGCGTGATCGCACAAAGTTAACATTAATTATCGTTTAGATATTGTAAAAAGTTTTCGTTAGTCCTACGTCATTTTGTAAAGTATAGCCAGCATAACGAAAGTCAACGAACGAAATAACCGTGGAATAAAAAGCAGTGTTATATCTATACGGCTATTCGTCGCGCTGAGAGTTCGCGTCATTTGTGTCGTACGCGTTTTTGTGAAAATTTAATGAAACCCATAATTGAATATGTTCATTACGGTATACTCGCTGGTATTCGACTCTGAGCTAACGGCGAATCTACTGACCGAAAATTAACCGTGCCTGTAGAACGTCGAACGGATAAAACTACTTCCGCGAGCGGCGAAACTGACGGAATTAGTTTTGTCCGCGCCGTGTCTGCAGAACGTTAGCTATTGCCGGTCAAAGCTTATCCGACCAACCGATTTTGGCCTTCCCGCGTACACCGGTTGCTGTAATTGGGCACATCATTTATTTTCGGTGGAGAAGAAGCAACGTATTTCTTATGTAATTACCGGACAGCAGTTTTTTGCCGTTCGACAATCAGTACTCGCCACATGGAGGCTACACTGCTGCTGCTTCACCACCAGTCACGAGTAATTAAATCGTTAATTGAAACGACGATGCTACGCGGTAAGTGGATACCGTCGACTCTCTTCCAACGTATCCAACGATTCCGTATTTCTGAAATTTCTAAACGCGTAACCGGAAAAGGGCAAAATAATTAGTGAACCCTGTACACGGCGAAACATAGCAGCGAAATACGCGTTGATTAATTTATCATTTGTATGTTGAGTTAGGTTATATGATACTTTTCCTAAAAAAGAAAGAATATCTATTTCGTTGTGGCTCCGACTAATCAGCACCGTTGCAAAGGATCATTGTCGTTGCGGGTTAGACGGAAAATAAAAAATTGTTCACCCGATTCCGCGATCATTTCTCTGCTCCTTGTTTGCATAAAAATATTTCCATTGATACGATATCGTTGTCGATAATGACGGTCGTGATACATAATTTCATCGGCCACGAAATGGCGTGGTGCGGCACGGCGCAGCTCATCGACACCGCGTTCCAATGTTCGTTGCGTAATCAAATGAAGTTACATGAACCGCAACGTGACTACACCATTTTTTTTACTGCCTTTCCGTCTCGCGCAACATTTTATTATAGGACGATTCACAACGCACGCGACCTGAATTGTACCTATAGGCTGCAGACGAAGGAATAAGTTCTCTTACGAGACGAGTACTTGATAATGCATTTATTTTCAGAGGGTTATACGCGATTACGAATACACAGAAATGCACTATACATCATAACGTAGATGTAATTAACGATTGAAGGATATCGAAAATTTTGTGCCGCTCGCAGGTAGACCGTATCCGTTGCAAAACTGTACGGCGTACAATCAAACCGGCTCTTGGATAAGGATATCGTGCGTGGAAGGATATGACGGTGGTTTGCCGCAGAAGTTCGTCGCTATCGTGGACAAACAGCGTTTGGAGTCGGCGAATCCCTATTGGGAACTGGAACTTCGCAAACCAACCACGGTCGCCCTTTACGCGGTCAATATGAAGGGCTCCAGCGATCCTGTGATTATGGAAGGCGAAGCGCTGAAAGGTGTTGCTAAATTTACCGGTACGTATGTATATTAATTGAACCTATTCCAATTCGTTTCACTGAATTACTCATTCCATCGTTTCACATTTTCAAAGAGAGCTTATTATATCTCGAAAGTTTTCATAATGTACGTCTTTTTTTGAACGTCCTATACGCGATTCTCCGATTTCTCACGAGACCGCCGCCTCGTCGTGTCGACGTGATCTAGCAGATACAATTAGTTTTGTTTAGTTATTCCGTGTACGTAGATACGAACAATATTCGAACCATTATAAAAATGTAATACAATCCAAGTAATTAATCTCGATCGTTACCCTGTAACATGGACGATTTTAATTGCGCATACGTAAATGAAAATTTCATTAGTTCGCCTTCAGCACTCGTTGTGACGATGGAATTACCGTTTTATATCCTATATCGATTTTGTCGGTCTCTTTTATTCCAACGCGCCATTAATTAAATGCGTCGGTTTGTTTAGCAATGAAATTATAAGGTAGAATACGGAAGCTCCGACGGAAGTGTACACAATCTGTACAGGACACTCCGAGATGAAAAAGATCGCTAACAGTCTTGGAGAAACACGAAATCTTGTAGAAAGGATGGGAATAGGAGGTTGCTTGTCAGACCAACGACCTTCACAGAATCCGGAAACAAGCCTCAAAATTTATGAGCTATTATTATGCATTCTGTTTTCTCTCATCCGTTTCTTCCCTTCAGTTGCCCGCGTATCATCTATCCTCCGATAGAAGTACCGCCCCGGACAGCTTTCCTACCTCTGAATTTCGCACCGTGCGACATTCATTAATCTTCCACGGTCATAAAGATGCGCCGTTGAAAGAACTAGCGTCAACGAGACATAGAAATGAGATTAAATTAAAATACACGAGAGTTAAATGAATAATGTCCTCCATATAATCGTCGTGTTCCAACTTACATTTGACTCTTTCAATTTTAAAAGTAAAAAGGCGCGGAACTCTGACCGTTTGTTATGTCAGCCTCCGAGGGTAGAACCGTAGAATAACCTTTTGCAATTCGAAACTCGTCTTTGAAAATCGTTTCGAATTACAATAGACTTAATAACTTTTTCGATTAAATTTAAGCGTTGCACCACAAATCTAAGCTTTATTAAAGGTTAAAGTAAATAGTAACCGTGAAATAACTGCTCTAGCAAGGCTGTTATCGGCTCGAGAATTTCGTACAAAACAATAAAAGTCGCCGATAGAAGAAAGAAGTTAAATTTCGTCCACGTACGTTGTCGAATGAATTATGTATAAGAGTAGGATCGGTAGAGATTTCGTTTATAGGGGAATCGGTATCGTCGGTGGACATGTCGCCGATTCTGATTGGACTTGGCGGCACCGCAACCGGTTTAGGTTTAATCGTGACCGGAGTACTAATGGCACTTTGGCGAAAACACGCGGCCACCCCGACAAAACCGAAGCCACCCCAACAGCCTAGTATCGCGACTTTCGCTGGCAAGGGCGAAGAAGAAGACGGAAATCCTGATCTCATACCCACCACTGCTTTGACCAATCATCTCACAGGTAAATTTCGGCCTGAACGCGTACTCGGCTCTTTTTTTAAATGGAAGAAAAGAAAACATTCTGTATATGTGTGTATAGGAATGAATAGTTGAGAATATCCCTCTGGTGTACAAGAAGTATCGTCACATTGCGCGTTTCATCTTGGCTTTCCACTGATTTATCAATACTTCGTCGTTGTCAAAGGACAGTCGGATTAAAAACATGGGAAGTGTTAGTACGTGTGCGTGTACGTTCGGTTGCATAGAAAAATAACCTCCGCATCTCTTACGATGAGTTTCTACTCAGACTGATGAAAGTGCCCGATTAAAACGAGAATCGCAAATATATCGAGTCTTAATCCTAAACCGCCACTTTATTTAGCGATACTTTCAAGGAAATTACGCGCAGTAAACACGCGCGTGAATCATTCGCGGCATTCGATATATGTATAGAAAAAAGTATATTGTATCGCACTTGACGTAGTAAAAGAAACCTTCCATAAGAAACGATAACTAATTTACAATCGAGTTCTTCCACATATTTCTTCTAAGATTTATGTTTGGAAAGAGAAGAAAAAATTGACTACGAGCCGATTGAATCGGTGACGTTTAGCTGCGATGGAATTTCTTTCAGAGAGGAAGCTTTTGCATTACGGTTCCCTGCCACGAAGGCCGCGTCAGCTGGAAGGTCGAGAGATGTCCCACGACGTCATAGAAGACTCGGATTATCCTCGAGCATCGCCAAACGTAAGTAGAAAGAGAATTTCTCGCATCGTTATAAGATACCGTCATGGTAATAATGCTATGAACATGTACATATTTGTCTAGCCAACCTTTTAAAAAATTTATGTAACGTATGTTGCAGACATTTTACAGCCTCCAAAGGCCACATCGGTACTCGGAGACGGTGATCAGAAGTGCCGTGATCCAGGAAAGTTGTATCTAAGATTTAATCGAAAGAAGGGAACGAAGAAAAGCCTTGTAACAGGCTGATCGAGAAGGAAAAAGCCAGGTCCAAAGAGCTTAATCGAGGAGCGAACGAGCTCCGTGAATATAACGCTCTTATCAGAGAAACAAAACAAGAAAAAATCAAAAACTAAGAACAAGACTAAAGCCATGCTTACGCCACCTTGTACACGTTTAAGCGTACGAAGACATTTATTAGCGACTCGATTAACAATATGCCTTTGTAAATATTGTATATAAATAAAACAACACATCGATTTCGTGTTAACGTTCTTTTTGTATTACGATACTACCGTACCCTGGCCACGTGTAAACTTTACAGAAAAGAAGAAATCTCGAGAGAAGATCGTACTTGTTTGTATGCACCTGGAAACAATAAAGTATGAATAATCATTATCCTTCCGTAAGTTTTTTTTTCGAACGAAACTCAAAAAAAACCGTTTCACAGTATTTGTCGAAAATTTCAATTAAACGCGAGCAGAGAGATACGTTAAACACTTCGTAATATACATAGAATAAGTGAAAAGTAAATTTTAATAAAAATATCGTTTTCGATTTAAAAATTCATTTCAATCTGCAAGAGAACACGATTTCAAAATTGTGGAAATTTTATTTAAAATTAATACATCCACTGAATTCTATTAAATGTAATCCAGTAATTAAAATTGCATTATCGATTTGTTGCGTTGGATATATAAATTGGACGATTTCTCGTTAAAACACGAAACGATCGTAAAGTTTTTGCAAGCACGTTCAAGACACGTTCTCCATGCGCCGTTTTACGCGAAGTATTTTTTAATTGAGGAAAAAGATATCTTATTGTCTGTTTCGAATTTGGATCGAGTCGTGGACTATTTCCGCGAATGATTTAATGCATCCGCAAACGTTAAATGCACTGGGTAAAAAGCGAATAACAGCGTTTCGTATATAGTAGTGGAAGAACAAAGCTTGGAAACGTATATCTCTGTAGCAGAGCAAAAGGTGATCGCATAAACTCTGGCCTGTTATCGTTGAAATCCAGGCCAAGGAAAGGACGCGATTTATCGTGGCCTCGTTTCACGATGAGCTTTGTTTCGTGGCGCGAAAATCTTAGATAATTAAAGAGACTTTTCTTCCACCCGTTTCGTTTATTTTTCCAGTCACCGTCTTTCGTTATGGCTATACATATCTAACCGATTATTCCATTCAATTACTTAACATTGCTATCTCTTCGATTTAGTATGTAATTTATCGTGAGACGCGAGAAATGATATCGCAAACAGAAGCGTTACGCGTCTTCGTACGTGAATTTAAGGAGCAGCTTTTTTCATAAATTATAAATAAGTGTATCTATTAAATCTCATTTTCTTTCAAACGCACTCGCTGCGGATCAGCGATGTAAACTAGTGGCTTATGATTAGATTAGTGCCCTATCTGCACATATATCCTCGCGTTTTGTCACCACCCATCGTATAGCCTCGTATTATATAGTTTTGTAACTTATCGTTAAGCATTGATGTCTTACTGGTAAATCCCTCAACAAATGTCGCGACAGAACGTTCTCCGGAGAATCTCTTTAAAACGCCGCCACGAATTCCTGATGAATAGCGCCATCTGTGAATATAGAATGAAAGAATTATAGCAGCAATCAATATCTAAGATTTTCGACAATGTCGGTATTTCAGATCGTGTGATACGGACAACAACAGTATGAGGGCTCTGTTCTATATGACATATATCTCGCCTGTGGTTGGAACGTTGTTCTTGCAGCATTTGTAAATATTACGATTGACGAACTAATAACATTGCAACAGTGGATTCTTAATCGCTATGTCTCAAACCAAAGGTATACTGATAAAAACATCACGTATTTAAACATATTTCGTACGATTCATTTTACTTATAAGTCGCATCTGTTTTTAATATGACACATACATTCATACATACGTCAAATCCATGTGACGATCCGCTGAATCGGCACTTAGAAATAAACTAATGTAAGAGAGATAGTAAATAGCCACATTAATTCCGATCAATTTAAAAAAAAACATTAAAAGTTTGACTTTCTTATTTTATGGATAGACAAAGGAAACAGAAAAAATCGTGGCAATAAGAAGATCAACATTGGTGACAAGGGCAAAGAAATTGTGGAAAACATAAATGAAAACAGTGTGGTTGTACAACAATTTCGAATATATTCAGCCGAATTGGTCGAGAGACACGATCGTTTTGAGAGGATTTTAAAAATTGGTAGGGATATCGCTATCGAAAGTAAAAGGATAATTTTCCTATTGCACACCATCGATAAGAAGAGCAAACAAGAAACTATCCTACACGAAGCTGAATCAAGACTGAAAAACGTGGCGCAAAATCTGTTTAGTAATATTGCTCGTGAACTAGAAAATCAAGATGCCTATCAGTATTTTAAAGCCTATCGTAGTAGCTTGGAAGAATATATAGAAGCTGTTACGTTTTATCAATATTTACAGTGCGGTAGTATGGAAAATTGGTTAGAACTAGAAAAAAAACTTACCTATACTATTATGGACAAATCTAAGGACAAAACTATACGTGCTTTAGTTACTCCGTATGAATTTATCTTAGCGGTTGCTGACCTAACCGGAGAACTCATGCGTAAATGCATTAACAATTTGGCAATGGGAGACATAGCTAGTTGCTATCAAACATGTAATTTTGTCAGAAACATATATACAGGTTTCCTAGGTTGTACCAATCCATCCAACAAAGAAATGAACAGGAAATTATGTACCCTCAAACAAAGTCTACATAAAATGGAAAATGTTTGTTATACTATTAAAGTAAGGGGTTCAGAAATACCAAAGCACATACTAGTAGATGTAGCTACAGAAGAATACGCGGAAAGTGATGAAGGATATCAAGCTTATTAATTATACCGGAATGTATATAGAAATAATATAAGCAGCAAACTTAAAACTAGCCATAAATATTTGTTAAGAATTTTGTACGGTTCTCTTAACATGGTCCTTGTATCATGTATTAAAATAAATTGTTAGAAATTTTGTACTTTAATGCCATAGAAAAAACTTTGTAAACTATATTTTTAAATTCATCTTTCTATTACATGCTCTTTCGTATGTGAATATAAAAATATTTATTAAACATTCGTATATATTTCTGCATTTATAACTATAACTACATAAATAATTTAAAGATGTTGAAAAACCTTAAAGTAATAAAATATTTATCTCCTTATTTAACTACGTCATCCTCGCTTCCATTGTTATCCGAATACAAATCATCGTCGTCGTCTAACCCTTCTGTACCGCTGGAAGGTTCGTACTCAGATTCGTCGACGGATTCTTCTTCGGACGAATCTTCCAAATCAGATAAAGTATCTGAAGAGACTGTCGTCGGAGTTCGTTTTCGATGTCGTTTAGAACTTTCTTTTCTAACTTTCGAATCAGTATGTTTAAATTGCATTTTATGTTGAAGACTTTTACGGTAACATCGTGAACCATAGGGACATTCCTTTCTATCGTCAACAATATTGTAATCTGCATCTCCAGGATGACTGAATTCAGCTTTATGTTGTGCATTTTTTCTGTGATCATAAAATTTTTTTCTAACAAATATAATAGCAAAATGCAAAAAAAAATTACCTATAGCATTTTTCTCCATATCTACACTTCTCTCTTCTGGGGGTATTTACAGTATTAGCAGCAGGAACATCTGGCACAGCTGAGATAAATAAAATACATTGAATTATAAAAAGGAAACTTCCATCGGTATCAAGTTTATAAAATTGTCTTACTTGAAGGAAGTTGGGTATCTGTGTCGTTCGTGCTTTGTAATTTACAAGTATCTTCCTTTTTTGTAGATAATAAATCTGTACTTTGATGTTCAGACATTATCTTATTATTTGAATCATGGTTTCTTCCTTCGTTAGAGCTGCTTTACAAAAATATAAATAAAATGAATAAATGATTTACAGAATAATTCTCCCAAGATAGATCCTATAGGAAGTTCCATCAAGCACATTGCTTGAATACTCTTAAACATTATCCTATGTCATCAATGACTACTATTGTAAGAACAATATTTTATATATAGTGTATATGAAATAGTTTAGTGCACAGAAAACAAGAGCAATGAAGCAATACGTTTGATAGTACTTCTTTCACTGTTCATCATCAAGAGAATTACACTACATAATAAATGTAATTAAATAATTGATTTCAAGCTTATAACCTCATGCCACAAAGTTCCTCAGAGTTTTGTACCGTCATACTTGTGGTATCTTTGCAACTTGACATATTATAATCTTTTGAATCAGTGTCCTCAGATTTTGTTTTAATTATATCATTGTTGTTATTCTTATTTAACATTTCATTTAGCGCATCATGCGAAGTTCCTAAATTGTCTCCTTCTCCTGATTCTGAACAAGACTTTTTACCAGACATATTATAATCTATAGCATCATTTGCCTATAATTTGATCATTACAAAACATTATATTAAATCGTATTATCTTTCGAGATATTAGTTTAGTACTTTTCGCTTCAACGTCTGTTCCTGATTATTTTCCATATTTTCGGATACTGATATAACTTTAAACCAACACTTCTCGGGTATTAAGGAACAAATATCTCCAGGTTTTATTGGAACAGTAGTACCTAATTTAAGAAGTTGCCATCGCGAAGATTCAACAGATTTCATATAACACGGTGAAACCTGACACTGAAAAATACTTCCTACAGAACACTATTCCATTTTGTAACAAATTTATATGCATTTATGTGATTCATAAAATATACAACGCTTGTCTCACCGGTGTTATTGTCATTTCATTGTTAGGTGTTAAATTTATTGTAGCAGCATGTTTAACAGTTCCATCATCGTCACACTGAAATTATAGTACAAAGACAACATTCGCGTTTATCCAATATTTTCAAATCTGTACAACGTAAGAATATCTCGATTATATTTTAACCGCAATAAGATAACCAAACGATCACGTGATGATGTGCGATACTTAACGCATGCGTAACATACGCGTGACATGTATTTCAAATTAATTAACAATTTTATGAATATATTTCAATAAACATTATATTTCTTACTTGTTGGGTTACACGATTTAATATAGCAACGATATGTACTTACTCCAGCTACCACGCTCCGGCCAATAATGTTGTTCCCTACTTGTAGATCCATCTTTTGCACTATATCATTATCAACACGAAGTAATTGTAAACTCTTCATCACGATCATTACCCGAACTTGTAAAAAATTTTTTAGCTATATGATATAATGTAAAATTATTACGAAACACAATTTTGTTTTATTGAAAAGTAAACAAAAAAACAAGGAGTAAAATGAAAGAAGAAAATCGAACCGAATGAACACAGTCAGCTGAACGTGATTACAAATTTGAATCGCGCGTCGAATATTATTAAGATTATAAAATGTCTAAGTAAATAAGTGCATTTTCTAAACTTAATTGCACAGATTTAAAGGGATAATCGTTTCATGAAAAAAGGTGCACAACAGCAACAATTAAATGTTTTTCATTTACAATTACAAAGAATGTACAAGTTTATAAACAAATGAAATGAAATGCGAAGAGAAGTAAAAATTTGATACGATATCGCAAGCTCTGTCTGTGTGTGTGTGTGTATGTGTGTGCCGCCTGTATGCGGGAAAGAGTATGTGTATGGATGCGTACGATATGTGAAAATGGCTTGTAAAAAGATCGCCAAGTAGGAAATGATGGATTATCTTTACGTTTATTTCCAGTGATGTAATCAGCCAGATTGATCTACCGATTCGCAACAAAATATCTCCTTACATCGTTGTATTTATTTATAGCGTTACATAAATCGCAATTATACGTATAACCACAAATAAATATAATAAATGGAATTATTGCTTTAATTTTCAATTTAAAGGAATCTTGTTCGCTTTACAGAACGGAGAAGATATTCAAATAATAAATAACGTTTGAAGTTTAGACGGATTCATATTTTAGATTAAAGTAGAAGAGAAACAAGATCTAATGTGCATTTCTTGAATTTACAAAACATGTCTCACTGGAATAACAAATCAACTATAATTTCATAATTTAAAACCTCCCAACAGTTTCCAGTCATGAAACAAAACGCACCGTTTATTATAGACTCGTCCATTCCGCTTACAATGTAGGAACATTATAAATCTCCAGTTCAATAAATTAAATACGATTTGATATCTAACAGGCCAGCTTTTAAGTTATTATCGGTTTAATAATCCAAGTGCCGAGTACCGGTATCGATATCGATACGGGAAACGCCCAATCAACAAATACCGCTCGAAAGTTAACCACTTGTTTTAGCACACGACAAACACGATGGCGTTATTATAATTCTCACTTTCATCACTTACAATTAGTTAATTAGTTAATATTAGCATACACACATATCACAGTATACCTCAAGGAGTTTATACGGAAAGAAGTAATGTTACGTTTTTACTTGTTTATCAAAAACTAGATTATGCCGTATGTAAAATAATGTTCAGAATAAAAAGCTCCATAATTAAAAAGTGTGATCAGTTCTTTTACTGTTACTTTTCCTTAGTAACACCTTTTAATTTATTAAATGAACAGAAAGATAGAGCTATTATTATTTCTTCTTAAACGACGTATAAAAACGTACTTTTAACAAAAGAATTGCTTTGTTTTGTGTATTAATTTTGTGACGATTCTAATAGTACATATATAACACACACATATATATATATAATCTTATGAAATATTTACAAACGTAAAATACAAATGCACGCAAAAAAAATTGCTGCTGCGTTTTCGAATACTTCTATGAAAAAACTGACCAGTGATTCTTAATGATTAAAATACAAATTAAGCCTATTATGCGTTCAATGACAGTAAAATATATTTCTGATAATATGCAATTCATGCTATGACAAATATTATTGTCCAAGAAACACTGGCTTACAATTAACTAATTGCTATATTTTATTGCAATAAATAAATTTAGTTTATTACGATCTTATGATCTGTTTTCGTGTCATTATCGAATTAGCAACGTTTAAACATAAAAAAGAATGCCCTTAATGAAAGATAAAAAAGTGTCTCATCATTTTCAAACTGCTCAAATATTACAACAATACAAACTGTTTTTTACATTTCGACGTTAATATTTTAACGCGTGTATATATATATATATGTATATATATACATATGTAATTATTTATTTCTATAAATAATAAATAGTATCGCCGTGTGGAATATCAAATACTGTCTATCGTTAAAATATTCAATAGCTATTCATATACCCATTGCATTAGACTTTTGTATCTGAGAACTGTGTATAAAAATACATTCCATTCGTTGTGGAAATCATTGATTGCTATGTGATAATAATGCACAGAACTTTTTATAAATACAATTTGTTGTTCCATATACAATAGAATTGAAATGAAACAATTGTACAAAATAATTAGTGTTTCATATCTTTCCTCTTCTTATATAAAATTTTATTTAAATTTTAATTAAAATACGTAACAATTTCTAGTAGCTCTCAGATATAAAGTCATCTTTTGTTATCAAAAGTTCTCAACTAATTGTACATCGATTATGTACTCGTTATAAATTCTCAATAAAGCGAACAAGTTTCTCGGAAACATATTCGTATAATTATATTACGAAATAAAAGTTTGTCTTGCTTTAACTTACGCATTTTATTAAGGCAATTTAGTTAGCGACGATCAGACTATCTTCTTGAATTGCATTAACAGAAACCGATATATAAAGGAACGCTGTTAACGTATGTACATTTTGCGTAAATGTCTCGGTATATTTCTTAACATAACAACATAAAAAAATAATATATCGTAATAATTAGATTCTTTAAACAAAATAACAGAAATGATATTCTACAAAAATTATCTACTTCGGTTTTTTTTCTTCCATATATAATATTGTCAAATGTAAAAAACAATTAGACCTCTCTCACGAGTATATAAACGAAGATGTGGAGTAAAACATTTCATATTTACATATTGCTCTGACTGATTACAATAGTTGCATTGCTCGTTAAAATGTCATAAAAAGCAAACTATTTAAAATTATTTTCCTAAACAAACATTAATGATACAAAAGTTCTCGACTATATATATATATACACATATATGTATGTATATATATATATATATATGTATGTATATAAGTATTCAGTATTAACATCATTCGATTCTTAATTCTCTTACTTAACAAGATCTTATTGGAATGATTTAGTACAGTATGTAAGATCTGACGAACATATGTATACATATATACATGTACACACAATTGTTACTTTCGCTGGTTTCCTTACAAAATTTATATAATACTATGAAATTTAAAGGCTTTCCTCACCTACATAAAAACGGAACAGAAATAAAAAATACACACCAAAATTAACTTACCAAATAAAAAAGGTGTCGGTAAGCAATAAGCTGTTAGATGCCTTTGGGACAATTCTTTGTTTACCCTTTCTCAAATGATATTGGAATAATTTTCACTTGGCCATACATAATACAAGTGACGATAATGAGTATATGATTGAAACCGCATTTCCGGAGATTGAAATGTACGCATTAACGGGACGTATTCTTCTTCGTGCTTTGAAGATTCGTTATCTGCTTCTGGCTATACTATGGTACCTCCACTTTCAGCTGGACTGACAACGTGTAGAGCGTTTCCAACCTGTCCTATTCCTGGCTGTAATTAAAAGATGCGCGAAAATTCATTACCAAACATATTATTTGCTTTTATTACAATTCTGTAAATGGTGAAAGCATTTTAAACACAGACTCAACTATAACGGTGCGATAAAAGATAGTGCAATTGCAGAATAGAAATATCATTGATATTCAAAAATGCCTTAGCAAGGCACATACTACTAGAACGAGCATATAATAATGTACTATACTACTTAATCTAATGAAGCATAAACGAGTCATGGAAACAATAAATTATACGTACCATGCGATACACTCTGGGAAGTTTCATCCATGATTCTCTTGCATCAGCCAAAGCATGGTATAAGACATTAATCTTTTCAATCAAAGTAAAAAATTAATGCCCCACCGGCTTAAGAAACAAGCACAAGCATCTTCCGATAAAATTATAAGACTGTCACTATAAAAGAAGCAATGCACACTATATATGAAAATTATCACAAAAATTGTAACTGGTTAAACCGCTATAACAGATAAGGGAGCATAGGGTATATTGATAAGAGAAATGCTCGATGCGAAACATCAGGAAATTGAATCTGACATTTTAAATGTAACAATATCGGACTAAATTGCAGTAAATTATAACAAAAGTACTGCATGAATAAGTGATTCAATGTTTCCTCAGGAGTTTCCGCATTGCATTCTGTATAAAATTCAAGCAGGAAGCAAGCAGCATTATTTCATTCAAATTTTTACTTTATTGTACAACAAGGCAATTCATTGTTTTCAACAAAGGATTAAATGTCACAACATTATAATTTGGGGCAATAGTTTGACTAAGTAATTCATTGACTTTCTAACATTTGCTAAGCTAAGCTAGTAACACTTTACAGAAAAGAAAGAAGGGTTTAAGGGGCCTGCCCTGTTACAAAATCTTATGGGGCGCAAACAACATTATTCTCAATGATGCAAACCAAACATAAATATATTCTATTTATAATCGTACTAATGTATTTCTTCAATATTCATACTGAATATGTTTTGACCAGATGATCATTAGGCACAAATATAAATGGACGACTTATACCATGAATGAATTTTTGTTCAATGTTAAGTTAATTTATACATTTTTTTAATATAATAAATTACATTAATCGGTTAACATTGTAATTTTATACAATTAAACGGTAAAAGTATAATTAGAGAAATATGTCCCTAAATTTGAACTTTTTAGTTTTCGTTTTGTAATTAGAAATTAAATAAAGTTATATTACATGTTGTATGATAAATAAAACATTTCAATTTTATTAATTTTGTATTTTTCTTAAAAATTTATAGCATAAATAAATTTCTCAAAAATTAATCCATTCATAGTACTATCCATCCGTACATTTCTGTAATTGATACACAATACAGACTAAATGATTATGATATTGCTAGATCTTTAATGCATTCCAATGGCACCTTTTAATATAATGTATACTGCTTTGGATAAGATGTAAACTAGGCTTAAATTTGTAAATATGAGAAAAAATACATTTATTCTGAAATAAAAATCTTCAAAATCAGCATATGTATAACATATATGATGCTGCAAGGACAGTATTTATTAGAATACAGAAGACAAAAGATAATAAAACTACCCCTCTGTGTCCTTCACATTTAATAAAGTTATCTGTCTAAAACAGCATTTTCCATCTAACACGATTCAACAATGATAATAGGAAAATTGTCCAAAGCATTATCATATTTCCTATTCTCTTGTTCAATAATAATAATGATTTTAAATTCTATTTCTATTTATGTACAAATTGGAATTCATCTCTAGAAAATCCTACTTCAATAACGATTATAGATGGGTTACATCATAGATCGTTAGATCGCAAGGAATTAATATTGGTGTAAGGATTGCTATGATGGTGTGGCCTGTGCAGAGTGCTGCTGATGGTAAGAGGACCTACCATGTGACCAGGCCTTGCCCATGTATAGACGTATCCATCTTGACACGCTGTTACGAAGCAATCTTCCCTAAACACTAATTCAGTCAATCTTTCATGCGCCAACTTCTTGCACACCAATGGTTCTAGCACAGGACACTCATCGAACCTAGGGCACCAGGCAGTTCCTATCAACCTCATAGGATCGTCCATCACGGAACTAACCTTTTTATTTGCACCTACTAAACTTCCACTGACACTGTTCATGTTACTACTTGCATTCGAATTAGTGGTAGCTTTTTCACCTCCACTATTCTGTATTATTGTGCTATTAGATGCACCACTACCTCTCATAGTGAGGCTAAAGTTTCGTTTATGATTATCACCTTTACGCTCACCAAAACCAAGGCCTGCTAACCTTTGTGTCAATGAATTTACAGTTGATACTGCTGTATTTGTACTCGTGCTATTATTACTACTTTCATTATTACCACTCGCGTTTTCTTTGTAATTAATATTATTCAAGTTATTATGTTTAGAATTGTTCAAGTGATGATTCGTCGTTGAGCCATTTCCACTGTTGACTGTCCCTGATGTAGAAAGAGTACTAGAACCTGCTGCAGATGGTCTCTGCTTTGCACACATCGGTTGTCTCAACACATCTTCTGTGATATCCCACAAACACAATTGAGTATCTTGCGATACACTACCTAACCTGTAGCATGTACCACCAGATACCCTTAACTCTGAACTACAAGAGTTTCTATTGGAATGAACTCCTTGCGAAGTTGTCGACAGACGATTGGACTTCTCATGGAAGTGATTGTGATTGTTATGTGGTAATGTTTCATCGTCTGAACCACTGAAGTCAGGATCATGATCTCCGTAAGACGTTGTGTACGGATCAAAGGCTACAACGCTTACCCAACTATGGTGACCCTGACCCCTTGCTACAACTCTCTTCTCATGAAAGCTCCAAATTGTCACAAGATCATCTTCACCCCCTACAACAACGTATCTTCCATCTGGTGACCAACATACGCATAGAAATCCACCAAAATAACTTCTAGCCGAACCCACTAGTTCCATCGTATTGTATTGAAATACTCTCAAGAAACCATCTTGGGAAACAACTGCTAAGTTTGAACCACATGGGCTAAAGGCAAATTCATTTATACAACATCCTTCTGCTCCTATTACCCATCTATACAAAGGATTTCTGGTAGATTTTGTTTTGCAAGTGTATATTGCATAACCATCTCCTGATTTAAAGGATTGATAGTGAGGGGCTGTTGTACCACAAAGAAGTTCTTCATTATATAAATATAGTTGTCCAGAGCTGTGTGATACCAAAAAGAGATTGTTTGATCCAGGAACCCACTTTATACATGTCACTTTACTTTTATCTATCAACCTCTGAAAAAAACATATCAAATACTTATTACAAAAGTTAAGATAATATATCTTTAAGCAATATTTTCTACATGTTAAAAAAATTCTGCCATAATTCATAATATTATTAGAATAAGAAAGTAAAAAATGATGTAATAACATCATTGCATAATAAATTATTATGTTAAATACTGTTATCTTCATAATCCATGTAACAGTGAAATAATATGTTTTTGTATAACAAAAATTGGATACAGTAATTTTGAGTTAGCAGTACAAACTTAATACTTTGTATGGTTATAGGCTTTAAAACATGTGTATTAATGTTCTTATAAAATTTACTATTTTTAACAAAATAAGTTACCTACATCTTCGTTATATAATTTGCTAAGTTCCTTTTTTATAGGATCAATTAGTTGAATTTGCCCTGTAGAAAAGCCCACTAATAATGGTGCACTATCTGCAGTAGCTGTTGTTTGATTAAAATTATGGCAAGTTGGATTAGTTCCTTTATATAACTTTTTGTCCACTGGTTTGTTTAAGTCCACAGCCTGAAACATTTTAATTCTATATTAACTATTTGTAGATTTTAATATTTTTACACATTTACATATATTTTTTAAAATAATCTTTTAATAACAACTATATTACATTTCTTATACACAAACTCTTAATAAAAGTACAACTTGAAAATAACAATAAAGATAAATATTTAATATCTATTGAATATACAGAAATTATATTAAATATATGTATATATGTATATATGTATTTCATTACCCAATGCTATACGCAAACATTTTTAATGTACTATCAATGAATAAATGAAGCATTTAAAATATCTTATTTTCAGAAATGAAAATCTAACCACTAATAGGACAATATACATAACAATTTAAATAAAACCATAAGAAAAAAACTGTTGATACAAGAAAACATGTAAAGAAAATTGAATTACAAATAAATTTGTTAAATGCAATTTAATGTGCGTTAACGTACAAAGTAAGAGGATTCTCTACGTTAGGTGTGGTGATATTGCAAAGATGGAGTCTCCGTATGCGTTTTCGAGGTTAGGTTCGAATGAATCCATGCTCAATTAAATACAGACACAATAATAGGTATATCAGTTATAAAAATGATTTATTTTACCTTTTTAACCCCTCGGTACACATAAACATAGAGTTCCTTGCCAAAATTGAAACACATTCGGTCACCGAGACCTTGCGTACCCGTAGGATCCGCTGGGTCCGGCAAAGTTACGAAAGACACCCTAACGGATGCGCTTCCTTGACTGTTCGTATAACCGACCCTATTTGGCCTTGAATACTCCGACAAAGTCATCAGTTTGTAAGTTCCTTCCCGCGTGACAAACTGTGTTTTCAAGTCCTCCTTCCCTCCTCCATCCAACTGCACAGCCATCTTACCACCAGCGGTGCGACGGAGGAGCTCATCAGACACAAAAAGAAGCTTTGTTAACTTCTGCCTTCTTACAGGTCTGTCAACGATCCCTTGCCCAAAAACTTTACAAAGCTGTCAAACATCGACTTGGCAGTTCCTTGTTTTAAAAAACTTCCAAATAATCACTGCTTACCGGTTCTACACGTAACCACTGCTAGGGGCGCTTCAAGTTCTATAGCGAAACTGCCTGTGCATTTACGACCCGCAGCTCGCACTCTTCAACCTCGTATGCAACAATTCTGTCCCCACTGTATTGGTATGAATGTAAGTTCGTTATCATATTTCTTTATATACCATGAAACATGTGAAGTAATGCAAAAACGAAACGTTGAATTCTTTGTAAAAGTACTTATTAAATAAGATTTATAATATTTAGTATTTTATGCATTTCGTTTTGTGAAATATATCACGAATTAATAAAATATATTTTGATACATTTCAATTAAAATGTGTTAATGATGTATCAACATAAATAACTTTACTTTTTGCAACATTTTCAGTCACTTATATCAAAGAAATATCGTGGAAAGTAATTTCTAAATTGGCAGTATACTGTAACACATACTACAACTAATTTAATAATCTACAATTACATGATATTAATATATATATATACGATTGTTTTGACTCTTGTAATGTTCAGTTTTTATAATTCTTTATAGAAACGATAAAACTAAATAGATAGAAAATAAAATTAACACACGGCACTGCCGGCGCCGTGTTATTATTGCGCGCGCAACATCGCCTGTTCGCCTGAACTCGTTGGTTCCGACGGCTTGTCAGGAACCGGATATTTTGTAAACAACCAAGAAAAGGGTTAATTAATTTTACCTACTTTTTTCTACATCCTGCCTTTCCCTATGATATGTGTTATTAAAAACATTTACTGAATTGTCATCCCGCGTTTTATGCTGTATATTGATAGCAAACCAATTAGCCGATAATGAAAAATGATTTCAATTTTTAACACAATAAACAAATAATTGTCATTATAAGTTGTATAAATAACCTTTTAATATGCTTATAGTTACTTATTGTATGTCGCGTAACAACTTGGAATCCTGATTTATAAAGTTCAAGATAAGAAAAATTGTAATTAAAAAATTTAGTATGACACGACAATTTACCTGTTAAAATCTATTAGTCACGTGGTCTTTCCGATAGGGGAACGTGCATTAAAGGTTTCTTCCGGTTTTCGAATAGTAATCGTCTTCCTGTAACCGTTAATGAATTCAAACACCGATGCATGCAATATACATACATACGATAAGTATGTTGTAATGTATCATGACTATTGATAAATAGTATTAATGTTACAAACAGTAATGCAATACTTTATTACAATATTTTTATTTCAATATTTTGCCTTAATATTCGGTAATGTAACGTTATATATTTTATGTATATAGATATATTTATAAAGATAAATATTTGCGATATAACAGAGAAGTCTTGGATAATGTTCACAATTGTATTTTATACCAACACGAAAGTAGGAACTTTTGCAAGCTTATTTTTTTATTTCAAAAGAAAACCGTAATAAATCCACGCATTTCGGCTGATTCAGAACAATTAAAAAATCTTTTCATGAGTTTGGTACCAATCTACCGTTTGCTTCTCGTTTCGTGGTTATATATACACGGTGAACAAAAATATAGGAATAACGGAAAAAAATAACAATGTAGGAAAGTACAAGATTAAAAGATCACTATGTATATATGTTTGAGGGATGACAAATGTCGCTAGTGCACTTGCGCGATATCTTCATAGTCATATCACGATTATCTTCAATTACAGAAAGTGTCCTAACCAACCAGAACTATACAGACTATACTGTGGTCTTTTTGTATTGTCGCGAAATAAATGTGACTGCAATGTAAACCTGTACTAACCTAGATTACATATAAATTGAAAATGTTCAATAAACCGAAAAATACGTGAATTTGAAATTTACTATATCTAGACTAATGTGCATAATTTTGTTTAATTATGTATGTATATATTAATATACATATGTTTTTAAATGGTTATTACTAAACATGTATGTAGAACTGAGTCGTATTAAGTGATAAATGTAAATAAAAACACGTGGACCAGTTTTATTTTGTAATCAATTAATTGTTTATAATTGATGTGCAAAATTTGTTATTAAAATGGCACGTGGTAGGAGACCGACTCGAGGTGGAAAAAGGAAATTTGATAGACATGACAGTCGATCGAGATCAAAAAAAGGTAAATTTAACCTAAAAAGAAAACCGTATGTTCAAGAGCGGGATATTAAAAGTCAGGAAATTGAAAATCGCAGAAAAGTAATAGAAGACAAAAGGTTACAACAGCAAAGACTCGAATGTGATAGTTCAGAAGATGAACAAGAAAATCCTTTGCAAGATTTATTATCCACATTTTCAAATATTGATAATCTCCAAGTAACTGCAATTGAATCTGACTTAGAAAGTGATGTTTCTGATGATAAAAGTAATGCACATGTAACAAATGATAATAATGAAGATCATGCAGATACTGAGGAGCAGTTATCGAGCGATAATGAAGAGATTAAAATGAAGGAATCCGATGAAGAAGATGCTGAGACTGCCCAAGAAGATGCTGGTTATTTGAAAGATCCATTTTCAATTCATTTTCATGATGATTTAAGTGATGAGCATTATGAAGCAGTTTCTAGCATTCCACAGATCACAGAAACACAGAACATAGTATGGCCTACTCTGGGAAATCTTATATGTCAAATTCCAAAGGCCAAGGAAAAAGAAAACGATACACTTAAGAAACCTAAAGTTTCTATTTTAGAAAACAAGCAGTTTGCAAGGTATGGTACTGTTCCATTCTTAATTGAAGCCATAGATTGGAATGCATTATATGTAAAATCTCAAATTCATGGTAATATTACAAGAGCAAACTATTTAAATATAAAGGACAATGTGAATACTAATCCATCACCTTTGACTTCTTTACAACGAGAGTTATTTTCAGTGATAAATAATTATCAAGATCTTTATTATCCTGAAGAAACCTTTTCCAATGCTGATCAGATAAGATTCATATATTGTTTACACGCGATTAATCATGTATTAAAAACCAGAACAAAAGTATTACATCATAATGCAAAAATAACAAAATCAAAGAGTAAGAACATAGCAGAAGTTCCAGATGAATATAGAGATCAAGGATTAGTCAGGCCAAAAATTTTGATAATAGTCCCTTTTAGACATTCCTGTTTAAAAATCGTTGAACTCTTAATATCTATTTTAATCGGAGAAGACAAAGGTGGCTCTGTAATAAATAAAAAGAGATTTTTAGAAGACTTCAGTGGTAATGAATTAGCAATGCCAAAAAAAAAGCCAAAGCCGGAAGATTATGAATTAACATTTCAAGGAAATATAGATGATACTTTTAAAATTGGAATCTCTATCACAAAAAAAACTTTAAAGTTGTATTCAGAGTTTTATTCTTCCGACATAATAATTTCATCTCTTTTGGGACTGAGAATGTTAATTGGTGCAGAGGGTGAAGCAGAGAGAGATTATGATTTTTTGGCATCAATAGAATTATTGATTCTAGATCAAGCAGAGATATTTTTAATGCAAAATTGGGATCACATGATTCATGTTTTAAATCATCTACATTTGCAGCCAAAAGATTTTCATAGGACAGATTTTTCTAGAGTAAGAAGTTGGTGTGTAAATGGTTGGGCTAAATATTATAGACAGACATTGATATTTTCAAGTATTCACGTGCCTGAAATATATGGAATATTTAATAAAAAATGTTATAATTATGCTGGAAAAGTGAAGGTAATAAATCCTATTACATCTGGATCCATTTGTCAGGTGGTTGTGCAAGTTCCACAAGTATTTCATAGATTCGAAACTTCAAGTCATTCTCAAGCTTTGGAACAAAGAATGGAATTTTTTATAACAAAAATACTTCCTCAATATAAGGACAAAATTATGAATCACACATTAATTTTTGTACCATCTTACTTCGATTTTGTGAAGTTAAGAAATTATCTTAAAAAGGAAGATTATAGTTTTGTACAAATTTGTGAATATTCTAAAGATGGAAAAATTTCAAGAGCAAGAGATTTGTTCTTTCACAGTGAGGTACATTTTCTGCTCTATTCAGAGCGGTTTCATTTCTTCCGTAGAATCAGAGTGAAAGGTATAAGACACATTATATTTTATGCACTACCAACCATTCCCAAGTTTTATACAGAAATGTGTAACTTCATGCAAGAAGCTAATCAGAATCCACGAGCGGGTTCTGAAAGTAATATGACTGTTACCGTTTTATATTGTAAATACGACATCTTGCAGCTTTCTGCAATAGTAGGTACAGAAAGAACAAATAAAATGCTTGAATCAGAAAGAACTGTCCATATGCTTATGACCGGTGAATAAAAAGATGAAACTGAACGCCTGTTTAATACAATTGATATTTACCCTGCATTGTAATTAGTAATGTAAAATATTAAAATAACATGTATCGGAATTTGTACAATATATTAATAATAATTAAAAATATTTTTATATTTGTATGTTATTCTGTACTTGAAAGTACATTTTTATTTGAAACAGATACAATTTTGGTTATAATTCTTAACATGCAAATCACAACTTCGATCGTATATGTAGATATTTAGTATCAAAATTAAAATCTTATTACACGTTTTCAATAAGTATTCGTATTATTAGACGGTTGTTCTATCTAACAAATTGTGTACTCTCAACTTTGAATTCATGCAAAGTTGAAAATGATACTTTGGTCCAGGTAAAGTCGTTCTGCATATAATACAAAATAGTTAATAATAATCTGAAACTAATGTAATTGTCATATTAAAGAATCTTTCTTTTCAACAGCAACTACATTGATACGATAATACTTTAACAAATTATTTTTTCTCTTAATTCGTTTTTAACACGTTCGCTACCACATCACTTATGTATACGAGTCTGATTGAATTTCAACACCAGTCCATTATTTATGTTATAAGGAATTTTTTTGCTCAATTAGAAACACCTCTATTAATTACTTACAATTAGTGATTCTGGAAATAACAAATTATCGTGAAAGATAATAGACAAGATTTGTTAAAAATAAAAATTCTATTTAACGAGATCTTCGACTTCAACGTGGTAGCAAATGTATTCGTACATTAAAAATCAAGTAATTAAGTAATTGTGGAATCCTTTTCGGGAAATGTATCTTTGCTATCTGCACTCGAATTAGTTGATAAATCCTCGACTACCGGAATCGATGATACGTTCGAAAATGTGTCATTGATCTCCGTTAAAATTGTCGATAGATTCTTTTGCCGTTGAGTGGTTGCAGTTTCCGGGGAACCAGTTCCTTCGTATTCTGCGGTCATCGATTTGATCGTCATTTTTTCTACCTGCGTTTCTAAAAAAGAAAACAGAAAATCAATTTATTTTCGCTGTTACAAAGTAATCGTACGTGACAAACTTGTTAGTTCCATTCTTTTCGGTCAAAGATTACTATCAATTTATCTTTAGACTCATCAAGAATCTGTTGATTTATTAATCGATCAAAATGGCAAACAATGCTCAAACGAGTCTGACTAATCACTCGACCAAAAAGAATTAATACAATTAATTGTAATATTGCTTAGTGGATAGCGTTCCACGTTTACCATTTACAACAGAGGGAGCAATGGAAGGATTTGGCAATTTTAAACTGACACAGTCCGGCTTCACTCTCATCTTGACGGATACGTCTTTGGGATCCCATAGAAAAGTGTAGTACAAGGACAGCAAAATAGCTGCCATACTAACAAATATAACGTAGGCCACCACCGTTAATACCCGTACCAATTTTTGTTGGTGTTTTGGCTCGTACAATTTGTCTTTTCTCTCATCACCCGCGAAACGAATTTCATTTCCTGTCGTCTTATGTTCCCGATTACCCAGAGTGCGACTGATGCTCGCCATTACGTTTTGAGCGCTCATTTTTCGCGGTAACTGCATTCTAACTTTCGCTCCACGATAAGTCACTTATTACTCGGTTCTTGAATCCGATGCTATTTCTCTGAACAATGATTTTGTTAAATAATTAGGAAAATAATTGCATTTTGCTTTTCGACAACAACTGCGGCCATAATCGATTTCAAGGTCCATGGAATCATTGTTCCCTTCCCGGCGAATCTCGCCGTGCGTTATTTATAACCCAAACGATTGTTTACATTTATGAAAGATCCGTAAGCTCTGCATGTTTATTACTGCAAGCATTGCAATTCGAACACGAACCTTGCTGGCAAATACTTTATCCAATAAGATATTTATCGATTGAAAGGATTACGCGTCATTGATTACTTTTTATTTATTGAAATTCGATTAGATTCAACGGTTCTTGAAGTTTCTGGCCGAACGACGAGACTGATTTATCGATAGGGCGTTTCCACGGGTAAAGAGCGAAAACGACGAAGAAATTATGAAGGAAACTCGCGAAAGACACGATTATCGAGGAGCCAAATCGCGCACAGGATGTCCGTTCGTTTCCACTGGTCTACAACTATTTTGGTCTGTTGACGAATGGAACCAACGTTTCTCACCGATACATCTGTTAAATGAGCACACCCATCTAACTAGTGATACCGGCGAGCTTTTCACTGCGCAAGCCTGAAAACCTTGACTCCGTGCTTCGTTCCGCAAGTTTCAAGGGCTGAGCTCGACTTGACAGGATTCATCCAACCAAATGCGTCTATAAACCGATATGTACCAGATAGTCCTATTTCCTTGAAAAAATTTATTCGACATTCTGTCAAATCGTCGAAGATTAGATAGATTAGTTCTGCAAGTTTCTAGGGATCTAAGAATTCTCCTTTTAAATTAATATTTGCTTCCTATTTCGAGTACGATCAGTCATCGAAATAATAATGATCATTTTATCGATACATTTTAATAATACAATCTAGCCCCGTCCGCATTACTCGCAATCTGAAGAAAGAAATGCAGCATCCGAAAAAACGACTGTGGTCATTTTAGATCACCATATTCCTAACAATTTACATGCCTCTTTCTAATTCGGACGATAGCGAGAAAAATTAATCGTAATCTTTGTTTTGTTCGAAAGACATCATCTCATCAAATTAATTTATCGGATGTTTCTAATAATCGATTCACTTTTGACTGTATTATCAGATGTCTGTCTCGCTTTATCTAATTGCATCGAATTAAAAAGAGTGATGCAACGGAAGTTAACGCATCATCGATACTTGCAAGGAGCAATGAAATTTACAAAGCTTCTTCGAGTTATATATAAGTTGAATTTCATCAAAATGAAGTGCTTCCACCAAAGTGACAGAGAAACGATTAAAAATGTTGCGCAAGTAGTTTACGTAAGTTTGAGCTTCTGTAGCTTCGAAGTTGATATTCGTGCGTGTCGTTTTAAACGGGATACGTCATTGTTTCGTAAGGAATACTTCGATCGATAACAACTCAAAACTGTAGTCAAAGTCGGACAGAGTTTTCGTTTCGAGAATAAAGTCGGCTTGATGATGTACTCGTTTTACAGAGAAGGCGCACCTTTATTTTAATAGCATTAAGACGTCATTCTTCGATCATTTCTCGGGCAAACGGGGTAGTATAAAAGTTCTGTCTATCTAAAAAAAGATTAAATACGCTTGATCTGCTTTGAGACATTTTCCTGTTGTTCTGTGAAATTGCAATCGTTCGCTTCATAATTTCGAGTCGATCATAGCACGAGACAAAAATCCTACGAAATACCGTCATTTTGAAAAGATTTCTACTGTTATTTACTCGATACGGAAGATGCAGTTATTGAAAAAATCATCAGGCAAAGGGATAAATTAGATAAACATTAGGACAGGCATATCGCGAAGCCACAACGGTCCTTCGTAGAAATTGAAGAATCTTTGTAACGATGCAACGTCAAAGAAGCCATAATGGATCGGCCTGACCCTGTTTCGTTTATTTCGCGGACAATACGGATAATCATCGCAAACCGATCCATCGACTATCTTCTTTCTAAGGTTTTAATAAGAACCTTTTCATCGTATCTATATTAAATGCGCATACGTTCCTTCGAGATTAAATCGGGCTCATCAACCGTAGAAGAGAAAAATTGAAATTTTCTCAACGTTCGTAGAGTTTTATAGGTCTAATATTTTTATTAATATAGAACCTTTATAGCGGTTTAATCGGTAAAGATATTTATCGGGGAGGTTCTCTATGACAAGTGTCTTAAATTGAATATAACCAATTCATTCGAGAAACGAAAAGTTTAGGTTCAGCATTGTCATACTTTATAGTTTACCTATCACAGCGTACTGCTCGAATTTATATTCGTATCAATATACGTCACAATAATTGTTTTAATTAACACGAAAGTGTAACTATTCCATAGAAATAAAGGTACTACGCGATTCGCTATAAAAGATTTCTTTACCTTTGAGTTCGGTCGCAATGTTCGTCAATTTTTCAGACGATCTTGACGCCTGTTGAAGGTGTTTTGCGTTTTTAGTAGAATCCGATCGATCGTTTACAAGTTGGTCGTCCCTATTTTCTTGAATTTCAGGATCTTTGTTTCGCATCGGCGGAAGCACATTAAATTTATTAAACATCGTAGTTCCGCTGGTACTTATAAATTCCTCATTCGAGTTTGAGAAAGTTAGAACATTGTGCAAACTTTCAGAAGAATTTTCCATTTTTTTATCGGTTCCTGTAGTCGATTTCGCTCCAAAGCTGTTCGAAACGTTACGTTTGTTTTGTTCTAGAGGGACAGTCGCGTTTTCCGTCGAACCGTTCTTCAGTCCTAACACATTCTTGTATACGGAACCATTTTTAGTACTCGTAAAACGATCATTATTCGTTTCGTCTCCAGAAATAGTCGAAGAATTCAGTGTTAGGAACGTGCCACTATTTTCGAGCGTACGATTCACTATTTTTTGAAATCCTCTTTCGTTCTCGACGTTCTTCGATCTCGTCTTTTCCTCGCTTTTTTTCGTCGAATTCAATCGCTTTTCTTTCCCCGAAACATTTCTATCCAGCTTCGAATTGTTGACTCTATTTCGCATAAACTCTATCAAAGAGTTTTTCAATAGTGCCAAAGATTCGTTTAACGTTCTTCGATGTTTCTTTCCGTCGTAGTTGTTGTCACCGGTGATGCGACCAGAGAACAGTTTGTACGAGCTGTTCGATCCTTTATGGTCGGTTGTCACCTCTGAAAGAAAATTGTTCATCGGAACATCGTTTTGCGAATCTGGTGAATCACTCAGTAAAAATTGTACTTCAGGTTCAGAGGACAGATGAACCGGTCTGCGTATGAGCTTCGGATTCGGCGGTTCCCAAAGAAATAAGTAATAGGCGCTCAAAACTATGGCCACGAAACTTACGGAGAACATGTAAGCCACCACGGTAACTAAACGTACAATTTTCTTGGTTCCTCGATTCTCGTAGAGGTCCGCGTTCGCGTCTTTTTTCGCGGCATCGCCTCCCTGAGGACCTTCCTCGTTCCCCTCCTTGCTCATCTTGATTCAAGTCTTTTCACACTAACAATTTCCCGAGATTATATTTTAGCCTGGTCCGTTTTATATTATTTGCTGAGCCTTTTGATCGGCCTCGTCTCTGTTTTCGTTTTTCTTTGCATAGTAGTCATCGTATCGCGATTTTAGGAACAAAATTTTCTTGAAATTACACGCGTGTCGGAAAGTTTTTTTATTAAAATTTTAGTACGCGTCGAAAACATTAACGAAGATTTTAGAACAGTTCTTTTTCTACCAATGTGATTATTTTAATAATCCAGAAAGAAGCGATCGAGGAGACGTGCTCCGACAGCGAAAGCAAGCAAGACTGTAGTTCTCAACAAACGCTCGTAGAAAAGCTCGTTCCTTCGCCACGTGTTAGATTCGCGCGCAAGCGTTCTTGCTGCGCTACGCGTCGCATGTGAATGCTTCCTTCGCGATATATTAGTTAACTATATCGATAAATATTTAATTCTCTTCCTAGAATGTAGGCTGGCTTCTTAGCACAAAAGTTCTATTTACACCAATGTCCTGTTTTGTCGCTAACAGGAATCAAATTCCGCTGTACCTTTCAACCCAGAGAATTTCTATTTTCTTTCGTTTATCTGTTCAGGTATTTCTTCCTTTACTTCCGACTGATCGTATGAATTACTTTTCTTATATTGTGCAGACGACATATTCGTGTCGGTACAAGTGCTCGCTTCCAGGGAAGTATTCACAGCGATCGAATTTTTTTCGAACTGTCTGCTCGTGTCACAATTTCCATCTCGAAGTTGCTTCGCAATATTCTGAAATTGTTTCGTGAAATGTCATGCTCCTATTTTATGGCATAGTTTCTACGTAACGGATGAAACATTAGCATACTTCGGAATGCGGGTTTGAATTCGACATTGAATTCCTCGAAGTAGATTCGATCGGAAATCGTGGATTTTGCCCGACTCTAGAACTCGATACATACGGTAAGTTTGGCACAGACTGCTGATTGTTCAAAATTGTAAAGATTTGAGTCAATAAATCGTTCGAACCTTCCGTGCATGGAATAGGAATCGAGGTTTGAGCATTTTGTCGCGCGATCAGTAGGTTTAGGGCTGGCATCAACGCTGGAGCATAAAGTAACACAGCGAGTCTAAAGAGAAGAAAACTCCATATTATGTCGTCGATTGTTTGTTTTATACTTTGTCATTTACCTCAGTAATTGAATGGTGAATCCATTGGTGTCTAACATGGGGTTCCACGTGGATGGTTGAACCATGGGAGCGTAAGCAGTGTGAACGTTGCTTCGTGGTGTTGGAATTGTTTTATACGTTTCTTTCCTCCGTTTCTCTACTAAATGAGCGAAATTTCTTGCAGGATCGTTTACAGAACGCGTCCTGTCGCAAGACAACTTCTTCCACTGATTGTTGCAAGGATTACGATTACTTTGATACGTTTGACCTGGATGGAAATTTTCTTTACGATGCACATTCGCATTTTCCAGCATTTTCATCCTTTTAAATGCACTTTTCTCGTCGGAACGGGGATTCGATTGTCGATCGGTGGTTGATTGATCAATTTCAAATTTCCGTTCGGAAACATCGCTCGTAACCTTCGATCTCGCTATCGGCTGAAATTCTGATGTGTTTATGGTGCAACTGGCTTGCGTATGATCCTCGTGTTTAATGTCGAAGTCAGTATGGAACGACGCTTCCGATTCGTGTTTCTCGCCGAGGCTTTGGCATGCTTCCATCGATATCTTTTTGACGTTAGAAGTTGTGACAGAAACACGACACATCGAATTTTATTACTCGTTTCGTTATATTTCGAACAATTGTAATTTAATAAGAAACTTACTTGATCGTTTGTAGTCGGTGCCTTTTTACGATCAAAGAAATCGAATCGTTTCTGCAAATTAATATAAACAATCCTGTATACGCATATCGCGATAAATTTTGCAAAACCGACACATATTTTAATTAATGTTACCTTAGAATTCATTTTATCGCATTTGAAGACATTCATTGACCGAATCGAAGTTTGCGGAAGAAATACAGGAGCCTTGTGTGTTACGTATGCAGCGTTTGAATTGTTAATTAACGTTTTGTCCCGATAAAAGTTATTAGTAGAATGTTTCATAGAATAAATGTCATTTTGCGGGTTCTATAACAATGTAGTCAATAAGATTAGAAGTTCGGCTATCATTTAATTACGTACTCTGAACCAACATGTCCCAACATCCTTCTGTGTCGAAACTCGTTAAACTTTGTTCGGTTACCTGTGAGATTTTCTTCTTCGTACAATCTATATCGCCGAAAGTTTTACCGTTCAATTCTTTACTTCTCTTCGTAGAATGATTTTTTTTTCGCAATGAAACGTTTGTACTTTCTTGATATTTGTTACAGGGATTTTCCCAAGGAGATCCATACTTATTAGCGATAGAAAATCCTTCCCAGTTCATATCCGTTTGTGACTTTCGAGAAATGAACGTTGAAAATTAGCGAGACAATATTAAAATGACTCCATCAATGTTATCGTTGTAACATTTATCGTGTATTTAAATCGGTCGCTAAAACTCAGTAAATAGTATATTTAGCAAGTGTCGTAATGTTCTCGATGAAAAATTTATGTTCTATTGTTCTACTGTAACTTGGCACTTTGACAGTTAACCGTATACATATATGTATATGTATACGCCTATCGTACATGTTGATGTATATATGTATAGGTTATTTATAATAAAAGTATCGATAACGCGTTGTTATTACCATTTGATGTACGACTTTGCTATTTCGTGTTATTACAGGGATCAACATTTTGGTCCTGATCAGTTCCTTTTCCATGGCTACGTATCTTTCTTCCATTTGTCGTATATACTCCAGTAAATGTCGGTTACACGCATTCCTACGATTATTAAAATATCGTTAACGAGTAATTTAATAATAGTTCGGCAAAAATTTGTCTAAGTTGTTTGTTTTCTTGTACTAACGTTCGAAAACACATCTCGTTCGATCGAACGCGATCTGCATCCTCGAGAAGAATGAAATTTAAATCGAGCGTTAGTCCGTCGTTTCTTAAAGAAGGAATTGCCAGTTCGGTAAACGGTGTTCCATGCCTCTGATTTTCTAAGTATTGTCGAAGAAGTTCGTTGCGTCTTCTTTGCTGGCTTTCATTGTTCATTGAGTCTAAAAAAATTTGTCGTCCAAACATAATTGACAATTCGATGCGAGTATATTTACGGAGAATTTTGGCAAGTGTGATCAAGAAAAATTTTGTACAAATTTTAATTTAGGTTGTGTAATCCATCATTTGTTTTTTCGATCTTTCGGAATCGAAGGAGCGCGAAACAGTTCTATTTTCGACATTCCAACATCGATTACAAATCGATTACTCCTTGATCATCGTTTTCGTAATTTGAAATTAATATTTGGTTCCGTAGTTTTCTAATAGTAATCATATTAAACTGACGAGTATAAATGTTGACGTTGATTCAAAAACGTGCGTGACACTTGTGAAAGTGAAATTATTTATGAAGATTTAATCGACGTTTTTAAAATAAAGTTAAACGCTTCCTGTGTATATTTGTTCAGCATCGACTGATTAATGTCAGCCCGCGAACAGAAATTTGATATTTTTGGACTATTAATAATTTCTTCTTCCATCGTTCTTGACTTTTACAAACTTTTTTCTCGTATTAATAGTACTAATATAAAATTAGAATATTTTCATTTCATTTCATTTAACTCTATTGTTTATGTATTATAAAGTACATATGAAGAATCATTCAATGGAATCCTGATTATGCTATTCCGGTAAAATTGCTGTTCTTAATAATAAGTTATAATTATTTGAAAGAAAATAGATCCCGATTGCGCAAAATAATAGTAACGGGTTTAAAAAATATACAAATTTGCGACTGCGATACTTCGTTTTGTTTGCGTAGCGCCCTCCATTTTGCTTTTTGCGAAGACCATCGCAGTGAAGTTTCTGAGGCCCGGACGATTTAGGTGACATCCGATTCACCAAAATCGGTGCAATCGTTTAGACTCTACCAGAGAATGAAGGAACGCACATACATAATACATAAATAAATACTTATGAAAAACAATACCCTCCTTTTATGAAGCGGTACAAATAAATAAACATGTTGGTTTGATACTGGTTATGAAAGAAAACATCATTTTCTCGTTCTATCTTTTGATTTTCTCGTCGTGGAATGGTTAGTCTTACGAGACATTTAAATACATCGGGTAGTGTAAGTATATTAGAAAGAAGGTTGTGTAATTAAACGTTAACTAGTGCTAGTTTTTTTGACTGATCGTAATGTAAACATAACCTCCTTGCATGAGTTCCAATGTTTATCTTTCGCCTTAATTTCAATTTGATCATTATAATCATGTTTATTTGTTATGTGGTTTTTTGTACTCGGTGCATCGAACATTTTGACTATGTACTTATTAGGGAGCTGTATTTTTTGATGCATCTTTCAACATGGATGATGACGAATTTTTTCAACCTGTATTGTCGTCTCAGGAAGAACATTATTTTAAAAAATTAGATACTATACCAATCGCGTCTATCCCTATTATTTTTGGTGTAAGTTCTTACTTTTCTGAAAACTTATGCGAGTCGATTAAGTCTTTCGTTTAAATAACATGTGATTTCTTTAATATTCTAGATTTCTCTGGAGATCGTAGGAATGGTATTTATATTGGTGTGGCCTGAAGAAAAGAACAAATGCGATACTTATTTTATATATTTGTACCTTCATTGCGCTTATTGGTTGATAATTATGTTGACCGATCATTTTCTGAGGGTAAAGCACGAGGTATTACATATTTACGGATATCTGGACTTTTATTTATCAACCTATCGACATATCCGGGCACCCCTGTTCATAGCATCGCTGTGGACAACTTGTTACTTGTTATTAGCAGTGATTCTTCATCATACGCATAAAATTAATTATGAAGAATATTGTCGTGCATCGGAGTGGTTTACTCCTATAAATTATATAGTAGTTTTAACTACGTTGGAACTTGCAATTATTATACCAATTTACATAAGTTATATCAGTAAGTATGCTTTTTTGAAAAAAAGATATCGATGTGTAATTTAATTTGTAGAAATTAAATACATAAATATGTTTGATTTTGAAGGAAAGGTTGCAAAATTCAATCGATTGCATCCTCCACCCGATGTTACCAGAGAAGAATGGTTGTCTTCTTTTACTCAAGAAACGTATTCTGGTAGCAGCGAAGTGTGTTTACATCCTGAAAAATCAAATGTGGAAGAACTGCTCGAGAAACAAGCAGAACTGATAAGATATCTGAGAAGTCATAATGATATATTGAGTCGCAGGATGATGTTACTAGTGTCTGGACAGGGAGCCTCATCTTCGTAAACTGATTGTGATGAGCGTAAAGTACTCACCTCTAAGTTGGCTATGCACAGTAAAGAGAAACAACATCGAATGCGAATCACTTTACCGTATTCGACTATATTAATATTTTTAATATTTAACATAGATTGTATCGACTAATAAGATGCGAGCATACTTTTAGTATCGAGCAAAGCACAGAGAAAGTTTATCTTTACGTTATTCGATCTTGGAATAATTTGGTTTTCATGTTTTCTTTGTTGTCAATAATTTGTAATACGTTTTGTTATAACATCTAGGACTGGTTCCTTGTATAATTTATGGCATATGAATTTGACAAAAAGGATTTCAAAACAGAGTTGGAAATGGTTTAAAAAATGCGTTTAAATAGGTTGTCTATATAATTTTATTATTCAGTATCAAAATATTGCTGGTTTTTAAATGAACTTTTCTCTAATCGATATTGTTCAAAATAAAGAAGAAAGAAAAGAAAAGACATTGTATTATACAAGAATCAAAAATTAATTTTTGTGATAAAGATGTATATATGCGATGCCAATTCAATAAAGTATATTTTTTTCAATATACAGTATTTATAATTTTAATTACAACTAAATACTTATCTTCTAATTTTACATAACATACTTGTTTGTATCGTATGAAGTAGCTATAATTAGCGCATCAGCGACCTTCTTCAAAACGTAACAACATTTATTTTTTTAATAATGCGCTACAAATATCATTATGTAGCGATGTGATAATAATGATCGTGGCATTTTCTCTGTAGCTCGTTCAAATAAATCTAAAGTAACATTATCGTTACATCGTATTTTATCAAGTTGAAAAAATATATTTTCAAAAGTTACATAATTCCATCGAACAATGCATGGTACCTACGTACTTTAAAATATATCATTGATAGGATAAGCAGAATCGTGTTCTTTTATCTCGTGCATCGTTGGCAACGCAACATCGAAGGTCTCAATAGCGATGAGATCGTTCAACGCTTCTGTTTTTTTTTTTTTAATGTTTGTAGACGTTACCATCGTTATACGAGTCTATTCACATATTTTTATACATATGTATCTCTATAAATGGCTAAATAGTTATCTATCCTTTTACATGGACACAAACCTGACGCAATATTCACACGAAGATACAAGCAAGGTTGTACTCTTTAGTTGATTGGTCCATATTCGAAGTGAACCTTGTTCTATAGTTTATCAAATATAACAAAGCGAAGAGTGTTCTACTCTGTTGATTTATATTATTGCATATCGTACATTATGTAAATAATGATCTCGCGGACGAACAACATCTTACTCGGGTAACGCATCGTGTTAGAAAGGAAATCTTTTTACAGAAAGTTTGCGCGTATTACGGCAGGTTTGGAATCTTACGCTATCGTACGCACGTTTTACGGTAATATAAAACTAGCTTATAATTGTATGGAACATTCAAATATCCAATGCTATAAAACGTTAGAAGCTTGTACTTCGTTAAAATTCGCTACAATTACATAGTGACGATCACCAAGGTTTCGTTTGAAAATCACGACATTTTCTATCGACTTATTTAAGTGTTAGCGCGTCGAAAACGGTGCTCGAACCAAAAGTTCCATACTATTCTGGTTTAGCACGAAGTTTTCTTTGTTTCTCAAAAGTTTGTACTACGCTTAGGCCAGCCACATTTTCTTTTTTGCTGTATATGTATATACATCGGGTACATTAGTTACTTTTATCATTTTCTTTAAGGTTTCACGAACGTACACCGATCGTTCTTCGTTATTGTCGTAACTAGAAGTGTTTCAGACTTTACGATAAACCTAGAAACGTAATCGTTCGCCGAAAACCGACTAATCTCTAAACGTTACGCGAGACTTTTCTCTTTCTTCTCCTAAATTAATGAGCTATTTAGCCGAGGCTCGTGTAATCGTTTTTATTTTTACTCGCGCACTCGTTTCTCTTCAACAGCGGTTTCTAAAAATGATGAGAAGCAGGAACGCGGCAACGAAGATGTTACGCAGCTTCGCTCGAAATCGAACAGAGGCGTAAAAATATTCGTTTTCTGTTCTCGACTAAATTCCGTGAAAATTTTCTAAATCATAAGTGATTCACTTCTAATGTCTACGCCCTCGCGGAGGAACGTTCTTTTCCAACGATACGACCTTAGGAAACTTACGGTTTTACAGAAATTAGGAAGTTCGCGAGAAGAATACAGACGACTTCGAACAAAGAAAAATAAACTCCACGTTATTCCGAAAGATCGTTCATCGTCCGAAGAAGCGTTCGTTAATTCTTCCGTCGCACTTAAAGAATCGGTGGTCCCAATTCCACGATCATTTTCAGCCCGATTAAGGACGGAATCATGCGTGCGTAGCACCGACCACGTTTCCGCTCGCCGACAGCTGTTCCTCGGCCTCCATCATTTTCAACTTCCTCACGACTTGAGCGTGTTCCTCGAGTAACCTGGCGAACTCTCCTCTCCTCGTTTCCGCTTCTACTTGCATCTGTTTGATTTTCTCCCTCGGTCCACCTGGGCTATCCAGTGGCGTTTGAGACGACGAATTATGCGAACTGCTCACGTTCGACAGACCGTCCAAATCAGAATTCTCGCTCGACATCGAATGCGAGTCCACGTCGTCGACGATTAAACTGTAAATCGAACAAAAAGATCCTATTCAATTTTCTTTATAATCTTAATGTCAACTTAATGCGACTTAATTTTCAATTAATTCGGAGTCAGACGAGAAAAGAATTAAGAATCTAGAAGCGTATGTCTAGAATGGTAAATACAGAATTCGAGAACAAAGCGGGTTTCATCGTTAAGGAGGACGTGATTTTCGTAGCCGGTCTGAACTATCGACGTTCTGCCCTGCAGCATTGTAGTGGCAACAATTGTCGCTTGCGTCAATGTTACGTCATTGGTACTAAAGCACGTAGTCTAGCCTATGGATAACGGATTGATTTTACGTAAAATATTACGAATACGAGTATCACGAATTCACGAATGTTTATTCATTTATTTATTCGTCTACTATTTAAGAGACGTATCGATCGTCAAGGTCTAGTCTCTGTCTACGAACAATTTCTCGCGTACGAATGATCGAGTAACAAAACGAAATATTCATGAGAATTTCTACTGTACGCTATCGAAGAATATTTGCGTTTCCATACAGGCAGACATTCGGTGGAATCTAAAAGAAATTAGTCCTCGCGTCTCACGATACGTTTCAATTTCAAACAATAGCCGAAGCGAGGATTTCGTTCGCCTATGAATAAATAAGTTTTCTTACATAACGAATAAAGTTTATTTACAAATAGATAAGTATATATAGCTTTCGAAAAAATGAAAATTGTTGGTGAAGAAAGAAGGAAAGAGAGAAGCCGGATACAGAGAGTCTTCTCGTTTACGTCACAAGATCTATAACTATCATCGCTCGAACACTCACTACGATATGTATAACGGCCTCGACAGAGATATGAAAATATTTGTACATTGAGAATTATAATCTACGAAACGTGTAAACTAAAAGCCGGAAAGAGACGTTTTAGACGATTTCTGGATTGCTATTGCATATCCTTGCGTTCGTCGTTAAAAAAGTTATTGGCGAGGCCTTCGTAGCTAGAACGGATGCATTATTTGTGCACCAATCGAGATGATCATATAATCCAACGATATCGGTTACTACCCACGCTAACTTTTCCGACAAAACGATTACAGAAAGGTCGTATTGGAAATTCACTCCCACGAAAATTCTGGAAATAACAGACTTTCAGGCGTATTACTAGCAAATTTCTTACAACGAATGTATTCGAATTCATTTCTTTGGCGTGACGCGATCGAAGGTATTCGCATCCTCGTGTTCTTGTTATTTCTATTACGTTATCGTACGAAATTAATCAAAACCGTATAACCTTATGGATTCCCGATATAATCGAGTTTCTTGCGTCAAACTTATCGTTTTAGATCGATTCAAATCTATTTCGAATCAATTACGGTACAGTGAAACTGTTTAACAGCATCGCGAAAGAAATTCCAACGCGATCGTGAGCATCGGTATCGCAGTTTTTCTTATTTCTTCAACGTCACGGTTATTCTAGCAAATTGCTTAAAATCGTTCGATATTAATAATGGATTATCGCGCGGTCGTGTAAGGTAATTTTCACTACGTAAGAAAAGAATTATTAGATTTTTTCCTTAAGAAAGAGGGTCCTATTAAATGGCGAACCATTTTTCCATAAAAAAGTTTCTTGTATTCGGCAGAACGCGCATTGCGATTTCTATGCTTTCGGTCGGACAAAAGATTCTCTTATCAATTACCTGAATGCACCGTAAATTTCCCTTCCCGATGCCATCGTCACTGCGATACCTGGCAACGACCCTGAAACAAAAAAAAAAGAAAAGAAACGTTGGTGACGTGAATTCATATATCCCAGCGAAAAAATCTTCTTGTACGTTTCCGCGAATCGAACGCGCGTTCGCGAAAATAAATGTATTAGATCCACGGATAAATAGCATAAGTGCCGATCCAATGACGTTGTACAATTTTGAAGAAATCGTACGGCTTCTTTCCACGATCACATTCGTCGATACTCTGTTATCGAATACAGTGTAATTTTGAACGTTGGTTCAGCGATCGTAAAAGCATCGTTCGCGAAGCAAGAAGATCGTTGTTCGTGGCAGACGGTCAGGAGGAGCGGATGATTTACGAGCTTTTTGGCAGTTGCGTCAAAATTATTACACCGACTCGATTGTCCAAAACAGATGCAATACATGGCGCATTTTACACGACGCCACGCGTCCCTGGCAAGGACACGATGCGTGAAAGAACCCCCATTTATTTTCAACAACGAGCTTTTGTAACGAAGAAGTACCGTTTTCCACGATTAATACGTGCCGTCTACTATTTCATGTTCCTGGATATCGTTTCGTTTCCACGTTATTACTTCGAATGCTTGCAAGGGAGGAAATCGTCTACTTCGTCAATTACCAAGTAAAAATACCTAAAGTCTTCTGACATTGCGACGAGGAAATTATAGATTCGTTACAGAATTTTTGCAAATACGATGATCGAACAAGCTCTAAGGAATTTCATTTCAAAGTAACGAGTTTGCCAATTGATACGAGAATACATCGACGATGTTTATATAATTTGTTGTGTTTATTATTTGAATCGAGCACGATCAACGATATTTCTATTTATAATATCAGATATTTCAGTCAATATTTGAACGTTGTCAATGTCAAGCTGTTGATGACGGCGTTATTTTGAATCAAAGAATTTTTATCTTATTTTCAGTCATAGAACACTACTCGACGTTTAAAGTATTGTCATTTAAACATATTTTAATTGTATTTATAAAAGAAAGTGGTTACGAGTTAGATTTTTCCTGCTTACGTTCATAAATTCTATTCACTGACAAATTAAATGTAATCTATCTGGAAAATTATACAAAAAGACAATGTTCTTTAGAACATTGATGTATTATCGTTGACACGCATGCACTTCCAGTGATTTTTCTCATATAAATTGCATCGTGTCAGTTCGTTTAATGAGGATCGATTGGCGTGCGGCCATTGTAACAGGTCATTGATCATGAAGGGAACGATGCCCCTGAAAAACGGTTTCTCTATCGAACGTTTCGAATAAAAGTAACGTTCGGTCGATAGGAATTTCTTTGCACAACTTGCACTAATTCACGGTTACGCTCGAGATAGTAATTAATTACAAGAATCGATCTTTGTCGTATCGTCGAAAAGAATATACCTACACGGTGTCGATATTATTTCACAGGAAAAAAGATCCCGTCAATTTGCAGTGGTTCAGAAACGATTATTCCTGACGAACTTCGTACATAAATTTACCAAATGTAGTCAAGAAGTGATGTTCATCCATGAATCATGTTTGTTTAACGAATCTCTATTAGATAAGATAAGATTTCAAAGATTACACGAATATTTATTGTAAAAGCCCGTTCAAATAGTAAAGCTCAGACAAAAATAAATCAATCGAATCGAAGAATGAGTGAAACACGGTTGAAACGGGACACGCGCTTCTAAGGACGTCCCGTGTACAGGGACCTTTTACGTTGCGATTGTAAGCGTCGTTAACCTAGCGAACTTCAATTACCTTTAGCCAGATTATGGTTCTAATTAAACGAGGCATAAACTCTAGCAACTTTAACGCCGCAGGAGAAGATAGCGAAAGAAAAGTGAAACGAAAGCTCGATATTTAGACCTAACTACTGATCCAACGTATTGTATGGAATGGCTTAGAAAGTTTGTTCAGATTCGCAAGATAAAAATACCGCGGGCAAGTTACAATTATGTTTGGTAGGTGGTCCGCGATAGATCGACGACTATCGACACGTACCACGAATCTGCCAGAACGATCGTTGATACATACATATATATATAGGTAAATGTGTCTTGATCCGTCTAAAATAGAACCATGTACGCAAATCCGACTCGATAGAAACCTTGGCCCCATAGAGCAAACTCTTACGTCTGTTTCGTTAATAAAATGATTAATTAAGAACATCGCGTGGACCGAAGTGTTCGTTGCTCAAGCATCGAGAATCTTAACGAGCGATCACCTTGGAATCGTATTTGATCGACGATGCCGTTACGGTGTTAATCACGATAACAGCGATCGTTCGTTATCAATGACAGAGGAAGAAGAAAAGACGAAACTCGACTGAACGGCGTTTACGTATAAATCTCGATAGCTTTGATCGAAAAGTTGGCTGCGCGAATTAGTCAGGAAAATATTCTTAAATTCTGTTACTCTTGTTACAAATATGCAGGAGATGATTCGATTCGTGAAATTTTAGAGAGTAATATAAAGTGGACAAAATTATACCTCCAAGTCAGAGTCGGTGAACGAGAAAACATCACTTGTGTATGTGTCACAATACGCGCTATGCGTCAACCGAGCAGTGGATTCAAAGAGCGTAGGTTGCAGGAGTGCATTAGTCTTCCCTGTAATTAACGTCGTAAGAATGATACGAGCTATCGGATAAACGATAGAAAGCTTACGATCTGCACGTTGTTCGTAGCAACTCGGTGGTCCATTAATTATTAGCTTCGATCGTCTACGAATGATCTTTTTGTTTAGAAAGAGCCACGCTTAATAACGAAGCGTGTTCGACAATACTTCGGAGAATTTCTTGATCGCATAGTACAAGACGAGAAGGAAACGTACTTTATTCGGTTGAAGGTAGGGAATCGACCTTCGCCGGCACACAGGGAAGAGCATCGAGGAGCTGGAGCGACGAAGAGACGAGTGCTTCGCGACCTTAGACAATGCGACCTGAACACGAAACATCCGCGAACCGTGACCACTTCTACCAGCGAAACCGAGCGAAACAAAGAAGGTAAGAACATCGTGACAGAGAGGAGACTATATTATTACAACGGATAAGCCAGCACAGCACCGTTTAAGAACCAGTTGTAACGTTTCTACCCTCGAGATTCCTGTGTCGATTTCAAGCTGAACGTTTTCATAACGGTTCGCCCTGACCGCTTCTCTTCGTCTAATTGCATCCTAGAATTTCCCGCTTTTAAACGCGCCCGCTAAACAAGACGGGATCACGCGTGCCAAATTCAAATGGTTCGCTCGAACGAATTCCTAAGTGGATACGGACAGATTTTGGTCAGACGAACTGGAACGGATCGAGCGTTTTTACCGAATTGTATATCGACAAGACATTCTTCTTCTAATAATCGATCTTTTATAACTCTTTTTCACTTGCGAACTCTACACGATTTTTACGCTTATGCATAATTTAATAGCACGTTCGTAACGCTAATCCTGCGATGAAAATTCTTATTGTTGTTTGTTTCGTCGTGTGACTAAAAACACAGCGAAAAACAAATTGTAGCACCTATTGTCTCCATTCGACGTGATCAGTAGCAAATAAACGAAATCGTGGTAATTTCTTTACTTTTGAAAAGGAACAAAACCATAATCCAACTATTAATAGCCAACGCGTTACATCGTAATTAAACGAATAAAATGTGAATGATCTTTGCAAGCATGATAGATAAAAAGCTTTGTTCGTAGCACGCATGGAAACGCTTTAACTGCTCACCTCTGACCATCTGTACTCCGGAGAGTTTCTGCCGTATCAGCGAATCGATCCTTTTTCGATCGAATGCACCTCTCGAAACGACGACTCGATTATCCTTGCGTTTGCCGATGGATGCTATGCAACCACGACGATGCTTGCTCGGCTCGAAAGACGAAAGAAGGAACTTAACCGAACGAAGAGGACAGAGAGAACGACAGTGACGACAACGACGATAACGAGGACGACGACGTCGAAGCTTACCACTCGACAGACTCGCGCAGACTGATCAGCTCGGCCTCTATCGCTGCGCTACAACCTCAACTGCAGGTTACCGCTCCACCGGAGAAGGGGGATGCAACCGACAAATTTTATTTCGTACCACCGCCCCCTCCACCTTCTTCCGTCACTGCCCACAACTAGCGATGGGACTGATACGATACCCATCGGCGATATTCGAACAATTCGGTACTCGGTTTGAATCGTTTTACAAAAGATCCCATCCAATTTTCGTCTTCGTCAGAAATTTATTCGGTGAACGGTGTAATAACATAGAATGTCACACTAAATAGAAATAGAAATTCTATGAATCTTAGTTTCTAGTTCATTGTAATTTATTCCTGACAATTATTTCGGTCGTTTTTCGATCAATTTGAGAAGGAATACGCTCAACGGTGAATTCAACAAATTTCACATTACACTTAATAGATTAGAAATTCCACAAAGTGTGATTGTGTCAAGTAACAGGGAAATATGAGGAATATAAAATAACGGTTACTATATATTTTCAACGAGGTTCATTTATTACTGTAAAAAGGAAAAATGTAAATAATAAACTATTGATAATACGATAAAAATTAATCGATGTATGCCATTGTACTTGTTCATTGTTTTTAGTTTCAGATGGAAATGTTTTCTCGCATACAATACTTTGTTTTTCCAAGCAATTTTCTGAAAAGTGCAATAACGTAGATGCAGTAACTTCTGCCGATACTAGGTACTCTTCGTTGCCCTGAACCGAGGGAAACTGAACTCGTCGTTTGCGTTGAGCGGTTTACGTTTACCAGGGATACCACCTCTCCAACTTTTGTCCGGAGATTCCGATTTATTACTATACACTGTGCCCATTCGACCACACGATGGATTGACATTGTCCTATATGAACAGTGGATACTGCAATGAACACGATTATACTTCATTCCACGTGACTAGACGATGCTTCCTGTAACTAGACAAATTTTTGATCATATGCTCGATTTCCCTCTATAGACTATTTTTGCTTTCGTGGTTATATACATGGCGAGGAAAAATAAATGTACGCTAGAAGCGAGTGATGATATTACAAACGTAAACGATATACTGTACTCCATCGCTGTAATATATTCATACAATAAGCGAACGGAGAAAACATGTTTCGCACAATGGGCGAATCGTGCTTAAATTACCAAGAATTAGAAATTATGAAATTTTCTGGCCGTTAGGTATGTAGCGATCGCCGTAAGAGCGCATGCCTGTTACCATAGATTACAGAGTGTGTAGAAGCAAACTCGGTTCACATGCGCAGAAGCAACAAAAAATAATCATTTACATATTTATGTAGTTTCTTCCCTCGTAGAATGCACAGATCTAGGAACTTCTCCAGGGGTGGAAGTCCATCCGAGGATCGCGCTTGAAACCAGAAATTATTTCTACCAGATTTCCACTATTACTTTCATTATTATACCATGTAACATTGGTTGCGAATGTCTTTTATTATTTAAATACACAAGAAAATTGTTCTTTCTCGAGACATGTCCAGTGTGGGACCCGGGTTGGTGCGCTCAAGCTGCGGTAAGAAATGAGAACGAAAGTGTATCATGCATATACGGTATACGCTATATAGAATATTGGGCTTTTCAATACGTTTTCTCATACGGTCTTAACCGCAAGTACTTTGGTTTCTAAGGAGACTTATCGGTTCATTTTGCAGTGGAGACTATAAACCATGTTAGCAGTACCTCGATGAATGTTTCCAGTGCACTTTGCACCATTGATGGAACAATCGATCGAAATTATTTAACGACACAGGTTATACGTTTTCTGACGAATAGGTTGATGATATTTTTAGAACCACGTGTAACCACTCTCGGCGGAATTTGTTTATTCGATTATTTGACTGTAACGGACACAGAGGTAGAGAAATTCCTTTCGATCGAGAGAGATTTTTCCGTTTTCCTGTCCACGCGAGGAGCGTGGATTGCAATTGCGGGGAAAACTATGTCGAATTTCAGGGTCATCCACGAAACGAAGACCATACAACTCCTCGGGAAGTCCGATGGTAAAATATTTCGGTTGGTCGCTAATTTTGTCACGGTATGCCGTGCCTAGTGCGTGCAGGAAGGAACGAGAGAGAATATAACGAAGCAGCTTCACCGTTCAACGTGCCTTTCCATGCTTATCGTTGTCGTTCGTTTCTTTCTCCGTCTTTCTTTTTCTGCTTCTTTGTCCCTGCCTGTTTCAGGAGCATTTGCTCGTCGATTGGCTCCCTATTTTCGCTCGTTAAAGTCAATGTTCAGTATAGCATGGTAACTACTCAGGGTCAACATCTCCCTCGAGGCTGACAAAAGCGTGCGGTGTCAACGAGACGTAAACAACCCCTAGAAAAGATGATAATATTTTTGTAAGAAGCTCGAAATAATTCTATTAACCACAATCAAGATATTAATGCGTATATCACTCGTGTACGTGTATGATACGCGTGCAAACTCTACGTCACGTATAAGAAGTCGATCGAGTCTCGTACGACGAGGAGAAAAAGACATAGATTTATAAAAGAAGCCGCAAGATCGCGAGAAGTTAGCAAACGCGATGTGCGTCAGTGATAACGATCGTAAAATAAATTGTATGTATATCGGTACATCCAATCGGGTGACGAATCGAGAAGAAGCCGTAAGATCGTAATCTTCTTCGAATATGAAAATTGTTTCTGCGATGACTTCGTGCGTCAATGTAGATACTGTATCTTATCAGGTACTTCTGTTTTACACGGATGGTAATCTTTTCAATTACAAAGAGGAAATAAAGAAGGAAATTATCATCGACGCTCTATGACTGACAATCATAAGTCTTCTTCAAGTTGTTTCGATGACAAGTTACTTAAAGTTTACAGTAAACAACGAAATTATCGTTTGGTTCATTAAATTTGGTTAATACCAAATGTTACGTACGAAACGAGAAGGTACCGAGATTTAGAACCGTTGCAAGACCTTGAGAACAGAACCTGACTCAACGCAGACGTTTAATATCGAGGTTAAACGTCCCTCCTCCTTCAAAGCAGATCAGAAAAAAGGAACAGTTTATTTCTTTTAAAAGAAGAAAAAATCACGAGGGTATCGAAAGATTCCATGCATACCGAACCGAGTTAATAAATCCGAATTTCCTCGTATCCTGACTTTGCGTTTATCGATTTTATAAGACCCCTCCTCCCCTTACGATCCTCTATGGATGTATACGAAATTGTCGAATTTGCAGTAGCATCACTTTTTTCTGTCGGAGTCGGTCAAATCTTCGATGATACTACTCTTTTGCTGTTACTTCTTCATTTTCAAATGTCTTAGTTCGGTAAGAAAAATTGGGTAATACACTTTATGTTATCGTAATTTGTCGGATGTCTTGTCTTTGAAATATTTCTACCAGAACGGCATCTAGGATAACGAAAATCAAATAGTCTCGTATGCGTCAACTTGATATAAGACTGTTTCGTTGTAGTACAATGTAAATGGAAATTTTTTTAACGCGATTCGCGTTGATATTTCTTCGTTTACTCGGTAAGAGGGAATACAGGACAAATATTTGAAAGATTCGTCAACGTAACCGAAAAAGACTGAAACGGTAGGAACGTTTCGAAACTTACACAGCGGTTAAACGTCTAAGGTAAACATTTTCTAGCAACGAATAAGAACGTATGAAAATCTTTTCCGGCAGATTGGAACGTCTGGCCTGTGCCACGACGTACGGCTGAAAGTCTATAAGCCGCCGAAGAGTATTTTTGTCCATGGATATTATCGATTGCATATACCCTTCGTTCCTTCTCTCTCTCTCTGGCGCTTTCTCCTTCTCTCTCTTTTGGCCAGTCTCTCTTTCTTTCTTTTTTCTCTTCCTCTCGCACACACGTTCCGAACTAATAGATTCTTCCCTTTATTTTTGTTTTTCCTCCTATATACGGAGCCGTTACGATCTAAAATTGATAGACGAAGTAGTACGAATCGAGTTTCGCGTCTACAAATGCGCAGCTACGCTCGAAACAATCTATTTTAACATCCAGAATGGAAGGAAGTTTTCGTGAAAGCTCTGTCCGTTTTTAGTAACGATGGTAAACTTTCGAGCGAACATCGGTTCTTGAATATGATTCTTGTTTCGATATACGCGCAAAAAAGGGGAGACACGTTGAGTAGCGCATCAGTTGTGCCTAGTCCTATGCGCATTAACATACTATCAATTTAATGCCTAATTTTATCGTTTAATTTTTCGTTTTTCTATTTTTAAGTCTGCGCCTTTTTATGTGATTCGATAGAACTAAATTGCTTCGATTTATTAGCGTAATTTTAGAGTTGCCTAAAAATCTAGAAGTAAGATGAATACTGCGATTATCAAAAAAGTTTTGTTGCGGTGTAGTTATTTCCATTTTGAACCATGCCATTCCGCGACTAGTTTCGAGCGAGAAGTTATCGATCCTATGGACAGAATTGCCGCTGGAGGAGCAAAATATTTTCGAACTAGAAGATCCAAGTAAATTTCGCTACGATTTCGCGAACGAAATCACGTTAGAGGCGAAGTGTTCGGCACGATGGAGATTGGTATAACCGTTCGTAAATTTGACGGTGAGTGACGTGTTCGATCAGCGATCATGATTCACTGCAATGCGTCACAATGAATAGAGAATCTTATTCTTGGCTCATTGTGGCTCATTGTTCGCAGTCACCTACTTTCATTTACCCAATTGTATCGTTTGCTTCGCACAACACTCTGACCATTACACGCATGTATCTAATTTTATAACGGGAAACTTGGCTGCACTCTTCGAAACCTTCCCTAGCCGTACTAGTTGTAGCGGGAACGAAAGGGTTAATTAATAATGCATAAAGTTAGGCGGAGGTTCATTTTTGCTCGCTTATCGTATCGAGACCGATCTATTTCGTGATCTACTTGCTAACACGCGTATTCGCGTCATCAGGAGTTACGATTGGTTCGAAAAGAGGCTTTCGGTCACAATGGATTAAAGTGTCTTCTCTTCCTCGAAGCTTCGAAGCATCGATCCACAGCGATGCATGAAAATCCAATGGCACCAGTGTTTCTCGTGTTCCCCTCGAAGAAATCGTCCAGTCGGTTCAACGAGCTACTCGCTGGAACAGCCAAAAAAACATTCCTCGACCGTTTCTTCGTTTTTCCCTCCGTTATTCCGCGGAATTTACGAGAAATTTCGAACGCGTGTCTCTTTCTCGGGTTGCGGACAGATTCCCATAAATATGCTTTTTTTATTAGGCAACCTCTGAAAAATGTATCGTGTCCCATCGTTGAAACGAGTGATTTTCTCGTACAGTTTCCCGTGAAACTTTACGATTGTCCGTGTGGTACGAGCTTATACCGTTGGGTTAGCATAGAAGAATCGGTCAAATAACGTGTACTAAGAGAACGGTGGGCTAGAGTAGCGCAAAGTGAGATTACACGGATGAGAGAGGATGAGAGATCCAACTTGAACATACCAAAATGGCGGAGGCCCAGAGGGTTGGAGGTGGCACGTGTTTGACAGCGTAGCCCAGTGGCGTAATAACGAATTGATATCGGTTCTACCCGCTCTTTCTAACGTTTAGTAAACACTATTGCTGTCGCAAGATTATTATGTTTCGGGATATAATTTTTTTAAACAGAAACAATTTGATCACCGCACGAATAATATGTGAACTTAAACGTTACATTGTCGATGAGATAAACGCGATCCGTTGTAATAAAAAATTATAATAATTATTTGTCCATGCTTTACATCGTTGCCATTTCGATGTTGTCGGTTGAACAAAAACAGTAGTTACATCGTTTCCGTCAGGTTCCGGAAAATACATATTTTCATTTTGACGTCACGTATGTCGAAAAGATTCTTATCGCCGGCTTCTAAATCCTACGCCTCTGAGGTCCAACCTCCTCCGGGTGCCATCCCAAGTACACCCCTAATGACGTCATAGGACAGTGGCGCCAACAACCCTGCACTGACGTCAGCTCCGAGCAACGGCCAACCGAGTTACCTTTGCGCCATAAATTCTCAACTTTTCCTCTTTCGTTGATACGCGATAAAAGAAAATAAAAGTAGGTAGACGAAAAGAATCAGAAAGACAGAATAAATATTTTTCCGAATATCGTCCAAATATTGTTACAACAAGATACTTGTTAAAATCGAAATCGTGGTTGTAAGTATAATAAAATTGCAACTAATAAAAAGAATGATAAAGAATCGTGTTGAAAAATGCCGGTAATTCTCGCTATTTTTCTTATCCGAAACAAAATATTTTGTTGAATTTTAAAACAGTAATTTATTAACTGTTAAATATTAAAGACCCTTTTTGGTTAAAAATATTTTTATTGTCAGATCATGAAAAGTGTGCGAAAAGAAGCGAGGATCGTTACGGTAAATACTCGTGTCTGTTGAGTTTATTGAGTCGGCGTGAAACAGCAGGTTCGTCATCGATTTACTATGACGAAGGCAATGACGATTTCGTTCGTCATTCGTTACCTGAGCTTTCGTTGCAATTACCTCCTGCGATTCGATTGGTTAAGCCGGTTTATTTTTGACCATGTCTGCACGCTCCTGAACGTATCGCCACCTTCCATCGCATTAACCTTTCCTCGTTGTTTCGCGATCGCAATGACGTATTATTACCTGACAAATTGCTCATTCATTATGTATGTACTCGGTCGCGTTTAAGGAAAAAAGCTGCCGTCAATTCGATATCGGTTAACGCGTTGATCGACACGAGCATCACCGATAACCGGAACCGTCAAAAAGGGATTCTCGTATTTAACAGATTTTCCAATATCGTTCGATTAACAAAATCTTATCTAAATCCAACTATTTCGATTGTATACTGCTACTATATCATTGAAACGCGATATAATCGAATAAGTAGAAAAACGAGAATATTACTAATAAGATTGCGAATCGAAGACTAACTTTCTTCGTGCATTTATTTTTGCTGCGACAGTCGACGCCTTCACGAAGCTTAATTTAATTGAACGTTCGCGTTTTCGAAGAACAAAGAAAAAGCGTGCGATATAAAATGAAACGAAGTAACCAACCCCTTGTAATTAAATTTAAGATATTAGCAGACGAAGGGAACGCTAGCGTTTCTGGTATACATCACGGAATTCGATCGAGTAAAGACGAGAGATTTTTTAGAAGATCGATGAGCGGTATGCAGAACGATGTAGCAAATGAAACGATGGGAAAACAAAAGACCGTAGGCGGTATTGACGTATTAAATCTATATAGCGTTAAGCAAAAGAGTAATCCATCGAAAACGATAAGTTTAGCACGAATACGCTCGAAATTTCGCGTCACGAGAAACGAATTAACAGACGTTCTTAAATATAATAGCAGCTTCTTGTCCAATATCGTACGTTGTTTAAGAATAGTTTCGTTCATGCTGCTCAATTTAATCCTATTCAAGATACCGCTACACGGTTTCCTTCCCCCTTTTTCTTTCCTGTGGAATTTACCGTTTCAATTCGGATAACAGACGGTGAATGAAGTTCAAACGATGACGCTCGTGCGTAATTCGACGTTACTAGCGCTTGACACGTGCGAGTCTAACTATTAGGGAGCATCGAAGCAATGAACAGAGAAATTTAATCGTTCTATCTCCGTCATGAACACAAATACCCCGATTGTCACGTAACGCATAACGAACAATTAACCATTGTAATTGTACTCGACCGTTCTACTTCAAATTCATATGCTTCGATGTGCCCGTTGTACACAGTGATAGGCCAGAAATATAACAATTGCCATTGTCTATTACGCAATTCTTAAATAAGAATTTAAAAAATTCTTTGCGCAATTAAAAGAAGGAGAATAATTGAAAAAGTAGGTAGTTCATTGGACAGTGCAGATTTTTGCAACTGTATCGAAAGGAAGTTCGTTAGAGAAACAAAGCGTTTGTCGTTCATGTATCTTAATTGAGGAATAATGCGTTCAACCCACGCTCGCAACATCCTCGTACGTAAAGAGAGACGTTGGTAGTGATTTACACAGATGCGCACGTACGTCGAGGCGCGCGCGTACAAGTATAGTTCTGCTTACGTTCGCTTTCACGATGCGACGCGACGCGACTCGACGCAACGGTTCATTGCCAGTGATATGCGCGACGTCCTCGCATACGGACCGGGGACAAACGAACGCGAATCCCTCTTTTTATTGTCGCAACGGTGACGTCAATTCTCTCTAATCTTAGTACTCATTTCCGAAAATTATGATAGCACCGCGTCGTGCCGCATCGTTCCCGCGTAGGTAGGCCAACGTATGAGCGACGGACGTTTAGGACGATCATCGGTTTCCTGATTATGATCCCCTAGGCCTTTAACAAACGATTTCGCCTTGTCGCTTATGGATTTCTATTTTGAAAATCAAGCGCCGACACATCGGTGATCGCCAGCTTAATTTCGTTGGTTGTTGATCGATTTCGGTTATCGATACGATCGTTTCCGCCGCGGGTCAATAACGACACGAACCTGCTATTATCTAGTACTTTAGGTACGAACAAATTATCCAATACCGGTAATATTACAATTGTCATTCGATCTTTTTCAACATGAAACGGTTTGAAAAGAAATTACATCGGCTTAGTTTGCAATTGGATGATAGCATTATAACATAAGCCAGTGTGTATGTGATTTGTTAATAGAATAGAAACGAAGCTTCGAAGGTTGAAATTGCAGTAGTCAAATGAAATAGTAAACAAGGACAATAGTAATATTCCATCGATGGTTTTAAAAATAAGAAGTGAACGCGTTGAAAATCACTGCAGTCGAGTCAGCATACGATATAATAAGCTTCCGCAGAAACTCACCGACAGCGATTTTATATAATCTTCTACGAAAAGGAACCTGGAAATTATCGCATTGTTCGTCTTTATGATCGTACCGCCGTGACGCGTATATTAATTGACGTTAATCTTTTACCGTGATAAACACTTTTATGCGGATGTGATCGTACATGAACAAAAGCTTCCATTAAAATATATAATGTTAATATTTATTGATATAAGTGTAAACAAAATAGGCATGACGCGAATAAACAGTGCAGGCTACAAATATGATCGTAATGCGAATTGAATATAGGAACATTGTAACAAGATGCATCGTCTTCGTTGTGCATATTTTTTTTTTCTGTTTGGCCAAAAGAGACGAAAAAAACACAAGTTTCTTTTTTATATTATTCGCGAGAGAACGCTACATCGCTTTACAATTTTGTGATTAGAAGGCAAGAATCGATTTTCCATTTCCAACGCCATCCTCGTAATATGAATAATTCATTATGCGTTCGTTTCCTTGTTCGATTATAGCTTGTATTATTTATTATATGCTACGTAATAGTAAATAAAGCATTCTCGAGAATCGATTAAGTATTTATAATGGAACCGATGTGCAACGGAATAAGTTACACGGAATAAATAACAACAACGTCTACAATGTTCTAATGAACATTCGCTAAGCAACCTGTCCTCTCCTAAAGATAAACTGTCTTTTATTCTTCGAGCTTGCGTTGTCTCGCCATAGGAAACAAATCAAGAACACGATTTTGCGAATTAAAGGATATCCCGTACCAAACTTTCACGTTTTGTTGCTGATTTAACTGCGAGCAGCAATGAGCAGCTTAAAACCTTCTACACCTTTCTCTAATTTGTTAGAAGTCTATAAAACTCTTGTAAAATAAAAAATTTGTTCAAGAAAGCTCCAAATTCCGTAACACGTATAAAGTTTGGACAGGAATATCCGCTTAACATTTATTTTAACGCGTCAACTGCTCACTTGCAACGCACAGTTATCGTTATCGTTATTAATTTCAGTGACATTTAATACTTCGTTGTTTCTGCCGAAACAAGTTTATAAGATCAGTTAAAAGTAACCGTTGCTGCGATCGACGCGTTAAAGATCTTTTCAATGAAAAGTTCAACAAATTTACTGGCAGACCGATGAAAATCGATGTTCAGTCTCGATCAACAGGTTGCCTCTTATCGACGACAAATCTTCCACATAAATACGCGTTAATGATTAAACAGAGATCGCTCGAAGTCGAAGAGAAACAGATTTAACCCTTTGCCTCTTGATATCTTCACAAATTACCGGATGAAATTTCCACGCGTGATTAGCAAAAAATGAATGATTTCTAAATAAGACGCGTATATCGATAGAGTAAATAGCTAATTTGATGGTACACGGATCGTCGGAAGAGTTCTCGAGGCAAGATTAAAGCGATTCAGACTGAATGACGTTCAACCGTATCATCGATATTTACCTTTCTCTTGTGAGCGACTTAACGAGATACGACAGAATTAACAACGATAATAGTCAAGGACGCGATAATTATAGCAAGTAACGATTAGAAAAAAAACGAAAAAATTGAGAAGCATTAAGCATCTTCGTCACCCCATTCGAAACTTTCTTCTCCACCGGAAACCACTTCCTCGATTTTTGGCGCATCCTCGACGGCGTTTCCGCCCGTTTCCTCTTTACTTTCGGCTCCTGTTGGTTCTTCGACAAAAGGATCCGTCATATCGAAATGTTCCTCTTCCTGTACATTTTCCTCCTCGATCTTAGTAGAAAAAAGAAGCAGAAAGTTAATCGTATACTCGACAGTCGAAGTAATATCAGAGAAGAAAACTTTCCGATCGACTCGATAGATTAGTCGTTTTCCGAATTGTTCGTTCGTGCAAGTCTGTCGACGGCAACATATCGACGATCCTCCGTGAGAAACGAAGAACTTTGCTTACCCTCGTGTCGTCGTCCGTGATCAATTCGTACTGTTTTTCTTCTCTGTCTTGGTCGGTAATGTCGCAGGTTATCGCGTCGTCGCGTGAATGATCGACTTCTTTCACTTCGTCGGCATCGTCGAACGCTACGTTCGCTAACCTTTCCTCCTTTTCTTCCTGTTGACGGACTTTCTCCAAATGCTCTTCGACGATCATTCTCTCCTGTTCCTTCAATATGGCCTCAGTTTTCGCTTCCTCTAATTTTCTGGACAAAAAATATTTCTCGTAGTAATTCAACCGCGCTTCGAACAAAATACCAATGAACTTTGGTTGACACCTCTAATTTTCAAAGTACGAAGGGTCATTTTTGAAAGCTTACAAAAGGCGATGTTTTACCAGCTACGATAGTGGCACGAAAAAATCTAGTTATTATACGTACCTTTCTTCTTCCAATATTCTTTCGGTTTCAATCCGGTTCGCTTCGAGTTTAGCTTCTTCCGCTTGCCTCTCGCTCTCGGCCCTTTCTTGCTCGACTATCTCGTCGAGATGTAGCGCTCGTTCTTGCGCGGCTTGCAGAGCTTCCCACGCCTTTCGCTCCTCCATTTCTAGCCTAACTCTCTCCTCCTCGGCAGCCTTTTTCCTCTCTTCGTCGGTCCTACGAAAGAACGCGATTTGCCCGCGTTATTCGTGGAAAATTTCGGATCGTTTCGCGCTCTATTCGAAAACGATTAGAGATTTAGAATTTTGGCAAGCATTTCGAGTGGGTCACTGGGTAACCCGGCTATATTCGATATTATGACCCCGGCTTCTACGAGTAACGGACAACTAGGTTGATATTATTTCGAAACATTGTTCGTTGCGTAATATATTTTATTAATGGTACGTGCCAATATTCGCGTAAGCATGTAGGAACCACTGTGTAACTTTCAATCGAACTACGTACCTAGCTTCTTCGGCGGCTTTAACGAGATACTTCTCTATTCTCTTTATCGCCTCTTCTTTCTCCTGTTTCACTGAAATCAAACATTTTTTGCCACATTAAATGAAACGATGCGTCGATTATAGAAACGTATTTTTGTCAAGTGTTTTCGTGTATTCTTTAATTTTAGGAACATTCCTTTAGAACGGAACACAAAGATCACGTAACAGAACATTATCCTTCGTGCAACAGTAAACAAGAAACAATGATGAATAACAGAGGTTCGTCAAGACATTGACATTGATTTTTATTCGACTACACGTATACTCGCCCGATATACTTATATTCACGACTTTCGTACCGGTTGCTATCCGATTTTTCCTTCGAAATAACGTACCATTGTCGGTCGTTGCTTCCGTTTCGCCTGTTTCTTCCTTTTCACTTACAGTTTCTTTGTTCTGACCTTCTAAATTCTCTTGCGTAGCCTTGGTCTCAGCTACTGATTCTTCTACTGCCTCTGGCTGCGATTCTTGTACCGGTGCTTGTGCAGTTTCTGCGACTGCCTCGGGTTCTTTCACCGGTTCAGGTTCCGGTTCTTTCGTTGGTTCTGGTTCCGGCTCAGGTTGTGGTTCGGGTTCTTTGATAGGCTCGGGTTCAGGTTCTTTAACAGGTTCAGGTTCGGGTTCCTTCACAGGTTCCGGTTCTGGCTTAGATACCTTCGCAGGTTTCGATTTTTTAGCGGGTTTAGACTCTTTCGCGGGTTCAGGTTCTTTGACGGGTTCGGGTTCTTTCACGGGTTCCGGTTCTTTCACGGGTTCGGGTTCTTTCACGGGCTCAGGCTCAGGCTGCGATTCTGCTACAGTTTCCATCGGAGCTTCTTGAGGAGGTTCCAACTCTTTTTTCGGTGTATCTGGTTTCCGTTCATCGTCAGATTTTCCCCGTTTAGATCCTCGACGTTTTTCCGGCTTCGAGTCCTCTTCTTTCTGTGCTTTGTGCGCTGCAAGACACATTGTACGATATCCACCACACGTTTCTCTGTACTACGAATCGGCATAATAATTTTTAGAAAGGGTGTAGTACCTTTTCTCAACTGTGACTCGTCCAATTCTGGTTGCAACGCTCTCGCTAAAATTGATTATGCTACGTGAAAATGGGTATAACAGTTTTCTTGTAAATTACATGTTATGACTCGAATGATCATGTACTTTCATTTGATCGTACATTCAACAAATTCTATGGACATAGGTTATAGTTATCTGAGAATATTAAACAAACTTCACTGACCTTTTCGTAATTCTCTTTCCGTCATCGGCTCGTCCGACGCTATAGAACGAAACATGAAACATAAACGTTCGATTAATTATCGAGCAAGATACTCTCCGATGCTATATCGTCGCGTCTGAAATAGAACACGAACTCGCACGCCAAATGAAGCCGTAATTATGAAATTAGTCCAGAGGTATATTCGGAAAATATATCAACCTATTCGCTTCCGATTTTCCCAGAAAAATGATTAATCGCGTTTTTACACGGTTCGAAGATCTCATGCTCCGAAGCGAATACGTTAATAAAATCGCATTCGTTAATCTCTACAGAAAGCTTTAGAAAATAAAAGAACTAGTCGATTAAAAAATACGATGGTGTGCGACGAATGAATTAGCGTATTAGGAAATTCCGAACTCGAGAGAGCGTCGACGATGAAATTATTTCTGGATTCGATGAAGTTTGCACTGGGATATTTTGTAGCACGATATTTAGGAATACGATGAATTCGACGATGAACCAGATCATTCGTTCGCGTCTCGTTTCGATGACACGATCGATCGTCTTCGATTATAGTCACGAATCGTTCAAGGGGATGATCGATTAGAAACACACACGGTAATACTTAGCAATTGTGTTTTCATCACTTTTGCTTCCTCGACGAACACGGACGTGTTACTGTTTTTCATTAGGATCATTACTTGGACAACGAACTCGCAGAATCTTCCGAGCTTTCATCGTGTGTCGTTGTTCTTGTCGTGACGTTAACGTTAATGCGTTTCCTCTTTGCTTTTTTTTTTAACAACACTCAACGCCACTTCAGAAACCAAATGTCAGCCGATCGAATGATTAGAAGAATATTAAGCACCCAAGATAAGCTTACCTCGAAAAAAACGCTCGTTAACCAGAGAGCTCCTCTAATTTTCCAAGTTTCGTGTAAGGAAAACAATTGACGGTATCCGTTTTAAGCATTTATGATCGTTTTATTTCGACACATTCTATTTTTTTTTACTTTTGTTTTTCGATAAACTTGGACAAATTTGACGATAGAGAATGACACGCGCGTGACGGTATCGAAACGAAAATTTGTGAAACTTTTAAATCGAACGAGAGCAGTACGAATATTACAGTGTCTATTCGTAAGGAAATCGATATCGAAGACTAGCTTTCAAGGAAATTACGCGCGCTGAAGGATATCCTAGAGTTAATCCTTGACAGGTAAGCTCGAAAGATTTCCTATCGAAAGCGCGAATCGTGTTTGAATTCGTGTTTTCGAAAGTAGACGCTGTATCATCGACAGTTTCGAATTAAACGATTATTTGACGCGAACGGTTGATCACTCCTCGGCGGGTGCCTCGTCATTTTCTTCCTCGTCCTTCTTTTTGGCTTTTGTCGGATCTTCGTACAGCTCGGGAACGCGATCTCTCCATCCTTTGCCTGAAACGTTCAAAAAATCCGAACTGGTTCTTCTGCGATTTTTATCCACGTTTACGTGTCCCAGACGTCTGGTTCTGCCTGACACTCGAAGTCTGCCTTCGTATCAATTCTTCCTCTCGTTTCCATTCTTTTTATTCTTATTTTTTACGTGTCGTATCATCATCATCGCGTGGTACGCGATTCAAAGAAAAATACAAAAATATGTATGTGTATATATATCCGTGGACGAAACAATAGAAGAGAAGTGGAAAAAATCAACTTTCTGTCTCACACCTTCGTCGCTAAATGATACTTGAATTAGACACAATACGTAACAGTGATATGCAGCTACTGAACAAAAAACGAGGTAAAAAATCAAAAAAAAAAAGAAAAAAAGATAAAGAGGAGATACTACGTAACGAAGGAGGATACAAAAAAAGACACCAAAATATATAAGAGAAACACAGGTGATCGCCAGCACAGCAGAACAAAAATTCGTCAGGCAGTGCGAATTCAACGGCAACCCATCCAAAAAAGTGGAACAATAGAGAAACGAGCAGGTAAGAAAAAACCAGAACCAAAAAGGGGGGTTACACACAACGCGGCGTCCTATGGCCGCTTTTATTTTTCTCCAAAATTCTAATCAAAATTATATTCGTTGGTAAAACACGAGGAAAGATAACGACGAATAATACTTATACGATATTTTACGTCTTTAATACGACACGGTCGAACGTTCGATTATTCGTGATTATATCTTCCTATGATTTACCGGTAAATTCGTGTTTCCTGTTGAAAGTCGCTTTTAACGCGCACGAATTTTTGTCATTCGATCTTAAAGTTATTTAACTCGTTAACGCGTTCGTAACAGTCGATCCGTTAATCGTAAATCGTAAGAAATTCGTATCGTCTATCGCAAAGATTCGTTCGAAATAATAATGCGTGTTCGTGGGTCGTTTTCGTGTTCGCGTTAGTCTTTGTCGGTGTGGGTTCGTCCGTGTAAGCAAACTACTCACAGGCGTTAGCGGCCGCCTCGCGGTTTTGCCTATAGTAGCTCAGAAAATTGACGTCGTTCTTGATATCCGAAGGACGTAAATCGGCGACCTTGAAATACGGTTTTCTGACAGACTGTGGCTTGCCACCGATGTACTTGACGCAGGCCAGATTACCGATGTTGGTTCGATCGGGTACTTCGTACCAGGAGATGGGCTCCATATCTTTCTTCATGTTGTGCTTGCCGGATATCAACCGACGAACGTAATCCCCGCTACGCATACGTTCTGGCACTATCTCTTCCACGAAATCGCTAAAAATCAAATATTTGTCAATTCGACTGCAAATGCAAGAAGCAATCGCGTGGAATCGTCGAACGATATAAACGATATCGTGAAGTACCTTGCCACAGCTCGTGGGACGAACACGTGTACCCGCCGTAGAAGAGAGTCCACTCTTGCTCGTATTTCCTTCGCCTCGTCGTCGAAGTACTGCGAATAGACAGACGTAAAGCATACGTTTCAACGGATTACGCTCTCTTGCGAGAGAAATTAGTGTTTCGATACGTTCGTTATTCGACTGAAAAATTTCAAAAACAATATGCTCTCGTTATTCGCTAGTCGTTCACTGGACCGAAGTAAAAATAGTCTATTAAACGTTACGATGAAAATTTTCTTTCGCGATTTCAATGAACGTCGATTTCGATCAACTGTGAATTAGAAGAAATGCGTAAAAAAGACGACGCGATTCCGCTGTGCGAGTCGATGACGCCAGATGTGGTTGAAGAGTAGAAATCGTGAAGAGGAGATGCGACGATCGAAGATGACGATGACGATGACACATGGATGATGACTGGATGACCGTGATGCTAATTACGAGGCTTTTCGCGCTTTCGGTGCACTTACGATGTGAGGCTTCGACTGGAGATATTGTTCCGTGTAGGAAGCGGTCGAAGGCCTGGTCAGGTTGCGTATCCTGTTGATCTCGGCCGCGAGGACGCTTGGACGTACTCGCGCGTGTACTCTTATCGGTATCAGGCTGCCGCCATGGTACACGGTATGGTACGGTGTGTGGATTACGGTCACGAGCCTTTTGTGAGCCACGTACGGTATATGAGGAATGCCCCTCAACTGAAGGCACGAACTCTGCTTTACTCATTCGTCGACTAAATCGTTACGTTCCCAGCGTGGCGTCACTGCCAAAAAGCTTCAGACAAGCGTGCTCTTTTTAAACTCGCAGCGTCATGCAATATTTCTCTCTCTCTCTGTTTTCGACCATTCGCCGAATCCGATAGCCTCAACTATCAATAACAGCAGACAATCGGTTCAGAATGTTGACCAATAGCACATAGCAGCCAATAGTAGTAGTCGGTGATGATTTTTGTAACAGACGGTGAGAACAACCACGTGTCGATACGATCTGTGCGCGCCTCATCGAACGATCAAGGAAATGAGCGACATCCAATGCGTACAGTTCATTGGATAATATTAGATCGTTGCATATCGAATGATCGGTCTCGAAATCGTTATAAAGTCTAACAAGATTCTACTACATACAGACACTCTAAAACATCAAATTTCTTTTTTAATAACGACGTTTATATGTACATCAGCTGACATGGTAATCTTTATTGAACAGCAAGCTTCAAATTGACGCTACTTCCTAGTACCTTTATGTCGTGAAATCGTGTCAGACTTTATAGGTATCGTCAAACGATCATTTGATACGTAACAGCCTAATAGCCGAAACAGATGTAATCATTGATGTATGCGAATTTTAATGCGAGACATGCTCAACAATTAGTAACTATGAGAAAAGATAGCGAATGAAATACAGCAGGACTCCATTTATTTCGTTAGGAGAGAAATATTCTAATTGATCAAGTTGAAAGCGGATTACGCTAACGTTTAAAAGAAAAAGATTTTTACATGGGTAGAAAAACCTAAATTAAATAAAGAAAATTATCGAACCTTCGCATCTTTGGCGCGTTCTGATAAATGGAGTTCCACCGTTAAAGCCGAAAAGCGTCGTTCTAAAATATGCGTAAAGCAAAGAAACGATCTATTCGTTACTCGAACAGAAGAAGAAGAAATCTGACAGTTTTGAGAAAAAACTAGTTGTTTGAGAAAAAAGAAAAACATACACGGTCTCATTGAAATTCACGATGTCGCACTTGTCGCAGTTCGAAGCTTTAAGCCTATCGAAAGCAAGCCGCTACTCGCGCTAGCACAAATATAATACTTACCTGAAGAATCGTGGAGAGGGGCAAAGTGATCGGTTGATACTGTAGTCGTTGTATTTACAGAGACGAGAGTTTTGTACGTTTCGTTTAATCGATTTTCGACGATATTGGGCGTAATCCAGCGGCAGCGGGGGGCGCATAGTCACGTGAGAGGCAGAATAAATAGAAAGAAGAACAACACCCGGTTAGTAATGTTCACGGTAAAGTGTCGCTTTCGACACTCTCTCTTTTTATACCCATTTTCCTTCTTCGTTTAGTTACACGTTTTGTTCTTTTACTCGCACGTTCGTCATGAAACGTCGATCGAATCGGTCCCGTACTTCCGATAAATGGATAATGGAAACAAGGAAAAACTATAAAACAAATGTGTACCTTCGACGAAAGACGGTGAAATTTTCAACGCTTTTCATTCGTTTCATTTATTCTTTTATACACGCGTGGAACATCTATCGTCGATCGAATTGGTTAGGTACTTTCGGTAAAGAGCGACAAATAACGGAAGCAAGAAGGGGCCATAAAACTGCTGTGTACCTCCGATCAGATTCCAATTTTTACCCGACTTTCGTAAGCAATTTGGCCAAGTGTCGCGTTGTGTGTCTATCGAGATGAGTTCCGGTGTTAGTTACGGTTAGTTAGGTACACATTATTCGTACACTGACACGGTAAAGATCAATTAACGAACAAAGAAAGAAACGAAAGGTCGTGTTACATTTCAATACATACATGTTTTATTTCTAACAAAAATCGGTACGATGTTACACGTTTGTTGCTTCTATTTCGACCGTAAAGATCGTTCACGATTCGTTCTTTTCAATGTTTTACGGCAACACACTGAAAGAAACTACGCGTAAGCAAAAAAGAAACACTCCCACACGCATAATCCATAAACGGACAGAGAATTACAAAAGAAATTTTTTTCTACAATGGATGCATCGAAGGAAATTAGGAAAGCGAGACTCGATCGTTTACAATCGTGTTTTGCGGCAATTCAAATTTACGAGAACATTGTTCGAGATGTTAAGCGGGTTTAACCTACTCTTTAAACGCCTAAATGCACCTATAAAATTAACTTTTGTAATAATATACGTTACAAATACGTGCAAGAGTTTCGAGTAGTAACGAAGAAACCGAGACACGGATTCTATCCTATCGTCGAAACAAAGATACCACAAAGATCGCGAAAGCAACGATGGCATCGTCGAAAGACAGTCGATTCGTTTCACCAAAATCGATAGTTACCAAAAGAAAATCATTAACGAAATTCAACCTTTATAAGATTATGTGTTCTTTTTTCAACGTTTTATACAATACATACAGTTTAGAAAAAGGATATCGAACAGGTTAATACGGTTATCTTCGGCATTCTTTACTTTATTGTATCAATTCCAATTCGGGGATCGTAAATCTCATGGCGTACATTACGTAAAATCCTAAAATACGTATCGCTCGAACACTTTGACTACCACCGACAAATATTAATTTTATTTTCGACAAATTTCATTCCCATGATCGAACATGTTCTCAAGTATTCGGTAAAATTGTGTACAATTAAACGAATAAGCACGAGTTCCACGGTGGTAATCGAAGCGTTGAAGAGGTAATAGTACCATTACGAACAATTCAGCCCGACCGATGGTTTCGATTAGAAGGTCGAGATGGGTGAAACGAAAGTATCGGGGGTGAGGAATTTAGACGCGGTAGGAGAAATGGCGGTAAGTGGTGCCACCAGGTAAACGACCGGAAGAGTGAGACTCGTAAGAGGAGTGATAGCTTCCAGGACCCCCGCCGCTCGATGTCCTGGACGACCTCTCGGTCGAGTACGATCCGTATGGTCCGCTCTCCCTCTTGACGACGCTCTCCTCGCTGTAGCTAGTCCTCTGCGGACGACGGCTATACGGATCCGTGGACGAGGAACTCGACGAGCTGGTGTTGGTGTAGGCATAGCTGTACTGCTCTTGAGCAGTCCTCATCCCGACTTCCGGATAGTCACGAACCACGTAATGCCGAGGCGTCTATAGATAGTCGGGTTACACAAGGTCAACAATATGGAGAATAGGCATTTCCGGAGAACAGAACTCGAGATCGTGAAGAAATCGATATCCGGTGAACGTGTTACTTCGCGTTTTGCGTTCCGCGTTTGTACGTACAATTTATCGCGTCTGATCGGACGAACGTACGAATTAAAGCAGTATCTTTGCTCGATCTTGAAAAGTCTAAAGGATTTATTTCGGTGTTCGATCGTGATTCGTTAAACTTTACCTTCTGTTTGGCTCTGTTCTCCGTTTCGGAACAACACGTACCGGAAAAGAGGACATCGTGTGTCACGGAATAATGGCAGCGTTAAGGTACTGTTAAAAGGGACTACGATAACGGACGATGTTACGATACGGAAGAAGAATTTAATAGGGTCAATAAGATACGTAATAATACGTCGATCTATCTGTAGACACACAACGTGCGGGCCAATTATAAACGCAGAGCGGTACACGTATGCATTAATAATGTCTCCTTGCCGAGATATTCAGGACACTCGGAGTGATACGTTGAGCAACTGAACTCACCCTTGCCAAGAAACGCGTGGATAACGTTACCGATACCGTGTATATGTTCGGTTTATGTTCGCATTCTCCGTCCGTGTGCACGAGTGCATCTCGGTGTCTCGTTTTGTATCTCAAAAGTTCAAAACCCTTTTCCTCTCGATAATTCTTTTTCGGAAACGAGTCGATTTTTGATCGTATCCCAAAACGCGTATACCGAATATTAAAATGTTAAAATATACGAGCGTATACTCGAGCCATTTTTATTACTTTTTTTTATAGAGACAATAAGCCGAAGCACGTTTATTATAGAACGTATAACACCGAGCGTATCCGTATTGGGAACAGATCCAGTAAACACGCTTTTCAAAATCGAAGCACTTTATTTGCCCGTGTTGCGTACAAAGGTAATTAAAAATAAACCAACGCGCGTGGGTCAACTATTTTTAATCGCATGGAGAAACAAAGAATTACTAGGCTAAAAGAGAAACGCGCCTACGTTAAGTTCGAGGTAAACGAAGAAAACTAGCTAAAAGCGTACCATGAAGCTATTGCGAGCTTCACGATTATCGATTATAAAATTCTAAACGATAGTTCTCTCGGAACAAAAATATTCAGACAAAATTCGCACGAATCGATCAGTCGGCGTAGAAAAATGAAAAAGCGGTGCGAAACAACTATCCCAACCTCTGTTTAACGAAAAATTCCCATTGTCGGTGCTCAAGTTCGAAACGGGCAACTAAATTCTACGAAGCGGCGTATCAAAATAATTCTTCGTAGACGTGACAGAAAAATCGTACTTAAAAATTATCTGTTGTTCGTTTGCGAAAGATCCTTAGAATCGGTACCAAGAAGGCGTTTGTAACGCCATTAATATTTTGGTACGACCGCTCGGAGGGGTGACGGCGTGTTTTTTGGTGGTCGCTGGCCTGGAAAGTACTCCTCTCTCGAATACGTGACCCTTGGTCGCTAGTTCGGTGGCAGCGTCTAAGCTGACCTTTGACACGGCACCGCCATCTACCAATTGTCGAGTGTGCTCTTCCTTCGAGGGATTCTTTCCGCGTACCACACCCTCCTTGTCCTTTATGGTCGCGTACTGATAAAATTCCTTCTTTGGATCTTGCCTCTTACGGCCCCAGACGGTGAACGGTTCAGGCACCAAAGACGGTCGAGGTACGAACGGTACCTTCTCCCAAGGGAAGTAGTCCTGTTTCTGTAAATTTCATCAATGTTCAACTTGCTTTTTTTAACTTCTCTCTCGAAACCTTGATCGCTTCTTCTTTCGTTACTGCCAGCTCCCTTTTTCTCTCTTTCTCAATTTCCTTTTCGTGTCCTCACTTCCACACCGTTCTTCCGCGTTACCGCTAACGTTACGTGTCTTTAGGTATACTTTGCTCCTCGGCACACGTCAACGAATTTTGAGAAAAACGCAAGATAAGGTACAGTGAGTCGACGGCGATTAAATCGCAACGCGTAGCATTCTTTCGTTGGACTTAAATTGGGAATTTCTTCTTGATAAATTTGAAAATTTCAACTGTTCAAAATAGTTCCCGCGTAAAATGTCCAAGACAATTGACCAGATTCCAAGTAATGTCCGTATCTTTGATCTTTGAGTATCGTGACCGTACGGCGATGAATTTATAGGCATGACTAAAAACTTGAGAATTTAGAGATATTTTGAATAAAAAGGAAAGCGTGAAAGGACAATGGTAAAGTCTAATTTCCGAGCCGTGTATTTTATTCCGGCCCATAATGCGAGGGTGTTCTTAACTGTAGCGGTCTGGATGGTCTTGCGATTGAATCACGATCTTCTTTCTCCTCTTCGAGCGAGCTTATTTTATGCCAGTTACATTAGATAGGATGCTTTTTATTCCCGCGCAAAAATAGAGCGAAGCAATGTGAATGGTATGTACACGAAAGACCACGTCCTCGTATTCACCTCCGCGCATTCCGAGTCGTTCGTTTCGCGAGATTTTCTCGAATCGATGATACTTGAATTCGCCAGCTGCCAAGTTTATATTCTCCTTGGATAAACCTCCGCAAATCGTACCGATTCTTCTAATTCTTCGTAAAAGTTCATTCCGTTGCTCTTTCCTTTTTCTTTCCGACCATGTTCTTGCAAGATGCCCGTCAAGATTTAATTAGAACTCCGCGAGTTAATACCCCGAATTCGTTTCGAAAAGCGAGGCTAATATCAAGAATAGCTAGAGAAAATCGCGTACAGATTACTACGAGGAATTTCAGTGGTGGGTGTCAATGTCGCAACAACGAAATATCCGAAGCTTCGACTATTCCGCTTTCTTTGGATGCTCGTAATTGTCGTTGTAATTATAAACGATCGAGTCAGCGAGAATTCTGAACGATAAGCAGCGAAAGTTTGTGGGATAAATATGAACAACCGAAATCGCGTATGAATTTCCGTGACGAATTTTAACTCTCGTGGTGGGAGCGAACGTCGCTGGTAACTTGGTGAGTCTAAATTAGGGCAGAGTAACGCAACACCGATGCTCGGAGATCCCCTCTACGAAGGAACACGAGAAATGTCTTCATAACATTTCCAACCACTGACAAAACAGTTTCCTCGTACCACGATTCGTCAACCTCCGTCATTGGAAACGTTCGAAATGCTCGAGACCTCGACGAAGATCTGTCGGGGGCATGGCTAGAATCGTCGAGGGGTTAAGTATTTAGGTCAGCTTTTAGCAGCACCATTGATCCACGATCAACAATGGTACATCTCTTTGAATCCAAATTGCGAAGCTCGCGTGTTCCTTGTTAATCAAACGATTAATAAACGAACCAAGTTTCCTTGTTTCTGCTTTTCTTTCGGAAGTTAGCAACATCACCAATGTTATTCGGCTCGTTCCATTCAATGGCATTTCGAGTGCTAGTAAAATAGTCGTAATTAACATTCGTCGGGGAACGACCCGATCAATATTTTCCAGATTTCGATTATTATCCGTTGCAAGTTAGAGAAGCGTTCGAAAGACAGTGTTATTCTACACGTTCCTCGGACTAGCTTTTCGACCAGTCGCTCAAGCATCCGATAGGCAACGTTATTCGGTTCATTGCTCGAAACGATTTATTTCTAATTCATTCACCTACATTTTCGACGGTTCCTCGTTGAAGTTGGCTTCCGCCACATATAGACTTGTCGGCCAAATACTACATTTTCTTCTTCACGGATCCAAGATTCGCTGGGTCGTACGGCATCTAAGTTTAACACGACGGAGTCCCGGAAAATGGCTGCAACTCTATGAATAGGTTTCCTCCAACTTCTTTGGCTCTTCGATTGCTCTTTACGCAGTTTCCATTCTTCGATTCTCCATTCGAACGCACAAACGAACATCGTAATCTCCGACACTTTCAACGCGACGAAAAAAAATATTTAGCTCGCTTCCCTTCGCGAGAAAAATATTTCCTATATAAAGCACCCTCCTTTATCCGTATATTTAGATGAAACGCTGTCGAAAGTAAAATTTTAATATCCGTATCTCGTTTCCAAGTTTGCGTTATAAAGTATTCGATGTAGTACTTTATGTATCGATTCAAAATACGTTAGATCCATTGGTAAATTGAATTTCTGGACCGTAAAAGATTATACACAAACGAGTACAACCGATAGCACCCTGGTTGCTTCAGGGTGTATACATTAAAAACAAGTCGAGGAACACACAGTGAGGGTGTTCTTGGAAAACAAATCATTCAACGTGTACCGTCCGTTCGATTCGACGGGTAACTCGTGAGAAGAGCTTACTTTGGTGCCAGGTACTCGTTAATTCCGTAAACTGGAGGTTGTTACCGTGTAGTCGTACCTTTGCTGTTAAGTGCGCGCGTTACGAGAGGATGTACAAAAGGAAAAGAACAAAATTGTAGGACTGGAAATTATTGACGATCGTGTAAATCGATTTGACACAATTGAATAGAACATTTTTTTCGATACCGGGAGACACCGAGATCGGAGAAAATTAATTGAACGATAAGAACAGTGACGGTAATAAACAGCAACAAGTAACGTAGTGGTCGGAACACAGTGTGGAAGTAGAGACTGCGAAACGCATCGAATTCGATCCACCGACAGTGACAACGATTCGTTTGGATCGGATCTGTCGTGTCGTGACGGTCAATATGGTGGCTGTCGTTGACCGATCTCGCGGATGATCAAGGAGTATCGTTTTATCGATCATTAAAGAGCCAATGTTTCGCCATTTCGCAGACTTTCTAAATACATTTCCTACGTGAGCTACGTTTTTGCTACGTAAACTTTGCTTTTTCGCAGTTTTCAAATGGTAAAACTAGTCCAAGATTTAACATTTTGACTGCCATTTTATTTAGAGATTCTTTGCTATTAATCAAAAAGCATAAACTCGCGTCATATTGACACTTTCGTAACACCGCTGATGCTTCTCCATCGTAAACCACGGTAACCGTCGCGATATCGAAGACAATTTGTTAGCAAACTCGATGTTGACAGCTCATAGCGTTATAACGAGAGCTTACTTTGCAACGAAAACTGAAATCACTACCCTTGAATGGCGACCCACTGTCAAACATCGACAATTACAATTTAATTCTAAACTCCTGTTCATTTTAATTTTCGTCTCATGCAACTACCGCTGCAAATATTATTTTTCCAACGTACAAAAATTTCTCGTTGAAAAATTCGAACGTTTAAATCGAACGAAGGTATCGTTTCATAAATCTAGATCGATAATAAAGACTATTCGAGGGGGGAAATTTCGACAAAAGGATGGAAACGACGTCGCCACAATTTGGCAGATAAAAGTTTGCGTTCGAGTAAACGGAGATCAGTAAGAAATGAAAGTGGCATGGCAGTCAAAGCGTTGAAGCGTCGGAAATTTTAGGAACAATCAAAACGTTGACTCTAGATCGAAGAAGATTACAGTGAGGGTAGTTTCGGTTAAAGTATTTCCGTGTCACACGGGGCTCTCATTCGACGTTAGTACCATTCAGCAAAACATTATTAAGACATACTTCATCCCGCTCTTTTGACAATTCGGTGTATACTGACCGTGACGCTGTAGGACGAGACAAGAGGTCTCGAATAGGGCCGTCTGGTCGTATAAAAGTCACTCTCGTAAACCATTTTTCCTCTGGGGGTTCGTTCTTGGTCTTCTTCTTGGTCGAAGAAAATTCGCTCGTTCGTTGATAATTACGTAGATGCTGGTGTCGAACAATGCTCGATCACGCGTAAATTAACGGAATAACTGATGCACCAAGATGGAGGAGATCCGCTGGTGCGGTCGCGATGAACGTTCGTACGGTTCTGCTCGGTTCGACGATACTCTTCGTCGACTTCCACCACGATAGTTTCACCCCACCTAGGCTTTCGTCTTCTTCTTTTGAACGGGCGTACACAGGACGGAACCGATTTTACGTGTGTCGCGTCTTCGCGACGAGAACAGTCTCGCGGTCACCGCTTCGATTGCGTCATTTTCAGCACACGGCCTGATGCATCGAAAGAAATAGAATCGTGTTAAGGTTGCAACCGTCCGACACCCTCTTTCTTCACCCTCCCACTATCGCGATTTTCGACTTCTTTCTTTCCTTCTTTTCCCCACGGTTTCGAGTTAATACGCTCGGTATTTTTGTATCGAAAGCAACGCTGTCGACCGAATGGATATTCTTTGCCTAAAAATGTACAGGGTATGAAAAAATTCATCATCTAACGGGGAAGGGATGATTCGTATGTCTTTGATAAACGTTTAACATTCACTCATACTTTATTTCAAATACGTTAATTTGTGTTAAATTAGTAATTGTGTAATGAAACTTTCCTCTTTAACATTCTGAATACAACTCTATAACATTTCTGTCGTTGTTCCATACTTTTCGCACAAAGTTTTCAGCTTTTTAAAATAAAAAGAAAGGAAGAAAATTGTGTCAAGGTAGGAAGCGAATCATTCTAAAGAAAATTCCCATCGTCATTGGTCTTTATTTTTACATTCGTTATTCAGGATATCACGACACGAATTTCAAAACGAATTTAAAAAGATTCGAGTGGTTATTCTCGGGAACGTTCCGTTAACACGAAGAGCTTGTATCGCTTAAAATAATTTCGATTAAACTCCGAATTAAAAGAACGAAATTGAATGTCCAATGCCACATTTGTTTATTTAACAATAGAGACTCCTGATTGTGCTTGTATTACATCATATGTTATACTGGCAATTTTCCAATATTTTGCACTTAGTTCTGCAGTTGGATCAAATCCGAATTCTTTGTTATAAAAACACTAATGAACCATATGTATCTTCTAACAATAGTTTCTTTATAACAAATTGTAGATGCATCACTTCCGTTGAAATTTAACACGTTAAAAATGTAAACGTCTCTTTTTTCAGTTCTTAAAGCTTACTTTTCTTTTTATGAAAAGATATAAAAGCGTGTAATTCAACACCTACGTCCGTAAATGTCAAACAAAGAAACATCTAATCCGTCTTGATGTTATAGACTTTATAGACTTTCCGAAAAAGTTGAAAAACAATAGTTTATTGTAAAATAATTAATTAAAATAATTGAAAATATTCGGAACGATGCTCGATGGTTAGGCGCTCTTTAAATTTATATTTACGCATGCGCTCTCTGAAAACAACATTACTAGTGCCATCTAGCAGCAATTTCTTAAAATTAGTTTTATGTCCCTTTGATATTAATAAAGTATCCTGTGATCACGATGGAACTGAAATAATGACATCATAATTTGTTGATAACGTTCGAAACGAAAATTAGAAAAATTACATTTTTTTAATTAAGTACTAAACTTGGAATGACTTAGAAAAGTAGTAGCGGGGCTCTGTACAATGCCTGACATAAACTCTACTAGCATGAATATTATATTTTATACTTTGCCTGTAATCAAACTAACAAATTTTAGAGATTTTCTACTGATCGTAAAATTTGAAACAGGGTTTCGGTTGTGATAGAAATTTTAATTTAACCATTCGTCGATAACATAAGCGAGGAATCGAGAGTTCCTTAAGTTTCCTACTGTCACCGCAAATAAGATGTAAATTACGATACAGGTATGCTACTTTACGACAATAATTTTCATGAAATATTCGTACATGAAAAAATACTCTCGTGGTTAAATATTCTCGTATATTAGTAGCGGATCAATTGCTACGTATTATATCAAATACTGTAATTGTATAAATATGCCTTAACCAAATTCACGAAAAGTACACATGTTAGAACGCAGAACTGTCATTCCGGGATAGTAAACAGAAAGTAAAATTTATCGTTCGATTAACCGAACGCTTAAAAATGTCTGTGACCGAAGAAAGAATTCAAGAATTGAACAGACGCTTTTTGGAATTTATGACCAAAAGTGAAAATGTGGAAATTGCGACGAAAGAGATCTATGAAGATCTTCTGGATGAGGTTCTAATGGGATTTGTTTTTGACGTACACCGTACAACAAAAACTGGTAGCTCAGACGTTGAAGAAGGTATACCCGATGACGAATCGTACGCTATCGTAGGTAAGATAATATTCAAATTTCAGGGAATGTTACCGAATGAAATTCGATTTAATTGCTCAGGTTATGTTTATTTGTTATTCCTTTAATCTTCAGTAAAGAGTTTCTAAAATATACTAACATGTTTAAGTTGAATATACCTAATCATTAAATTTTTTAAAGATTCTCCAGGCTTGGATGTTTTTGGTCAGCATCCAGTCAAAAAATCTCAAGAATGCAATTGCCCAAATTGTGACAGAGGAGTGGCTGCGTGTCGTTTTGCTACTCATTTAGAAAAATGTATGGGCATGGGTAGAAACAGTTCAAGAATTGCATCAAGACGCATAGCAAATAATTCAAAAGATTTAAGCAATTTTAGTGGTGGCATAAGCGACGATGATGATGATGTTGACTGGAGTTTAAATAATGATAAGCGTAAACGTAGAAAAGACCGTAATGGTATAAAAAGAACGAAACAACAAAAGAACAATCAAAGAAATGGGGAAAGCATTAGCGAACATATCCATAGTAGTAATGAAAATTCCCCTTCGAATTATGAAAATATGTCGTTAGAAGATAAAAGAATTCTATTAACTCAGATTTGTGGTGTAATATCCGAACATACGAAGAAGTTATGTACAAGATCTATGCGCTGTCCTCAACATACAGAAGATCAGAGAAAAGAAATGAGAGCAAATCTAGAATCTGGAAACAACGCGCAAACTGGTCAAGATAATCTTCATGTAGATGTAGATACATACGAAGAGGGAGATGGACAAAACTTAAGGGAAGCTTTAGCGCGTTGGGATCGCGAAGGATCCAGTCATTCGAGTCCAGCGGATTCCACATCCACCACATCGACATCTTCGATAAGCAGAAAACGAGAAACGAAAACGAAAGGCAAAGGCAAAGGTTCTAAACGCGACCGTGGATCACCCATTTCGCAAGGAGATTAAAATAGTATATATAACTTATTTTTTAGTAATAAGAACTTTCTCACAGGACAAATTATGTAATAATAATGTTCCTATGCATTGTACAAAGCTTCAAGAATACACTATTCGATATGGAATAATAATTGAAAAATATTTCTTAAATTTTGTTGAGATAATTTATTGTAAAATACAAACTTAACTGTACATGATTTTCTTTTGGTGTATCGATAATGAATGACGACGTTCCTTTAAAAATTGATAATTGAGCGAGCGAGCCGAAGGCGAGCGAAGCTCTTATACTTGACTTTGCAACTTCTTTGTTCGCGCTTTTCTTTTGCACCACTCAACTAATTCTCATCAAATTTTGCACGCACATGCGTATGTACACCCAGATGGACATAGAAAAAAAAATTTTTAATCGGACTTGCCACGGTGGAATAATCACCGAAAAATCTGATCCCCTAGACTTCAGCATTGCGATACATACATGAGCTGCCTATGTCAATTCTACTGCGTATGCAAAGTGCAATATTTCGGCACATTGACGACGTAGTATGGTTCCTGAGGCATTTAGAAATAAATTTCTATTAGGGTTTGATGCGTTTTAATGCCTAATAAAGCCAGAAAATGAATTTTTGTCGAATTCGGTCCAAAACGGTACAGGTGGCGCCATCTAGCGGCGAGCGGCGGAACTACGAAAAACTAAAATTTCGATTTTCTCGAAAATTAGGGACTTTTCCGAAATTCTGAGATATACAAATTGTTCCTTGTCGTCTACGGAATCGAACGAATGTAATTATAGCCTGATAGGACAATTATTAAGGAAAATAGAAAAATAGCCCATTTCATGGACTAAAAAATTGGCGTCCATCTAGCGGTGAAAGTTGGAACTACAAAAATATAAAAATGCGATTTTCTCGAAAATTAGCGAACTTTGAGTACTTCCGAGATTCAGAAAGTGTTACGTGGTCGCATTAGAAGCAAAATAAAGCAATAAAAGTATCCTAAAGGCTTTAATAAAGAAAATAAAAAAAAGGGCATTTTATGGAGAAAATTTGTGGCGCCATCTAGCGGCGAAACTGCGAACTAAATTAAAAAAACGTATGTCCCAACACGCAGTAGAAGGGTCAAATAAGAATTGATTTTCTGGGCTTAATAGGCCAAAAAATGAATAACTTATTGAACAAAAATTGCTTTAAAATGTCTAAAGAAGCATACTACGTCGTCAAAATTGCGAAATATTACTTTATATGTTTTTCCCAGAAAATCAATTCTTATTTGACCCTTCTACTGCGTGTTGGGACATACGTTTTTTTAATTTAGTTCGCAGTTTCGCCGCTAGATGGCGCCACAAATTTTCTCCATAAAATGCCCTTTTTTTTATTTTCTTTATTAAAGCTTTCAGGAAACTTTTATTGCTTTATTTTGCTTCTAATGCGACCACGTAACACTTTCTGAATCTCGGAAGTACTCAAAGTTCGCTAATTTTCGAGAAAATCGCATTTCTATATTTTTGTAGTTCCAACTTTCACCGCTTTAAAGAACAATTTGTATATCTCAGAATTTCGGAAAAGTCCCTAGTTTTCGAGAAAATCGAGATTTTCTATTTTTGTAGTTCCAACTTTCGCCGCTAGATGGACGCCAATTTTTTAGTCCATGAAATGGGCTATTTTTCTATTTTCCTTAATAATTGTCCTAACAGGCTATAATTACATTCGTTCGATTCCGTAGACGACAAGGAACAATTTGTATATCTCAGAATTTCGGAAAAGTCCCTAATTTTCGAGAAAATCGAAATTTTAGTTTTTCGTAGTTCCGCCGCTCGCCGCTAGATGGCGCCACCTGTCCCGTTTTGGACCGAATTCGACAAAAATTCATTTTCTGGCTTTATTAGGCATTAAAACGCATCAAACCCTAATAGAAATTTATTTCTAAATGCCTCAGGAACCATACTACGTCGTCAATGTGCCGAAATATTACATTTTGCATGCGCAGTAGAATTAACATAGGCAGCTCATGTACGTATCGCAATGCTGACACAAAATAATTAATTACTCATTACCCGAACATTATTTATGAACTTTTATGATTGAACCATGTAAATAATGCATTGCTGACCATTCTTCAATCATAAAAGTGCACAAAATATATCCATAAAACGTGTAATTAATTATTCAAAATGACCTCGTGTATACCGCTTGTCACCCTGGGTAGCCTTAGATTATTATTTAATAACTAATTAATTTCATTAAGCGTAACGTCATGATTTTTATCAAACAGACCTAGTTTTAATCATCTAACACATAATAAATAAGAATTTCATCATTTTTCCGTAAGGGGCGTTGTATTCGAATTACGTCGATCGTGTTCACATTCGTTTTATATATACAATCTGTGCGCTGCGTGAACAGTTTGTTACCTGTAAAAACACAAAGGAAAATAACAAAATAAGGATGATAACTGTACAAATAAGTACTGCCTTCGGTGTAAAACAAATATTTACTACAGAAACTGCATTTAAGATTCATGAACTACGTGACCGCTTGAACGACTTGTCAGTAAGTATCGCACCTAACCTTAAAAATATTTTGTTTAATATATTGAAAGACTTATTTAAAAAACCATTTATTTAAATTTTCACAGGAAAATTTTTACTTTGTACATAATGGAAAACTTGCGGATGAAAATGAAGTTTGCTACAATGGCTACGTTTCTATCATACCACGATTATTTGGTGGTAAAGGAGGTTTCGGTTCGATGCTACGAGCCATCGGAGCGCAGATTGAAAAAACAACAAATCGAGAAGCTTGTAGAGATTTAAGCGGCCGTAGACTTCGTGATATTAACGAAGAAAAGCGATTGAAAGCATGGATCGAAAAACAAGGAAACCGAGAAAAAGAAGCAGAAGAACGAAAAAAAAAGAAACTAGAAAGACTCTGTGCAGAACCTAAACATGAATTTAAAGATCAAACTTACGAACGCGAAAGGTCGGTTTTGACAGAAAGGGTTGGAGATGCTGTCGAAGAAGGTTTCAAAGCTGCCACTACTGGAGTAAAAAGAAAACTTGATGAAGATTTTAAACCAAATAAAAAGAGAATATTATTAGACCCGGACATTGATTCTGATGAACTGAATAGTTCCAGTGATAGCGAAGAAGATGAAAGTAAATTAGAAAAAGTAGTTAAGGATATTGAACCTGCATCAAACGATAGTGGACATTCCAGCGACGAAAGTGGAAAGACTGTTAAAAGTAATGAGAATACGCGAGCTAATTCTTAAAATTAAATTAACAATAGATCCGTTGTAAAATGAATTATAATGAATGTTGATTTTAAATTGATTGAAATGTACCAACGAATACATTAAACTATCTGTAATATATTTTCAAATACAGTGAAATTTTAATTATTTAAACAAGGTCATGTAAGAAAAATTCTTATTTATATCAGTGTATTACTGTGTTATGTTTTATGTTAAACACAAAGTTTAAAATAGTACATGTAAAAATAACATATATTTTCAATACAAAATTGTGCAAATACAAATTTGGTATTTAGAACCTACAGATTTAAAATAATTATATGGTATGCGGTATCTTTTCAAAGTTCTATGTAATAAATTAAATTAATTTCCAGGCAGCTAATTCATTGCTAAGTTTAATACCCATTGCAAATAAAGCAACAGAAACGATAAATGACATAAAAAATTCATTTGTAGATGTTTGGTCGTATTTGCACTGACATATCCACTTGTGAAGTTTTTTTACATATTTGGAACCAACTAAATACAAGTCATCATTCTGTATACATTTATTTTGAATTTGTTTTTGTATCGTGTGCATTAAAACTCCCAAGCAAATATAATAGGAAGACTTGCATGTTTTGTGTGAAACATGCTGAAAATATTAAAATTGTGATAGATGTATGTATATTTCTAAATAATGTTAAAAGTAATTAAATTTCAAATAAATCTTACATTCTTATAATCGCAGTTTTCTTTTATGCGCGATACATCGCTTGGTGTATATAATGACGATGTATCAGCGTCCACAGCCATTCTCAATTTTTCGTTTCAAATATGTACATTTTATTATTACATCGTGATATTTAATTCAGAAATTCATGTGCGAATAAAACAAAAAGTATCTAATACGCTACTGTTTTGTTTAGTACAATATTTTTTTATTTAAAAAATGATAATTTCGTTAAGCAGTTAGAAAATAATAATAAACAAGTTTTAATCAATGCACTGTTATAATATAATTAGTGTAAATGAATCGTCTTCGAAGATCATTTGTTCGAAAACTTACGTAGATAAATATTATTATTTGTCTTGTACCAATGAAAAATATTCAAGAATTTTAGAAACGTGTGTATTAAAATAATAATTTTACAATGAATCTTGACGTAGCTAACAGGAAAAATGAAAAGGGAATTTTCCTCAATCTCTTTCCCCGATGACTCGAGCATCGTGTACGCTTCATAAATCGATATAAAAAAATGTGCGAACATTAAAATCTGTTCGAAGGGCACGTTGAATATATAAAGATTATTATTCGGTAAAAAATAATGTACGTATAGTTTTAAAGAAAATCGGAGTTATTTAAATGATTAGTTTATTATTCGACAAAATTGTGGCTGGTGGGGAACCAGTTGCCCTTGACTCCGGTCATTATATCAGCGACATCGTCAGTTGGAATCTTACTTTCAGGCGCATCGGTTGTAATTTTAAACTGGCGCCGAAAAATTAATACATATCTAAAATCACGACATATCAAGAAACATCTCAGTGAGGTTTGATACATTTACTCTTCACTACGCTCAGTATTAGTTGCAGCGACAGATAACTCATGAGAAATGATTAAATCATCCGTTTTATGTGTCTTCTCTCAAGTGTTGATACTTGGTTTGATTATTACTCGTAAGTAAAATTCATTATTTCCACTATATAGCACTCAAACACGCGCCTGCAAAAAATGTTGACTTTGCACAAACAATTCACATTGCATTTTTTTTTTGTCAATTTATTTCATTTATTGCGTTTCTCGCTGCTTTGTTTTGCAATTTTGTTTTCCTCAGAATGTAAAAATTGACAATGACAGATTTAACGATGAAAAATTAGCATTTATTACGGACAGCGCGTAAGCGTGATTGATCAACGTTTCCTTAGATACGATCAAAAGTAATAAGGAAGATTAAAAATACACGGAAAACATCGATTTTATTGGAATTGCATGTTTCCAATGCCACATAGTCGACGATGACATGATCCATTCAGTCGGTTATTTTTACATTTTGGAAAAAATAACTTTCTCTTTTAGATGCCGGAGGACAATCGGATTGTGTATCACCAAATGGTGTGGCTGGCAGATGCATTGGAATACGACAGTGTCCACAACTTTTGGCTCTTCTTCAAAGTGTTCCCCTTACGACAGAAACTGCAAATTTTTTAAGACAGTCAGGCTGTGGTTTTGAGGGTAGCGATCCTCTAGTTTGTTGCACAGAGAATCGAAACAATAATTTCGAAACCCTAGAGCGTGATGCAGTGAGCGATCCAAACGCACAGTATAATTTTTCTAACAATCCTTTGTTACCCTCCGATTGTGGCAAAGACCTGTCTTCGAGAATCATAGGTGGAGAACGCACGGATATCGACGAATTTCCTTGGATGACACTCCTAATATACCGTAAACGTAAGAACGTTTTAAAAATCGAATAAAAAGTAGCTATACTTCAGCTACATAACACTTGTGATCAATCGAGCTGAAACCTGATACAATTGCTCATATAGTAAATAAATTTAATCGATACTGTTCTATCATAAATTCAAGCATGAAACAGTATCGTAGTCATTTCCTGATTGTTGTCAAATACAAAGTGCAATTCTCTTGTAGCCTGAATGCGAGACGCGGATGCCACTGAACGCGGCTATCTTAACTAGGGTATCAGTTCACACTTTAATTAACTAGACATGGTTGTAGGAACGAAGAAATGATAGAACTGATCATATAAACGGAAAATTTGATAACTTTTAGTTTGTAAATTTCTAAATCTCTCTGTGGTTTCGTCAGTTCGGTCATTTATCCTGAATCGAAGTAAATATAAATTAGATTAAATTTGAATCAGATTCGAATAAGCTTCGATTAATCTAATAGAGCTAAATAAGCTTTAGCTAAATAATAAAGCTAAAGTATCATATTTCGGGTTTATCTTCTCTCAAGATACTCATCGAATTTCATTTCGAGTATTCCCCAAACATACGACATAGATATACATATTTCACCAACGAGAGTTTGCTATTTAACGTATAAATCTATTTATTAGCAAATGGACACACTGCGGCTTGCGGCGGAACTCTGATCAACCAACGTTACGTTTTAACGGCAGCTCATTGCGTGAAGGGTAAGGACATACCAAAATCATGGCGCTTGGATAGTGTCCGGTTAGGCGAATACGACACTAACAGCAACCCTGATTGCGTGACGGATGGCGAAGACGGCATGGTCTGTGCCGACGCAGTTGTCAACGTTGGCATCGAGGAGCAAATCAGTCACGAAAAATATGATCCGCTAAGAAGAGATCAAAGATACGATATTGCTCTCCTAAGGTTAAATCGTGACGTTCAGTTTACGAATTATATTAAACCAATATGTCTACCACCTACTGCTTCTATGGGACGGAAACTGTTCGTTGCCGGTTGGGGAAAAACGGAAACTGGATATTCGTCAAACGTCAAACTGAAAGTTTCTGTACCGCTTGTCGACGAAGAACAATGCAAGAATAGATACAACTCGGTACGAGTGCCGCTTGGGTTCGGACAGATTTGTGCAGGTGGTCAGTCAGGTAAAGATTCGTGCACCGGAGATTCTGGAGGTCCTTTGATGACCATGGAAAGACGAAGCGACGGTAACGGTAGGTGGGTCGTTGTCGGTGTCGTCTCCTTCGGTCCATCGCCGTGCGGCATGTTAAACTGGCCCGGTGTTTATACCAAAGTAATCGATTATGTTCCATGGATACTCAGCAAATTGAGAGCTTAGTACTCTCTGATGATTACAAGCTTCAACCTTTATAATATTACCTGCCTTGTTACTTATTATATCTAAATCAAACATTCCTAAACTGACTCGCATGCTGATTTTGGTTAGTTCAACTTTAATATCAATATTATCATATAAAATATGTTGAAATAATAAAACGACAGCTTTTCGTTCAATTCCCGCTTCTTCCTTTTAATGTATATATTACAAATAAGTGAATCGCGAAAAATAACGAACGAAAAAAGGCGAAAAAAAATTGGACTAACAAGCAAAATCAGTGTTGAAATTTGAAATAAAATTCAGCGCGTATTTGTAAGTATTAACTTTTTAATTAAGAGAAAAATTTCTAATATGTTATAATATATAACGATTAAACTTTATGTACTTTGTTCTATACTACATTTTTTAGAGTTAAATAAATATGTCTGCATGTACATAAATGGCACACGTGGCACGGAACGCGTTAAATAATGTACATAGAGATTTTAACGTATCCTTGAACCCGTTTGATCGTAACTTTGGTAATATATACAAATTTTGTCGCGGTTCGTATTATCGAGGAAAAAATATGTTATGTGCGTTTAATATGATTAAGCTATTGCGTAGCGTCGATATCGTAGTGAACTTGCATCTCAAAGGCAAGAATTATCGCAAAGTTTATAGAGATAAAATTGTATAAGATTGCACTTTATTACTATACTATAGTTGTATTAATTAGTACGACTGTATTATGTTGTTATTTTGTAAACGAATAAAGTTACCTTTCGACGCTTTATCAATTTGAAAGCTATTAATATTTCCTGATCTTCGATCGAAAACAAATTAATACGTATTCTTAAAATTCAACCGTACTGCAATAAAGAAAAGACTGATAACATGAATTAGTCTTTCCGGTCTTTATTTATTAAACTATATCGGTTCTGTAAACGGATAATACACGTTGAGAAAAGTACACGGAAATATATGACAGTCTCTACCTGGAATCGACGCGACATTACCTGTCACGTGACGTAAAGAAGTTCGACGTCAAAATCGGAAATTCCTAAATCGTCTTGTTAGTAGTATATGACCTCCAATCAACTGACGAGAATACGAATTCTTCGACGTAAAAATCCTTTCACTAACAAAGTATGTATCGCAAAGAAATTGGCAAATAAAATATATGTAGATTACGAGAGGGGAAGAAAAATACGTTGATTTCCTTTTATGGAAATTGTAGTTATCTCGAAACTGCCACTACTTTCCAAGAAAATATTCGACTCAATAAAAATTGTACGAATCACGACAGAACGCCATGCATTCTTCTTATGCAAAAGGAATTTCCCTGGTAACCCCTTCTCCTTCTCACAACTTCTTTTCTTTTTATTTTCCTTTGAATTTGCAATACTTATTGAACTCGCAATCAGTAGAGGGCAGCAGTTAGTACGACGAAGCTTACGCGCAAGATTCCTGTCCGTGGAAGCAACGAGTAAACAATTTTCAAAACTGGTTTATTCGCTTCGCCAATGATTCGAAAAATCACGCGAGTGTAATACCGTTATTTCCTTGAGACAGGAAAAACTAGAAAGCCCCGAGAACGATTTTAAATTTGTTGGAAGAAAAGCGGAATAGAAGGTTGACATTCGGAGCCAGCATGATCCATCACGCGCTATTGTTTCTACTTCTGGTTCTGCACGAGATCAGTGCGCGTGAGTATCATTTCGTAAATAATTCGCGAAACAGATACAACGTTTCAGTAGTTTGTTTCACGGTAAACACTCGTTAGTTACTGTTGCGAGCGTGAAAATTTCGATTTGATATTCTTACTCCTGTCAATCATTGTTAACAATGAACACCGGTGCAATGAACGCCGGTTGCATACGCGCATCTTCGATAACGTTGACCTTCGATTCCTCCGTTGGCAAACGGAGCAATTGCTCCAGGCGGAGTCCCTAGAGGCTTTCGCAATTTGTAAAAATTAAACGAACGAATTTATATTATTTTTTATCTCGATTTGCAAAAGCAATTAATCGCTGAAACTTGAACTCCAACCAACGATAAATGAAAAATGCAGCAATGAGTTTTATAAGTCGAGTCAATTTTTAGATTATGACTAGATTTTTATAAAGTCCGGTTGATTTCTATCTAGTAGTGTGAAAAATTCCATATACATATAAGAAAACTTGCATCTTCTTGATGATATCAACTTTTGCCTCGAGTTCCGCTAACTCCAATGGCAGCTCTGTTCGTGACATTAGCTTAATACTTATCATTAATACGATCACGACACGCTACGCTGAATACCAATGAAACGCAAGATCCTTATGTTATTCCTACTGTCGATAGAAAAAAATGTGCGCGATAGATTGTTTGGCAAAAAAATAATTCTTTTCTTACAGAAAGTCAATGCTACACTCCCCAAAACAAAGTTGGCACTTGTATTAATATACATCAGTGCCAACCATTGATAGAAAGATTGACAAAACAGCAACCAGTGACCAAAGAGTTGCGCGATTATTTGATTAGTTTACAATGCGGCTTCGAAGGTATAAATCCGAAAGTGTGCTGCGAACAACAGGTAAACGTTCGGTGCAACGTGCTTTTAAATTGCCGTATACAGGGAAATGAATTGAACGGATAATATAACGTACTATTAATCGTTTCAGACATCAACGGGCACATCGAACGTGGGAGCCCAGGCGCCCGATCCTCCGAATGTTGCTAATCACGTGAACTTGCGGTTATTGAACGACGCTTCGTGTGGACCAGTTCCGCAACAAAAAATTGTTGGCGGTAAAAAAACTGGCGTATTCGATTTTCCATGGATGGCGTTACTAAGTTACAGCATTGCGGGAAATAAGCTGGAATTTCGATGCGGCGGATCGTTAATCAACAAACGATACGTGCTCACGGCCGCTCATTGTGTTACCGGTTTAAAGCATGGTAAGTTCGTCGTAACACTTTTGCAACGCTTCGTTTGCAATTTGCGATGCATTTACATTGCACCTATTGTTTATGTCAATCTACGTTTACACAGGGCTGGGGCGTAAGCCGGAATCAGAACGTTTCCTGAAATTCACCCCCGCGTTTTAACAGGCCCCACAATCCATGAATCGATCATCGTAATACTGTATTTTCTATACATAGTATCATATATGTATGAATACCTGTAAGATTTATTTAACTTGATGTATTTCGTGTTTAAAATGTTTCAAGCTTGAAACATTCTAAACTCGAAACATTCCGAGCTTGAAACATACATATAAATGTAAAAATCAACACTGTGTTCACATGATCAGGTTGTTTTCAGATATGAGGTTGGTGGGAGTGCGATTAGGAGAGCACGATTTCAGCACGGAACGTGACTGCGACAAAGAAGCAGACGGTGTCGAGGTGGTCTGCGCTGAAAAGTATCAGGACTTTGGTATAGAAAGCGTTCACTCTCATTCGAGATACTTGCGCGACAAACTGCAAAACGATATTGCTTTGATACGATTGGACAGGGACGCTGATCTTAGACCAGAAAGTGTTCGACCGATTTGTATGCCAATAGGAACAGCCGCTACCTTGACTAAAACAAAAGTAAACACCAATTAATTACTTCCCTACTACATGTTAATGTTTTATCCGTTAAACGTATCGCTCATTTTTGTGATTGACGACAGGTGGTGGTAACGGGTTGGGGCATTACGGGAAAACCAAACCGTAATTATGAGTTGCTGCAAGTACAGTTACCAGTGGTCGATATAAACACGTGTGCAAAAAAATATGAAAAGAGAGTGCAAGTATGGTACAAACAGATGTGTGCCGGTGGCAACGAAGGCAAGGATTCTTGCAATGGAGATAGCGGTGGACCGCTTCAAGCACTGGCAGTATACAATGGCAATGTGACATATGTACAATATGGAATTGTCAGTTTTGGGCAACAAAATTGTGGCACGGCAGGATTTCCCGGTGTTTATACTAAAGTTGTATATTATATGGACTGGATTTTAGATACCATTAGGGAGTAAATTAACATATGTGAACAGAGTTTAAATTATTGATCAAGTTGCATTTATACAGCTAATAACTTAACACGTAATATTTCTTTTACGCGTTCCATGAATTACACTGGAAGCAACATTGTTTACCCGAATATATCCTGTGTTCTACTTTTGAGGTTGTTACTCGCAATAACGGATACGTTACGATTATACATAATTACATATACATACATATTGGTCTCATCTACTATTCAACATGTTTGCCTTGGACCCACTTTTTTATGTAATTACATTAATATGAATTTTAAGTAATTGAATTTCTATTTTTGCTACATGTATAGAATAAAATATAAAACCTTACAGATAATAAATACGACTGTTTTTAAGACTTTCACGGCTATTGCTCCCTTATGATTTACTACAATCAGTAATTATTGCAATTAATAAATGTTTGATACTTATCTCTCTTTGTCATATTCATCGTTTCGAAATGTATTCCCGTCACATTTGCCGCTAAAGGAATGTTGGTTATTATGTAATTCACCATTCTTGTCTTGATCTTCAATTAGCTCAGCAGTCTCGTTTATTGAAACTTTTAGTTGGCCGCGATCTCCTTTTCTTTTGGAAAATAATACTTGAGATTTGGCTGTCGAGTTTTCAGAAATTGACGTGTTCGTATTTGACGATTTCGAGGATTGGCTCGTGGATAATAAAGTTCCCGAATAACTAGTCAATGATCCAGAATCCGGTCTAGATGCGTTTCCGCAATCAACGTATGAATCTGCACTGTTTGAGATGTGCTTTTGTTGCTTCTCTTTTTTGTTTCGCTGCGACATTTTTGAGCTACTCTCTTGCTGCGCTTTCATTAACGACTGATAACTCTATAACATTTTCATAAATAATTCATTCTTTGACATTTATTATGTCTTATTATAAGTTTTATTCACCTGAGAATGACGTTCGAAAAGCGTTGGTATTTGTGTCACACGATCTATCATCATTTCCATCTGCAAACGATGTCTTTCCGCCTGTTCGCGTGCTTCGTCGCGGCGAAGAGAGGTCCGAATGTTAAGATCTCTCTCGTGTTCATGCCTTACGTTTGAAATTTATACATATACTCATGACGTCATACGATATATTCAATGAATCGTACCTTGCTGCTGATCTTAAAGCCCTCCACACTGGATTTCGTCCAATCAAAGATTCTCTGATTTTCATTTCGTGTTCTCTTCGTTTTTCTTCCATTCTTTCTCTTATTTCACGTTCCAATTTTTCTCTGCAACACAAATACGCAAGCGTTTGTTCCTTTTCTATGAAATGTTAACAAAAGATGGTCACTGAAAATATACATGGTCTTATAATACCGTGACACCTGGCATCTTAAAATCGCTGCTAAATTATTTCCCCGTAATGGTAAAAGTGACATCATAGATCTATATCCTTTTAATGGTACTGAAGTATTACTTGATGGTCGCGATGTATTCCTATTGCTTGTATTCTCCTCATAATTTTTCATTGTATTCTGTGAGCGTTTATACGCGGACTTAACGCGCTCTCGTCTCGCCATTGATGGAGGCAACGAGGAAGACTTCATTAATTGTGCAGCCCTTATTTTTTTTTGCAATTGTCTGAATATTATATTAAATATGTTGGTACAATGAACAATTTTGTAACATTAATATACATATGTATTACACAGACCTGTAGTACTCGTCCTCAAGCATACGATCATATATCTCGGTACTAAAAAGATTCTTTGGTACAGGTTTAGCCTTAAATTTTATATTCGTGTTAACGATTCTGTTACGAATATCGGGGCTTGATCTTGCTAAAGATCTCCAAGCTCGACGATCACATTCAAGCTTAAAAGGCCGTACCTGAGACATTAAATTAAAGGCGCTTTCTTCGCGAACTATACGACTCCTAAAACGTAGGTACCCAACAAACGTACACATATTATTATACGTTATTATGTGATGAAATATGAAATAAGACAAACCTTTCCTCCTTTTCAGCTAGTAATTTGTTATAAAGAGGAATTTTGGATGTCAGTGGAATCGATCTTATGCGTCGTTTTCTGTGAATATTCTTTTTATTATTTTCTAGATTTCTATGTTCCATTTCTTTTCCCATCTCGACACGGGTCATATATTTTTCTGCTTCTTCTCTATAAATTTTGTATGCATAAAATTGATGAAAATGATCTTTCACTCCACGATACCATAAATTATTTATGTTTCAAATTACCTTAAAGTAAAACTAAATGGCTTAGGGACAGTGGGGTGCCATTCCTTTGTAGCACTAGCTGGTAAACTTTGTGTTTCTATACTGTCTATGTCACTTTCTATGCTATCGCTGCTATTTAATCTACTCAATGTTCTCCAACTTTTACTAGCTGAATTTATTTCTCTGCTGTTTTTACCTTTGCTACTATAACCAGAAGTAATAACAAAATTACAGTATAAATATCATAAAAAGTATTTATGTTTATTCAGTTACAAATACCTATTTATAAGGAGATCTTGATCTTTTGTAAGTCCATTAAATTTATCAGAAGTGAAAAATATAGGACTAGAAACTCTGAATTCTTCTAAGGAACATTTTTTGCCATTCAATGTTAAATCATTAATATTATCCTTACTTTTAATTTTTGGTTTTATTTCATTACATTTTGATATTGAAAGATTGGATATATTTATATTCTCATGATCAGTAGATGTATTTTGCAAATTTTCTAGCAATAACTTTTGTTTCCTTCTTAGGTAATCTACCTTTTGTTTAAATTGCTCGTTTGACAAATGATAAACTTGACCATAATCTGGTATGCTTTCTAAAAATTCCAAAAAGTTGTCAAAAATTTCTCTGGAGTTTGAGATCTCGTACTCGTTAAAAAATTGATCATCTTTTGTAAAATTTATTTTACATTTGATGTCAATATTGTCATCTTTATTGCTTTTTATTAATCTAAGGCGTTCATAAGAAGGTGTTGGTTGTCTACTATAAGGATCCACTGGAACTTTCACGCAAGAATTGTAAAATGAATTTCCTCTGTGCTCGGTCATTACCTATTGCAATAGTTGAAATCTTCTTTATTTATGGATTATAAAATTTTTAATTTAAAAAAAGTTAAAAAATAAATGCCAATTTTTCTAAAGCTAATTATATATAAAATTATGTTTTAATCTTAATAACATCCTTTTATTGCTATTTTTAAACAATTAAATATAAGAGTGTGCCAAGTCTATAACAATTTAAACCGCTTTAGAAAAGTCGCACGTCTATTTTGCTGTTCAAACGAATCAATTTATCTTGCGAAATAAATTATTAAATTTTATATTATTCTTCTAAAAGGTATGAAATTTTAGCTATTATTTCTACTATTATTATTTAAAAATTTACGAGTATTGATACTTACCTTAATTAAGAAATTTATAGTTACAGTTCTATATTTGTTGATAAGTTAATAGATGAAAAAGTTCAAATATCGACATAAGTATGTTTTATAAACGACTAGAAATTACAATTATATTTTATCCATCATCACTTCATCGTGATTATAAAACACAATCATTACGATCATTAAAATTATAATAAAATTATTTATTTTGTGAAATCTTTATCACTACGTGAAGTAACTTCAAGGAAAAATCAATGTATTTAACCTCGTCACTATATTCGTCACCATGGTGAACAAGATGAGACTATTAATTAAAGACATTTTGTATGATTGTTAAATAAAAAAATAGTATGAATAAGATAACACGATCAAAATTGTGTATAAAATATACTACACAGTGGAAGTAAATAATTTTAAAAGATATAAATAAATTTTTTATTATAATATAATGACAGTAATTAAACAAGTAAAAATATTTAAACGATTTTATTTATATGTTGACTGAAAATTTAGCACAGTTAAGTGCATCCAATAATGTATTTTAACATTACAGATTGTATTCATTGTATCGCACATAAATTGACATAAATATAACAGGAAAAATGGCGGGTATCATAAAAGCAGTGGTAGACTGCGATATTTTAACATCAATTTTGAAAAAACGTAAATGTATAATCCCGAATATAACAACATTAATAAGGCATCAGTGTACGGCTACACAGAATTATGAAAAATATGATATTGCTATTTGTGGGGGTGGTATGGTTGGAACAACGCTTGCATGTGCATTAGGTTAATGTTCTTTTTTTTTATCTTAAATTAGTGTATATAATACTTAATATTTCTTTAACAATTTTATAAATGCCCTACTTTTTTTGTTGTAATAGCAAATAATAGAAGACTCGAAAATAAGAGAGTCCTCTTATTAGAAGGTGGTAAAAAGTTTGAATACAAATTTCCAGAAAAATACTCTAATCGCGTAGTTGCTTTAAATCAACAAACACGTACTTTACTTTCAAGCATAGGAGCTTGGCAACATATAGAAGCAACACGATATTGTGCAGTACGGAAAATGCAGGTATTACCAAAGTTTAGAATGAAAAATGGCATTAAATATTTTAAAAAATGATTTATTATTTTATCTTGTATAATAGTTTTACAAATGTTGCAATTAAATGTAAAATATTCAGTAGGTATGGGATGCTTGTTCCGATGCTATGATTGTATTCAATGAAGATTATTTAGCTGAAGAAATTGCTTATATAGTTGAAAATGACTTATTATTACATGGAGTAAATAAGCAATTAACAGAAAAGGAAAATGTGAATGTAGTTTATGACTCTAAAGTTGAAAGCATCAAATTACCTGTAAATGAAGGAGATAATGCAGAAATACAATTACAAAATGGAAAAACATATAAAACAAAGTTATTGGTAAGTAACTGAAAAATATAAAACAAATATAGTAAATGTTACATATCGTATTTAGTTACGATATTCTCTAGCAATATTTTCAACCTTGGTGGTTAAATTGTCTAAGTGGGTATTGATATTGTATGAAAATCTTTTCAACTCTATAGCCAATTCATTAAATTGTTGTTGACTATTGTCATTTGTAGAACTTGTACTATATAGTCTACTCAATCTAATATGTTCCGATTCTCTGTTATTTGTATTATGCATACATCTGTTTTTTCCAGTTATGTAACGATTTTTTCTTTCACTAACTAAATGATATACAGCTTTTATTAATTCGCGTGGTAAACGGTTTTCACGGGGGTCATTGGGACGAATATGAATTGCACAATGATGTGGTGGATGTAAGAGAAGTGCACCTTGTCTACACACTTTCATTATTCTTTTTGGAGCGTGATCTAATAGCTTTGAGAATAACATACTTTCCAAATGTGCTACCAGTTCTGCTCTTCGCACTAATCTATCCAACCCAGCACACCTTCTTAATTCTTGTATATCTGATACAGCAAGGCCCATCATTAAATTTGTTAAAATCACTGTTACTAAAATAACAAAACTTAGAAGCATTAAGTGTGCAGTACCAGAATATAAAATTGGTGCATCATCATCAAAAAATACATCTTCAAATTCCAATTCTCCAGACATCATTATAATAGTTTTTAGTAAACCAACTAAAGGATTAGTAAAAGACTTATAATTTTTATGTAACACACTGAAACCTAAAGAAAAACCTATTATGAGACATATATAAGCACCAAGGAATTTAAAGAAGTTAATTGATACTTGTGTAAACATTTGTATGTAAAGACCAAACATAGGAAATCTTCCAACTACCATCATTAACTCTATCCAAATTAATAAAATACCTACAGCTGCAACATGATGTTGCCAGTCATTTATTGGCACAAGTAATACTATAATTGATACTAACACAACACTCCATTGAAGCCAATTTTCCCACCTTTTAATGTAAATATATATACCATGAGTCATTTGAAAAAATTCTTTACCAGCTAATACCACAGTAAATATTAGTACCAGCCAAAAAAGTACTTTTTTAAATTTATCAATGTTCCAAAAATATGTGACAGCAATGTATGCTGTAAAAAATACAACAAAAATAGAATGAAATATTAAATTTAATAAAAAGAATTTACGAATTCTCAACCATTTTAGATAAAGGAAACTTTCACACAAGGGATGTTTTAATACTTGTTTTTGTCCAACTTCTACCAGACAAAGCATCAAATCTGTTTCTCCTCTTCCACCAGGCACCAGTGGTCTAAAATCCAGTCTTAATTCACAATCAAGATCACCTAATTCATGATCATGTAAAGAAATTGCTTGATCCAAACGCGATATAAATCTTGGCAATACGTCCGGGGTTCTACGTACGATGAAACTTAATGCAGAAATACCACCTTTTGTCCTTGCAGTAACATCTGCTCCTTTCGATAATAACACCATTACCGTTGACGAACTTTCATTTAATGCCGCAATATGCAAAGGCGTATAACCAAATTTGTCCGCTTTGTTGATTAAAGCACCAGCCTTTTAAAATAAATAAAATACATAGTTTTTAACAGTTATATGATTTCCGCGTAATTTGGATAATCAATGAATGAACCTGTATCAAAATCTTCACCAATTCTATTCCTCTAGTCACTTTTGCGACAGCAGCATGTAATGGAGTGCGACCGTCGTTATCTTCGGTATTAACTTTAGCGCCAAAATTTATAAGTGTCTCTAAGGTTTCTGCAGATTGAGACAGAGCTGCTAAATGCATTGGTGTTTGGCCTCTTGAATTTTTTACTTCACACGCTGCACCGGCATCTAATAGTAATTTTGTGCATTCTGCACTACCTTCTTCAGCTGCTAAATGTAATGGAGTAGACCTCATAGAACTAAACTGTACTCTTACATCTGCTCCATAATTTAGTAATAATTTCATGCATGTAACAGAACCTAGACTTGCTGCTACATGTAATGGTGTTTCAGTATAAACCTATTTAATTAACATTAAATGCATAAGAGTAAAATAAATACTTGTAATATTGTAACAAATATAATACTTGTAATCATGTACCTGAGGATTATTAGGAGAAGCACCTGATTGCAATAATGCTTCTACACAATCTGCTGCATTACTTAGGACAGCATAGTAAAGAGGACTTTTTCCAGACAGACCAGCATTTACGTCAGCTCGTGATTTTAATAAACATTTAACACAAGCAATATTTCCTATAGCAGCTGCACAGTGTAAAGGTGTATATTTTTTATTAAAATCCCACTCACATGGATTTGCTCCATACTTTATTAACTCTTCTATAATTTTTTCTGATGCAGCACAGGCTGCTAAATGTAGTGGTGTTCTATAAAATGTGCAGATTAATATCTAAAAACTAGATCATTCTGTCATTCAATTTCATACCTGCCATCACAATCTCTAGCAGAAACTTTTGCATTTTTACTCAATAGAGTTTTTACTAAATCTAAATGACCTAAGTAACAAGAAACTAAAAGACAAGTGTTTGGCCATCTTGTAAAAAGTTGCAAAGCAGTTGCATTTGCAGCTACTTCATTTTCAATGCTCAGTGATGTATTTTGTATGTGTCTATATTAAATAGAATTTGAATTATATTAGGTATAATAGATATAATTATAAGTAAACTACTAATTGTACCCATTTGCAAACGAAGATATAGTAATTTTCTGATTTTTCAATGCCACTTCACTAAAGTTAGCATTTGAAAATTCATCAATAACTTTGCGCAGAGTGTCACCATGAAGAGTAGGAATAAGAGAAAGTGCATGTTCTCCTGCTGGAAGATTAGATAATGCTTGCACAATCTCCTCTGTATTCCACAATTGTTGATTTGATATTTGCTTCTCTTTTATATGACATATTACAACAGATTCAGAACTATGCTCAGAACTAATACTACTTTTTTCTATATTATCCATCCAAATATTTTCGCATTCTTCACAGTCTTCCTGAAATTACTTATATTTAATAAAATAAATGCCTGATACATTTTTTACACTTACGGTATCATTAATAAGGATGGTAGGCGGCGACATTACATGTTCTGTAGTTGGCTCTCCTTGAGTATTATGACTACTCAATAATCTATTTAAAAATGATTTCTTTTTTAAAATTGACATGTTATTACACATTGGCTCTTTCTAGCTCTTAAACACTATTGCATTATCTAAAAAAATTATTAATAGTTATACTAACTTTTAAACATGTATATAACAGAAGGAGTAAATTACACTTACAGTGTCCTATTGCACTTTAAACCTATTTTAGTTACCAATAAAGTTTGAAACAAGATCACACGTGTTCCTTGATGTTTGTAAAACAGAACTGGCATATTTTTAGCTTTCACTGCCTCTTCTTGTAAGTGTATTCCAAAAAGAGAGTTTGTGCTATAAATTTTTATTCAAAGTATTATCTTATGCAGACATCACAATATAAAATCTATACATTTTATTTAAAACATATGCACATTGTGTAATTTTACTTCTATGAAATACTTCATGCAACTGATATCAACATCCTTTAAGGAAGTAATCATACTCATTTATTTTTTCCTTGATACTATGTTTGTGAAATAAATTTTATATTTAAGAAATTATATTATTACGTAATTTAATTTTTTTAAATAATTATGATCCAAACTAGTTTTATTAAAATTGTATTTGTTATGACAATATTTGTTTGAACAGTAATTTACAATAAATAGTTATAGCTCTAAAGAAGTATTAAATACTTGTACATAAAAATAATTAATTCTTACAAGGTCAAGTGTAAAGCACATTTGATCTAAAAGTACATTCAGTTTTCCCACTGAAATGTGGTACAGAACTGAAGTTATTTCCAGACACATTGCTTGAATGTTAATTCTTCCCCTTCCACACACCATCCTGTTTACATTATCTACATTTCTACACAATATCCTGATTTCTTTCTGTCACTTTTCAGTACGATAGTATAGTAAATTTTGTTAGAATTGATTCTTCATCTATATTAAACTGAATATTTACTTTAGATTGGAGCAGATGGTGTAAATTCATTGGTACGAACAGTAATGGGTGTACAATATTTGAAATGGGATTACAATCAAATGGCTATAGTTGCAACTCTTAAACTATCAGAGGTAAACTTTAGTTTTTAAATAATTACTGTATTATCTACTGCAATATTAATTACATTTTCATTTCAGTCTACAGAAAATATTGTTGCATGGCAAAGATTTTTACCAACTGGTCCAATAGCCTTACTTCCAGTATGTTTTACAATTAATTAGAAAGAAGTAAAGTATTGTACTAGATTATTTTCTCCCTTTATTATAGTTAACAGATAGCCTCAGTTCTCTCGTATGGTCACTACCAACAGATGAAGCAAAAAAGCTATTAAAAGTTTCTGAAGAAGAATTTGTTGATAGTATAAATAGTGCTTTGTGGAAAGTCTATCCAAAAGATGGCATAGTCGAAAGTGGTTTGCGCGCACTTCAACAATTACTTGACGGATTATCTTTACAAACTGGTGTAACAAGGCAGTTACAACCATCAATATCAGATATCATAGAAGGATCACGCGCCGCTTTCCCATTACACTTTGGTCACTCTGTATCTTATGTACAGACAGGAACTGTTTTAGTAGGGCAAGTAAAACAAGTTTATATATACATATATTAAGAGTATATTTTATTCACATTACATACTTTTCATACAATATAACAAAAATTGTAATAAGTGAAGTAATAATTTGTATATTACATTTTTTCAGAGATGCAGCACATAGAGTTCATCCATTAGCTGGTCAAGGAGTAAATTTAGGGTTTGGAGATGTGACACTGTTGGTCCAACTTCTTGCAGAAGCTGTTATAAATGGAGCTCCTTTGGGAGATATAAACTATTTAAGGAAATATGAAACATTGCGACAACGCTATAATGTCCCAGTAATGTTGACTATTGATGCATTACATCGGTTATATAAAGGAACAGCAGCTCCTATTGTACTAGTTAGAAGTTTGGGATTACAATTAACAAATGCTATTCCAGCATTAAAGGTATTCCATTTCATTTAGTGTTATTTTAATAGTTAGAGACGTTACAGTGCTGTTAAAAACGTTAAATTGCTTCAATTTGTTAATAATTTCATTACTTATTTCAGAAAGCTATAATAGGACATGCATCTGGTCAAGCAGCACATTGATGCTGTTAATCATTAATGTAAATATATTTGTAATACAAATAGTATATAAGTACTAAACATTTCTGAAATAAAAGTTAAAACAGTGACGATTTATATCAGTAACGATTATTTATGGTGATTTGTTATATACTAAGCAGTTGTAAGATATCAGTATATTTTTTTGTAATTATATTTGTAATCATGAATTATATGTTTTCGTAAAATTTGGTATTCTACCAAATTTATTAATGATATTTTGAATAAGAATAAACTTATTGAGAACTATATAAATTAGTAATTTCCGATTAATTTTATGCATAACGAGATATGAAAATCTGTACATATCAATTGTCATTCCACGTGATTAGAGGTTACGGAACAGTAATACATGATACATTAGCAACTTATTATGTCACTATTTCAGAGAAGCAAAATAGTTAAAACAATATTAAATAGGAATAGGAGAATATTTTTTAGAAAAAAATGTAAAAATTAAAATATTGTTAGGTGTAATTTTGTAGTAAAACAACTCTATAATGTTTTCACTATGTACATGATTTAGGTTACTGAATTATTTGTGAAATTTAGTAATAATTTCTGATTTTAAAAACAAAAGTGCAGTGCATAAATTTTTGATCGTGATTTCGTTTAAATTACGTACGGAGAATTATAGAATTATTGAAGAAAAAAGAATTTCATTCCATGTAAGAAGAGGTTATTTCTCATGCAACATATATGCAATATATAAAAAAATCTTTTAACCATGTATTTTTTATTTCAGATTCACAATACGTCTGACAAAAATCTTATTTGATTTTTAATCCATAATGTTTATATCTAAAAGATTGTTAAAAGGAACAGCGATTGGAATAATTGGATTGGGTACGCTGGCATCTTTAAGAGCAAATGAATATGATTTAGGATCTATAGGTATTGTACGATTAGGACGTGCCGCAATTACTGTTTTCATAATTGGGAGACATTATAAAAATGAACTATATGGTAGTAACCTAAACTCAAATACTCAAGAATATTTAGAGTTAAAGTCAAAAGTACATAAATATGGAGCAGAAAAGCTTCTGGAACTTTGCTGTGCCAATAAAGGTGTTTATATAAAAGTAGGCCAACATATCGGTGCATTAGATTATTTATTACCATCAGAATATGTTCATACCATGCGAGTATTGCACAGTTCTGCACCGCAATCAACATTTAAAGATGTACTCACTGTAATTAAGGAAGATTTTAAGAAAGATCCATATGAAATATTTGAGAGTATTGACTCCAAACCTTTGGGTACTGCCAGTTTAGCACAAGTTCACAAAGCTGTACTAAAAAATGGTGATGTTGTTGCTGTTAAAATTCAACATCGAGCAGTTAAAACTAACTCTTATGTAGATATTAAAACCATGTCAGCTTTAGTAAAAATAACATCATTAATATTTCCAGATTTTAAATTTGATTGGCTTGTAGATGAAACTAAAAAGAATATTCCCAAAGAATTAGATTTCACTCAAGAAGGAAAAAATGCAGAAAAAGTTCAAAATATATTTTCACACTATCACTGGTTAAAAATACCAAGAATATATTGGGAAATTTCATCATCACGGGTTTTAACAATGGAATTTATTGAAGCAGGTCAAATTAATGACCTGAAATACATTCAAGACAATAATTTAAATCCCTATGAAGTTAGCAGTAAATTAGGCCGACTTTATAGCCATATGATATTTATTGTTGGTTTTGTACACTCTGATCCACATCCTGGTAATGTTTTAGTCAGAAATAAAAATAATGAAGCAGAAATCATACTATTAGATCATGGATTATATGCCAATCTTTCTGATAAATTTCGATGGGAATATTCCAAACTCTGGTTAGCAATATTAGATGGTAATAAAGCTGCAATGCAAACACACTGTGCAAATTTAGGTGTTGCAGATATGTATGGATTGTTGGCTTGCATGGTATCAGGAAGATCTTGGAACACTATTATGACTGGTGTACAGAAAACTAAATATGATTCGCTAGAAAAACAAGAATTTCAAAGAGAAATACCAAACTTATTACCTCAAATTAGTCATGTGTTAGAGAAGGTGAATCGACAGATGCTATTAATTCTTAAAACAAACGATCTTATGCGTTGTATTGAATATTCTTTACATACGGAATCTAGAATGTCCGGAATGATGGAAATGTCAAAATGTTGTATACTTTCAGTATACGGAGAAAAACTAAAATCTTGTACCACTAGATGGGCAAAATGGAAAGTTTCTGTATTTAAACAATGGGCACTTTTTAAATGGACAATGTATTACTTTTATTTAGGGATATTAAATTTCAATATAAAGGATTCTGTAGATTCATTCATGAAAAATGAGTTTTATGCGCTTTAACAATACATTACTTTTAGGAGAAATAAAACATATTTCTTTAAATTAAATGAGTAATCATTGGAATCGTATAATTAAAGATTTTGTAGGTAAAATTAATTTTATATATTTAATAAATTTGTTAAACTTGTAAATCTTTTTGTACAAAATATGCAAATAAATATTTCATATTTACTTTTACACGCGAAGTGAGAAAAGGAAAATACATTTTTTCTCTCTATCGAATAGAAAGATATCTAATATAAACAAATATTTACGATTATATAAATGAATGTTAATGTTAATAATAATTTATTGCAAGTATGTGCCTATGTTTTACACTAATTCCATGAATATTATAAATTATCCGTTTTTACAATATATATATAACATACAGATTGTTATCTACATTGTTAGAAAAAATAAATTGTCTCATATCAAAGACCTAAGAAAATGTACTTTGTTAAATAATTTAAAATATGTAATAAAACAATTTTACAATAAATTGAAAATAAATCATTTTCGTTGTAGTACTTAATCTTCAATTTTATTTAACTTCAATACTTCGTTATAAATTTATACGTATACATAGCGTTATATTTTTACTTGAAAAACGCAATGATTAATATAAATTATATGCTTTCAAGCCATTAACTATCGCATTATAACATTTTTGTTTCATTAGGTATTATTTCGAGGCTGTTATGATTTTGAATATATGTTTTCTACGTCATTTATTACTCACGCCGTTCAAGTAAATTTTATTTCGCAGAACTGCTATTTTTAGTCAAAGTTCAGCAAGTACGTATTGAAAACGTATCTTTCCTGCGTCATTTATTACTCATACACTTCATATGTATCATACACATGTATGTATGCGTATATATGCATACGTACAAAGTATATATTTTATACATTATGAAGTCATGAGAAAAGGAAGAGTATACAAGTCGCGTACATGATTTCTGCAAAAGTTTGTTTATATTAAATATATTATTATAAAAATGAAAACTTTTTAACGATGATAATTTTGTAATCAAATATGTAAAAAACGTGTTTATTGTTATACATTTAATTGTTACAACTTGAGATGTACAATAAACATATCCATTATTCTAGCAAAAGGAAAATAACCAGAAAGGAAAGCGTCCTTTTACATTTCTTAGGTATAACGACAGTTATACTCATCGGCGTTGCCACGTTTCAAAGCACCTATTGCACGTATTTTAATATTTATAAATCAATACCATCATGTTTAAGTTATGTCACTTATAATTTGATTTTAAATAGTTATTTATGTAAAAGAAAGCAATAGCTTATTATAAATTAACAAAATATATTATATTTGTTCAGCATGAATTGATATCTTTCACTATTTTTATAAGTTTTTAAAATGTATATTTATTTAAACTAAAAACAATGTTTTGTAAGTTTCGTATGTAAAAATAAATGTATTTTATTACTGAGATTATTGATTATTTGGACAACGTTTATTCAACGTTATAGAAATCGTTCAACAGTGTAAGGAATACATATTTTCAATGCATAATCCGTGAACGGATAAACCGTATATTTATTTTACCTGCAAAAATGCATTAGCAAAAACGTAACTTGTAAGTGATAAATAGGAAATTCGGGAAAATCCAATAAAATTAAGGTGTGGTATAACATTGATCCAAACAAATCGAAGAAATTTGGCAACGTTGGAAATTATCCGTAACGGAATAGGTATACGACGGAATGTATGGAACAGTGGGGAGTTGACCGCAGTACGCATTCTTACACTGAATACTATTTTCTAAATCATAAAATTATATTCAATTTCATAAAGTATTTATAAAATTTAGCAGTGCAATTGTAATGTGAATATTTGGAAATAAACAAAATCAAAATATATTCAGAAAACTATTAATAATTGAAAATTTAACAGGAACTACTTTCTATTGATCGAGCGTAGGGACACTACTTAACTCGAAGCGGAGGGTATATAAAGCCTTTTCGACGAGTGACGCGGTGGCATTTCCTGAGTCGTCCTCATACGGTGAAGGCTGTATCTTGCTCGCTGGTTCGAAGTCTCGCTATTGTGGGGTTTTTCTTCCATTGTTCGACGAAAAACCCGAGCCAGATACAGGTTGGTGTACCTTTTACTTATTCAGTAATTAGGTGAAAGAAAAAAAGTTACGAAAGTCAGTTGTAAAGTACGTGTGTAATGACTGTTATTATCATCTACGTACTAGTTAATTTCTCAAGAAAATGAAATAGAGTATTTATTCATACTGTGTCATCGTTGGAAAGAAGACATCCCGACTTCTACGAACAAGCAGAAAGGAGAACTACGTTTAGAAGCAAGAAATCATGGTAGCTACCAATCGAGTTCGAGATATCGATATCGATAGACCGAGCCATACCGAACAGTTAGCTAATTGGATCAGCAGAGTCCGCTGCAAGAAGTTAATGTGTCGCCGAAGTCGCAAACGCGATTTACGCGTTGAAGCAGTGCTTACTTGTGCACTTTTTAAAGCCGAACATGAATTGCGCAGTAAACAGTTATCTCGCATTTCAAAATGGCAGCAATTTAAAAAGCAATTTTTGAAAGACACAGACTATTCGAATTGTCACTTTTATAACAGCAAAGATCTGAAGAACTCAAAATCCTGTGAGGAGAACAATCCATGGCAAGGCCCTTTATGTCCCGAATTGAGCAGTTTGGACAATTTCATGTCGAAATTGGGTGAGATCAAGGTACCATTGCAGCGGTGAAGAGACTTGAAAAACAGGCGACCGGGTCTGAAAAACCTAGGAACGCGATGGAATCAATTACAGAAGACGATAACTTCGTTGTCAGTGTTTTGTCAATTAAACATTGACTTTAACAGAGCACAGCCATGAAGGAGTTTCGAATGATACAGTACCGCATCGCGTTGGTACTGTGGGACTAGAAGTCACATTACTATCCTGGTGTATATCTGGATATTTTTTACTTGCAGTCTCGCCGTTTGAGATGGCAATGGGACGGGCGGAGGGAGTTGCTGTTTGCAGTGATGCTGGGTGTACATGCAGAAAGGGGGATCCCAATGTTCTAATCTACGCCTTTCATCGGTTTGGTTTGTAAACTGTATCGGAACAAATGCATTTCCTTTTGCAACTTTCTGTAATAATGTTGTTTGACCTCGTAAAAAACCATTCAAAGAGCGTTTGATCAATTGTTTATTTTTTCAGAAATACAGCGACTTACATAAAACATGTATTTGTATCGTGTAATTCTAGAAGTTTGTACAGTACATTTTAGATACTATATAGATTAATAATAGAGCTTTGTTCAAAGGATTTGTTATATCGTGCCAAACGTTAATCGAAATTTTTTTTGTAACAATTGTGATATAGCCGAAGAGGAGCCAAAGAATTAAAATAATAAATGTTGAAAAAAAAAAATCGACAATTTTTTCTATAATCACTTAAATCATCACCATTATTAATGCCAAAAATCCTTTTCAGTCTGGCATACACCTTACAAAATTCTATCACACGCAAGAGATCGGTGCACATATCCAAGCTGTTGGTCATCAGCGATGCGGTTCGGTCTGTCTGTATGTGAGATCAGGAGTGGTGAGAGGTGGTATGGGATAAGGAAAAAGGGGGCAATCATCTTTGTTCTTAGAAATACTTACCTGAAGTTTGGTGACTGAGTTGCACAATGCTGAAGTAATATGCACAAGTACTACCTTCATTCTGTGCTTCTCTCTTGAGAATCCAACCGTTGACTAAGTCTTGAAATCATCTGGGTTGCGGTTGAACATAGGCATACCATGACAAACTGCAGCACACTCGAGCAAATCCTGTTTGGTGAGCTAATCCCTTTTATCCGTTACCTGTGCAAATATGTTTTCTCAGGTCCAGAAGGTTTTACAATACCTACTACCAAGTTATACGAGTTCTACTCATTGACCCGTGTACCATGCGAAGTCGACTAAACTGTGGACACATCCGAAGAACTGTTATAATAGCCCTGTTTGAATTAGGAATAAGAGTCCTGAGGTATGGAATAATTCGATGCATGTCTCTTGAACCTAGATGATCCAGAAAGGCCAAGTACTGCAAGTAGCATCATTTAATTTTTATAAGGGCATGCATATATATATTTATATGAAAGGGCTCAATGTTGATACTTTTGAATCTCTATCATTACGCTGAACATGTATTTTGCGTCAATCTGCTGCCGAATGGATTACATTCACTAATGTATTTAGTATTGCTGCATTATTCCTCATATGCCAAAGCAAGGAAAAGACATCTTCGTAATATACGTTCTATATTATTGAACAAAATTTCTGATGAGGTGTATGGTTAAAAGTTGGGCAAGCAAGGCATAGAAACGGCGGTTCATATGTTATAGATATAAAATGCAGAAAAGTATATTTATGGTTATAATTTGAAATCAGGGTATTTTGAAAATTCAACAATAGCGTGAAGTATATACAAATAAGCATCAATTAATTCTTAAGTATATGTAAAATGTTTACCATTGTCATGAAATGGAATTACGTGATATTTTTAATTTGAAGGAAGTATCGTTATCACGGATAACTGAGAATAGTCGTGGAACTGGCAGGTGGAAGTTACTTTATTAAGGGTGGTGTATTTATGTGAACGGCCCAATGGTGGTTTCAAGTTGGCTTAAAGGAATTCGATTTCTTTATAAGTTAGAAAACGTGGTATCAAACGTATCTTCATAAATATTATTTTGAAATGTTGCTTTTCCAAAAAGATTGTTCGGGTGTTTTTGTTTTATACTGCAGGAGTGGCTGGAAAGGTAAATGTGGTGTATAAGCGACCATGGCAGGCAAACAGTCCTGTTGCTGGAGCGCGTCACGTTCATGTTGATCGAAGGTATATGCTGTATTTTATGTAGAATATTGTAGAAAGTGGGTTGGAAGAGATGGACGGGGGGTGGGGGTGGGGTAGAGTACATGTTATGTTTCAGCTAGAAAATGAGCTAGAGAACGCGTTTAATCAACTATATGCTTCACGATCTTGACCTACACATTACATAAATTCTGACTGGATCCTGAAATAGTTCCTACTGAAAACTGATGAAATACTTGATTTAAATGTAGACTACACTTTTAAGTAAAGGCAGTATGAAAAAAGGTAACAGCATAATCGCAAGCAGTTAAAATTGTAAACCTTATATACGTATAAGTAGTAGGGGGATATGGGAGATGGGGTGTGCAATCTTGTATTGTGAGCTACAGGGTTGATGCTGTTGCTACCCTTATCTGCGATGGATGAAATCGGAAACGGAATTCCTTGATAATGGATGGATGCACCTAAGCCGATCGTTCTATGTTTAGTAGCAGAAATTGATTCTACAGTTTCAGTAATTCGAAGCAGACAGCCCACACACGATAGTCCAATAAGCATGGTGTAATTGTAAGTTTTCCTGCATTTAATTCAATTCGGCTGTTGAAGGATTTGGAGATGTTCAACGAAACATTAATTGAGGAAAGAAGAGGATGAGAAGAATATGTTCTGTACAGAAACGTATTTCCGTTTTGGTTATAGTGTTATCTTCGATAAGATATATTTTAGATCGACGAGGGGTGATCCATTCCAGCATGAATAACCTATCGATGAATTCTTAAATGTATTTTGGAGATGCATTTTATGTATAACAGTTTTAATAGAACTCGTGTGACTACGTATTATGAGAGAAGTACTTGGAGAAATTGGGGAGGGCTGCAAAACAATCTTCTACATTTTCTTCACAGAAAAAGAAATAAACAGTTGGCCAAATATTTGAAGCCATCTCATTGCAAAATAGAAGTACAGTGGCGTTAAATTAGACTGCACGCAACATATGCACTTACTAAACTAGTCTTCTTCAAATTTATCGATAACGGACTGATCATAATATCTTGAGTATCTTTGGTGGATTTGTGATTTTTGCTTCAGGAATGTCAAGAAAATTTCATGAATGAAATCGGACTGTACTGCAATTTTATAGGGGAGAATCCTTGTATATCGAAGTACATTTGTATGTATGTATGTATATATTATTTTTAAAAATATTATTTTTATCACGTTACTAGGAGTGAGGAAATTTATGCTAAATAGCAATATTTTGAAAAGCAATAACTCTAAAAAATTTGAGGTATACATATTTAGAAGTTTATATAAAACATTAGCCTCTGTGGCCACATGAAGATGAGAAAAATCAAATCAACCGTCGCCATTGGATTTTTATCGCATTATAGTAAGTAACAGTTCGATTAGGTTTTGATATTAATCGTAATATATTTGCCGAGTTTGAAATTTAATTATATCTATAAATTGAAATTACAAATCTATCTATGAAATATTTCATGTTTTGAAATTGACAGTGAGTGTTCACATAGTGAGTTATGTTCAAAATAATTTGTTGTACTCTGCAAAAGATGTTCCATCAGAAGAACTTGATACAAACAACTGATTATGATAATTGGAGCTTCATTGAAAGAAAAATTTTTGATAAAGTTTGGTTTTAAATGAAATTATTGGTTTATTTTAAAATTGAGTTATAATGTGCTAAAAGTGTTGAAAGTTACAAAATATGAATTAAGTTTGTGATTATGTGGAAATGTGAAATGTTTGAGGATGTTATAACGATTTTAATAATGGTTTAAAAACTAAGTAAAAAAAATGATTTATATACATACATATGTATCAGATAATCTAAGAACATATTACGAACAGTATTATAAGGTTTTTAGTGAGTGAAAAGAAGTTAGTTTTATCAAAGACGTCGAATTTTCAGAAGTGATCAGAAGAGTAAAAGCAGTTTGTGATTTAGCAGTTAGTATTTTCTAATCGTTCTATTATAGTTTTGACCACTTATTCATTTTTGTTCTAGGTCCTTAATTTAAAAATTTAGAATTTTATATAGTTTGTGCTTGTGTAATTTAATGTATGATTGCAGACTTGACTTACCATTTTAAGAAAAACATAATAGAATGAAATGGGTTAGGCCAGAAAAATTTGCTACTAATTGTTTGTTAAGTAGGTATATTTGAAAGAAATTAAGTTGACATAAAAGAGGCAGTTGGAAAATTGAAACTAATATGTTTCATAAGAATATTCCTATGCAAATGCGCACATCTGTATAATGTTGTAATATCTTTCTGCCATGGAAAAGATAATGCAAGTATAAAGCTCCTAAAGTTCAATTTTAACAAATGGGAATCTGTACTCAGATAAGTTAAACACAATGTGACATTTTTAGGATTTACACATTACATAAATTACACAATTGTTTCATGTGGAGTAGTTAGTAAGTCTATATTTTTTCATGTTTCATGTTTCCCTTTTGGAAAAAGTTAATCAGATGTTTTAGAAATTGATCATGAATTCGTGCTAACTAAAAAATGAAAATACACGTCACCCTGGAGAAGTATAAATACGAAAGCAATTTTGATCTCGATTCATTGTCACGAAATATGGTTTTCTGACTCGTTGGCAATTTTGTGGATGTTCAGTAACTGGAAAATCGAATGAAATTGTCGAATCTTTTTGTGGGTTTTCTTCTATTTTCGGATGAAAAAATCGAAGGGCAGATTATGAAGTTTGAAATGGATGGAGAATTTGATGCTACAACTCGCAAATTTAAATCAGCTACATCTGCGTTGATCGTTATTCTATTCTCTGATGGCAATACGAGTTCAAAAAGGGGAGAGCTGTTGCATTTTCACTTGGATTTTTCAAAGGATTTATTGAATAGGCATTTTGAGATAGGGGACAACATATGATGCAGAGTTCCAGCAGAAACGCCTTCTTTTTTTATTAAAAAAAAGTAAGGACTATCTGATTTAAAAGTAATGTAGAATTCGATTTGTGAGGAACTATAAATTTCTGTTTCGTTTCAGATTTGTTTTCTGGATGCTGACATTCTAGTATGTTTCATCGAATGTTATCTAACAGTATATTTTTTTCAAATTTAATCAAGAGCTATTTTCTTATTTGAAAAATGTTCATGAATATATTAGAAGTGCCAAACGTTTGATCTTCTTCATGGTATAAAAGAAATACAAATAGTATTTCTAATATTATTAATATTGCTTCGAGAAATCGTTTACATCGTGATGTCAATTGTGTGTTCAAAAATAATCAGAAATGCAAATGGGAAAAAGTTTCAAATATATTGCAGAATTTAACTGTTTAGATATTTGATACTTTTGCAACGTTGAAAAATGATAATGAAAAATGTTACATATGAATTTTGAACAGAGTTTTTGGAAATTATGGTTGTAACAAAATCGCATTAGAATTATTGAAAAAACCTGCTACGAAGAATTGAAATCGGAAAAATTATAGGAATTTGTATTAAAAGCATTTTTTTTTGGAACAATGTGAAACGCATATTCATGAAGTGTAAAGGAAAAAGTATTAAGCTAATAGTACTAATCTAGTTGAACTAGATTTTATTAAGTATAAAAATGAGTTACAACCTTGAATTTCTTCTCGCGAAGAATCAACGGAATTACGTTAAACGACAAAAAAAAATCATAGATTGAAGAAGAAAATGCTAATGCGAAACATTTTATGGGTAAAAAAAAACTAAAAGATATGAGTCCAAAACTTCTGAAATCAAGAAAATGATAAAGGGGGAGCTCGATCATACTGGAATTCGGATGTTAATATGAAACGACATGAAAAGGAGGTTGAAATGTCGTATCGTGGAATGAAGAAAATATTAACATTGAACTTTATAGGATGCATATGTTACAATTTCGTGGAATAATAGCGAACAAAACAAAAAAAGAAGCTTGATAAAAAGGTGCTCTCATACGGAATTCCACAGAAGATTCAAATAAAGGTAATCAGTTCGAGATATTTTGTTGCACACGGAAGTCTAATAGCTAAACTTGATATATGCAGAAAACATTAGTATACAGAATTTATTCGTATAATATTTTATGGGGTGTAGATTTCATCATGGGATTGTGTAAAAGTCGGATAATTTTCAATCCTGAGGAGTGGTAAGATAGACAATTGCTAAATTCGAGGCTTCACGGAATGCGAATAATGATGTATGGACATCATGGGATTTTGACGGAACGATTTTTATGGGATACGAATAATTGGTTTCGTGAGACTTCGTGGGATGGATATAGTTTTCGATCTGGAAAACAGTTTTCAAGCCGCATGGGATGCGGATAGTAACCGTCGCCGTGGGACTTCGTGGAATGCGGATAGTAATCCTGTCAACGTGGGACTTCGTGGGATGGGGGATAGTATCCTGTCAACGTGGGACTTCGTGGGACTTCGTGGGATGGGGGATAGTATCCTGTCAACGTGGGACTTCGTGGGATGCGGATAGTAATCCTGTCAACGTAGGACTTCGTGGAATGCGGATAGTAATCATCGTGGGACTTCTTGGGATACTAATAGTAACCGCCAACGTGGGACTTCGTGGGATACTAATAGTAACCGTCAACGTGGGACTTCGTGGGACGTGGATGGTTATCAACGTGGGACTTGGTAGGACGCGGATAGCTGTCAACCTAGGACATCGTGGGACATCGTGGGACATGGATAGCTGTCAACATTGGAAGATATCGCGAATAGCTGATGACGTAGCATTTCGTGGAATTTTGACGTATATGGAAAGAGTCACCGATGGACTCTGTGGAATCTCGTAAAGTTTACTGCCGATTCTTGACCAAGTAGAACATAAACATTTGTAAATGTGGGATTTCGTTATACTTCGTAGGACTTGGAAAAGAGAAGGCTACTTCTAATATTTCTAAATTTAATGAGATAAGAAAAAGCATTAAACTTGAGATGCGAAAAAGATTGCTATGTCTGAACTTCATGGGATAAGGATAATCTCAATGTAAGATTTAATGGTAAATAATAATTTGTCGATATAACAATGTTTGAAACTTTGTAACGCGAAGAATTATTTTCAATCATTCAGGACTTTTTGAAATTGAAAAAAAACGTCAATACGGAATTCCATAAGATGCGAATAGTTTTCAATTTTCTATTTTCGTGGGATCAAAGGATTCAACATGGGACTTCGTGGGATGTTCCTGAAGAAGAGGAGAAACTAGCGCGTCGTAATTTCATTAAGAAGAATGTACAAGAATGAAAAGAAGATACCAGCAATGAAGACTTCGTAATAAGAAAAAGTGAATTGCGCATTTTCGAATTTTGCGGATAGCTAAACAAGGTACCAAAAACTGGGAATAGGTAAGAAGATATTAGTAAAGTAAAAAATTGGTAAAATAAATGTAAATTATGAACACAACTCTTAAAAGACATGAGGTGTATATAATATATAGAAATATGATCCATTTTCCAATAAATTGTTAGGATGAATTTTTACGAAAAATAAATTTTTGCATACGTACGACTGTGATATTAGACTTAATGGTAGTATGTAAGTATTCTAATTTTCCGTGTACCTAAAAGAAATAAAGAATCAATGTTATCAATGTAGTTCCTATAAAATTTAAATAAAGAAAATGAATTAACCAGCGATGTTGTAATTATGTAAAAAAAAAAATGTACAACTTTGAAATTTATCAGTAATAAAGATGTTAAAACATATTTATAGTGTATTCGATAAACCATAACATTTAAGTTGAAACTACCTTTTATGTTTATTTTGAAAATTTTTTATTTCCATACAAATTACATTAGTTAAAGACCGAATAGTACGAAAATTGATTAGAGTTTTAGTCTTTTTATATCTTCCGGGCGAAAATCTATCCTTAAAGAAGCAATTCGTCGAACTTCCGCGGGTGTCAATCTCCATGCTATTGCATCTGCACCGCAGTAATCGGCTAGTTCTTCCACTTTTTCTACGCTTAATATGGTAGCTATTTGCGTTAGACGTGCAAACTTATCGCGTACAGACCAAGAAGTAACTGCAGCTAAATAACTTGCTAATGATCTAATTTCTTTATCAAGTATGAGACCTCCTGCCTAAATTGAATGAAAATTAATTATAAATAGACGTATAAAAACATTTACATATAATCTACATACCCTATTGAAAGTCGACTTTAATACAACTTTTTCAAAACGAGCTGTAACTTCAGCAGTAAGAAGACCAATTAACGCATCGTAATTAGATGTTGTCAGACTTCCTTTAAAACTTTGAAGCAGGCCGTCTAAATGCATGATTAATGTTTGTACAAAAGGCTCTTCCGTTTCGTATCTTAATAAATCATCCTGAAAATATATTCATTTTTTTAAATAGCCAGAGATGACGTATAATCATTATTTACCTCGTTCACGTGATGATCTATCGACAGAAAAGCATCAACCCAAGGCGTAACTCTAGGTTTAACAGCGCTTACGCGTAACTGTTCTAAGCCATAATCTGTAACAGCTCGCAAAATCGACATAACGCCTTTTAAACCAGACAAACAACTATCAATTTTGCCCCTCTCTTTATCTTGCATATTAGGAAATGTGGCATCTATTTCTGTGCTAAGGCTTTTGCACAGTGTCTCAACATATTCGATACTTACATCGGTATTGTTTAGATATGCCTAAATAATGAATAAGTTAGATGTGTAAATGTATATAATTTCGAATACTTTCGAAATTGTAATTAATGTTACCAAAAACATTAAACGAGCGAGTTCGGTATCTGAAGTTTGTAGACGACCGTGTTGAATACTTGTTTGAAGAGCGCTATAAGCTTGAGCCAAATCTAAATATCCAGCTGGATAACCTTGTCGTAATCGATTTCGTAATCTATTTGCAAATTCTCCTTCTAAAATACCACAAGCCATATTAACCACGGCACATACTCCGTCTATGCTCCAACTCGACATAGAACGCCTGTAAACAATAACAATAGAAAATGAAATCGAAATGTAACAATATAATATCATTTAATGTAACACGTAATAAATATCTCTTCACACCTAATACATTTTTGTACTATGAAGAAAACATCGTCAACCATGCTAGATGTTAGCTGATCCTGATCCAAGGTGTCCATCCCCAATGCTTTGCTCACACTTTCTTCGAGAAAATACCTTTCTAAAGCAAGATATGCGCCCAAAAGTTCTTGCATTCCACGTGCTAAATCAGAATTACTAATAATAGTTTCAAATTCATTCATTAAGTTTTTAAACTGTGCGTCGTTTGTTGCACTAATTTCTATATCATTCTGTAATAAGAATTACGTATTTATTTGAAGACTTTGTATCATGGTAGAAACATGAAATTTACCTTAACTCTCCTTTTTAAAAATCGAATGTATAATTCTGCTCGTGAATGCATTATGGTAATTTCTCCTAATAATAAGTCAAATTCTTTAGGATCTGCCCTTTCAGAACTTGGTTTTCGAAGATGATCATTCACCATCTGTATTTTTTTAGATATACATCTGTGCTTCATAAATTCTGCAATAATCTTTTTAGCTTGCCTATTTAAATAGTATTAACTGATTATAATTAATATAATTTTTCACGAGTAAACACAATTTATGTACCTGTCACATTCTTTTTGCAGAACAGAAATTGTCATTAACAATCTTCCAGGTCCATAATACGTTTCAATTATTGGTTGATGTATTTCTACGATTCGAGCAATTCCCTCAAATAATAATGTCATAGTATCGGCAAAGATAACCGAAACTCTTTTATCATTACTTTTAATTTCCAAAGCTGCTTTCAAATTTTTTTGCGCCGTTTCGTGTAACTAATATCAAACATTAAAAATTAAATAAAAAACTATAGTTTATAACTTTATTTGCTTTCAATATATTGTTCGCTATATAAATTAACTTATTACAATGTAATAATACATTTATTACCTTTGTACATAAATAACTGCAAAACTTTTTAAGTCCTTCAATATGCATTCCCAATAAAGGAAATATTTTGAAGAACCTTTCAACAGAAGCAAGATCTTCTGACTTGACTGCTTCATCAAATTTATGAGTAACTACGGTTCTAAGTTGCAAAGCAGCTTGTTGTAAAGTAATTAGAGAACTACTAATGCTGGTATGATCCATCAAGATATCTTCAGCTGTTCTTTCTAATAATTGTTGATCCATTGATAGGTAACGATGAACATGCGCAGCTCCTTGCTCGTAGTCTTCATTACGCAATGCCATAGCTACTCCTTCACTGCATAATTGTAAATCAAGAATGTCATTAACGCGTCTTTGACATTCATATACTCTGCTCTATAATAATACAATAATTAAAGGATTAATAACATTTTGCATAGCATGATTAATACTTGAATATGAAAATAAATATTATAGCTTAACCTACCCTTGCTAAATCTAATTGTCTTACTTTAGCGCTGACATTTTTTGCTAAATCATTGGTATGCGCAATCATACTGCAGAATTTTTCTCCTTCTGTACGTATGATGTTAACATTAGGTAAAACTTTGCTTATATTTTGCAGTTTTGCTTCTACATGATACTGTCTTGAAAGTATACCTTCTAAATTTTGTTCTATCCTAATCTGAAAAAATAGTTATTCTTTAAGCGGCTTTACATACATAGTATAAAGTTTATGTAAATATAAAAAGTTTATAAAACCTCATCTTCCTGTAATTTATCAAGTATCTGTGTCAAATTTTGTTCGTTTGGAGATAAATCCATCACACACATTGTATATTGCTCTATTTAAGAACTTGATAAACAGATAAATATTTATTTCAATTCACACAAATTGACAATGATTATAAATTCCAGCAGTGACATATTTTCCAAATTTTCTTGAGTGTTACATGATTTGTAATTATCTCAATTCAACAAAAGATGTAAGTGGAGTGATAATTACTTATTTCGTATAGATATTGTTATTTAATTTCTATATGTATATTTCCTACATATATATATTACATGAATATATACGTTTATATTACTTTATATATATATATAAAGAAGATTGTATATATTTTATATAATAAAAAAAAAAGAAATACCAATAAATTAAATTTCAAGATGTTAAAGAAAAATTATAAAGAGATTACGATACATTTGTCTAACATTAGTTACATATTTTTATTATAATATAAAATAGAATTGAACGAATAAAAATTGAAAACAACGCTGTTCATGAACATCGATGATTGCCCAATGAAAACGCCTTTAAGGTGTTCAACACATGCATCGAAACGTCCCACGCATCGCGCGTGGTTTCTGTAGGAAGTTGAGTTCTTTTCGCGCATCTTACGCGTTTTCCTGAAGGAAAATGGCTACCAGCTGTCATTTAATCGGAAAGTGTGGCTTATAGAGTGACATAAGATTCAGTGAAAAATTATTTAATGTGTAGAAAACTGCCTGACGCGATGCAATTACATAACGTTGAAATCGTACAGTAGATCGACGCCAATTTTCATCTACATGCGGAACCCGTAAAACCTTCCACAGTGCCATGAAATTCTATTCCGCTCTACTGTTTACAGTTTTTATTTTTCGTCAAACGTATCAGAACTAATGCGTTAACGCTACTTCCACAATTTTTCGATAATTTCAACATTTCGACGGCCACTTTTCGATCGTTACTAATAATTTAACTGCACTACGCATTAAGGGCCGCAAATTTTTTGCCTCACTTACAATTATTATTTTGGGAGCGCATTCATTGATAATACGGTAAAAATATAATCAATAATATTTTTATATGTATAGAATTATAAAAGATACGATCATTTATCTTTCATTATTTCATATTGATAGTCATTCTGTGATTGCACGTCGTAACTTGGTATATGTTTCTTTGACATTTGTAGAAAAATTTGGTTTTATTTCAGATAACCAGTATGGGTTCGAGTCAACAATTTTCTCTTAGGTGGAATAATTATTTGAAACACATTACGTGTGCTTTTGACACATTAAGGACAGAAGAAGATCTTGTCGATGTAACTTTAAGCTGCGAGGGTAAAAGAATAAGAGCGCACAAAATGCTCTTATCGGCGTGTAGTACATATTTTAGAGATTTATTTAAGGTAAATTGAAGCGAATATATCTCTTATCTACACGATTATAAATCACAAATAAATACGTTGGAACATATATTTTATTATAGGAAAATCCTTGTCAGCATCCAGTTATAATATTTCGTAACGTGAAATTCGATGATTTAGCTGCCTTAGTTGATTTTATGTATCAAGGTGAAGTAAACGTAGTTCAAGAACAGTTAGCAAGTTTTTTAACTACCGCCGAATTATTAGCTGTTCAAGGTCTTACAGATGGTACAGGAAAAGATAACGACAGTTTAGTAGAGGTGAGTTTCTTGAAATTGACATTCGATTAAAATAATACATTTTGATCTTATATACATATATGTATTATAAATTACTCTACAGGATGATATGGAACTTCCTAACGAACCTGAAATTCAACTTCAAAATGCTGCCAGCAAAACAATGGATAGTAAAAGAAATAAGTCACCATCATCGCCGATGCCTTATCATCCCATCGATATACAACCCGACGCTCCACCAAGCAAAAGACGAAAATGTCGGGAAAATGCGAATACAAATGCAGATAAGACTGTAGGTAATGCTTTATCTACGAAAGACTCCGAAAATAAATCATCGGAAAATCAGTCGACGGCCGGCTCGGATCCCGTTGAAATAATTCCTCTTATGCCAAATTTGAAATTGGAAATGCCCGAGTATTTAGTACAAGATGGAAGTAGCTGTAGTTACGAAGAACAAAGTTTAGGAGACAATTCGCTAAATAAAATTGGTATAGAAGATACATCTTCTAACACCCCGGAACATGATCAGAAACCCGACATCACTCAAACATTCTATTCAAGTAATCAGTCCACTTCGGATAGTATGGATCTCAAACATCAGTCAGCGGATGTTGGTAAGACTTTTATCAATATATTTAATGACGGTTAATAGCTGATTAACATTGCAATACTCTTTTGAAATGCGCCGAGAGATATGTTGTATAATTTTGTCTTTCAATTAGGCCACTTACTTTCAAAACCTAGTACATCCGGAGAAAGGTTAACGCAAGAGGCAGTACAGGGTAAGTGTTTTTTAATTAGTATTTGTCTTAACATTTTTACGATAAATTCGATGCTTTGTCATATCTTTTAAATTTGTATAGAATGCATTGGTAAAAATGCATAATACAAGAAGAAAATTTACTGTCGAATATCTCACGATAGTATTATATTTTTGAACGAAAGAAATGGCATTGCCGAATGATTGAACGTTTTGTACCCATGCGTGAGTATGCACCGATATCCATTGATTTAAAAACGTTCCTTAGGACAATAACGTGCAAACGCGAATTCGTGTCTCGTTTCTAACGTCTTTTAAGAAAACACCTCCGCGTTACGTGGGTACAAAACGATTATCTACATCTTTATATTTAACTTCCATTAACTTTCGATTATTTCTATGAAATTTTGGTGACAAAAATCATAGACCTAGGAGGGAAACTAATTTTAATATTTAATTTGAAACGATATACGAGAATTTCTTACGATAGAAATTACGTAACATATCAGTAGCATATAGAACTTTGTATTATTGTTACGGGCACAGAAAATTTTGTTCGCGTAAGATCGACAGAGATAAAGACAGTAGTATTTTGTACGAACAAGAGAAATTTCAATTTTTTCAATTATTTAGAAATTTGATCAGATGAAAAGAGAAAAGAAAGAGGAAACATTGCAAAGAAATGTTGTCGTTCGAAAATCATAGGTTTTGGATACTAGGTTCTTTAGATCCTACGTCCAAAATACATTTTTTTTTTATTCCATTTAATTGCAAAAAATATTAGGACCGCTTTGACTGAAAAAAGAAAAGAACGATCGCGTGGCAAAACATTGACGCGTAAACGTTTCACAATTACTTATTTGCCGGAGAAGTGCATTTTCTGTTGTGAAAGAATGTTACCTTATTTCTTATTAATTATTTAGCTGTACAATAGCGTAGCACAGTGTGCATGATTTTTGGACATAAATGTATTGGTATAGGCACTCGGGTGTAGGTTGAACCGTAGATTTTAGTAAGCATTGCCAAGTGCTGTATGTGTGCCGACAATCATCAAAAATTTCCTTAATAACTCATACACAAAAGCCACCACTATATTCCTTATGCGCACTAACTGTAAAACATATTTCTGTGTATACACTAAAAAATATCTTTCGATGCTGGTACGAGGTAATTTTTCTTTGTACAGTAGAAACTTTACAGAACGTGCACGCACGCGTGTGTGTAGCAACAATCACACGCGTCCATTTACTTGCATGCAAAGTTAATCTTAAAATTGTCGGGAATTTTCTGCAAATTGTATAACATTGATTTTGAACATTTCAAAATCTCACTTCTCGTATTGTCATTATCGTGATAATAATTTTTCCAATGAAATTGCGAGTACCGACGCTTGAGATTAACTTGCAAACTAGTAATTATTATTCTTACGAGAAATATACGTAGCCTTGCAATACAACTAATCTAAAGTAGCAATGGTGGTGGTGCTGGTGATAATAGCATGTACAACGATCTTTTTCTACAAATATTATCTTGTTTATTCTTTCTTCACATGGTGTATCGTGAATATTGGAAAAAAAAAATACTATACGGTTGCGTGGGAAATCCAATATTATTTAGGTCGAATCGATAAGCGTTTAACGCGCGCGATGGAAATGGTAGGAACGGTGTTCCCTTCGAATTGTTTTCTTTCTACGCGTACAGACAATCGAGATTAATCGTTGAAACGCGCTTTCTCGAAAATAAATTTTGCAAACGCGACCCGATCCGAAATACTTTTGCTGTCTATTTTGTAAAAGGCAAATTTGACAGGTAGGTAAGCGGAATATCCATTGTGTTCGTCGTTCTATCGTTCAGACAGGAGCATGAATCGTTCGAGCAGACGCGAAAGTGTAAATTCTTTCGGGTAAAATTTCCATTCGTTTTCGGTGCAGAAAAACAAATGTAAATCGCGATTGCGAATCATAGGTAACGTAGGTTGCTGTTCAGACACGAAACGAGCGTGTAAACGAGACTTTTAATCGAACACGGCACAAGAATTCCTATCGGTACGCTATCGAGGCTCGAGGTGATGTCAGAAAGGTTGATGCTCGATAATTATAATTAACGAGTGTTTTGTGTGCTTGCGTGGAATTACTCTCCTTTGCTGGTTGTACACGCTAAACCTTGTAACTCTACGTGAAACGACACATATACGTAATGGTAATCGTTCAAATCGACGATACGATGAAAAATTGAGGAATCTTTTATCACGACGATAAGTCGATGGTCGATCGATCGATCGAAGCGACACGATGGGAACAATTAAGATAAGGAACGTAAACGAAACGAATCGGAACGAAACGTCGAAAGAATAAAGGTAACTCCTCCGAGAAAGAGAGTATAGAGAAAATATTTCCGAAAGGATCCAGCAGAGACACGTGTATCGAGATAAAAGAAGCAGAGAAACTTTGTCGATGATCGAACGAAAGAAGGACGATTCTAATCGAAAGGAGAAATTCGCGATCTGCGATCAGTTGCCAGGCTGCGTTGTTAAAAAGCGAAGAGAATAAAGGGCGGTAGGGAGGGCGGTAGAGTAGGAAAGAAAGGGTGATAGGGATAAGAAGTACTGTAAAAAGCAAAAAAAAAAAAGGCAAAAAGCGAAAAGAAAAATAAAAGGTAAAAAATTTCGTGTTTTCGAGGCGAAAGGAAAATGGAAGAGAAACGGAACGGAAGGAAAAGAAAAATAATAGAACGGTGATCGAGAGATTCGGCTAGCACCTGGCAATGCTATATATTTCCACCTAAATACACGCATACACGTACGACAATATATATCGTGTGGGTATTGGTATCGCTGATACTCTAGATTGGCTTTCACGGCTACGGGATTGGTTGGTGCTGGGATTGGTCATTTAAAAAAAAAAACAAAGCAAAGCAAATAAAATTCTGCAAAGCAAAACAAAAGAAAACAAGTAAAAATTGCAATTTGTATACTAATGGTTGCCTGCATGTGCACATGTACTTAAGAACTGACTAACCGAAAGTGTTTGGCCAATGTGTTTTCTCCAGGAGGGATTACGTACGTATCTGGTCAGCCGCATAGCCTCAGCAAAGCAAACGGCCACGGAAAAGTATGTGTACACTGCAAGCAGCGCGGAATGGTCACATCACGTGGAAAGCTCAGGCAGACGCGCTTCAAATGTTGGCCCTGCAATGCCTGTTTGTGCCGCTGGCCATGTTTCGTCGATTTTCACAAAATGCGCGCCATCCCGCACATCCCGCCCCCATAGCACCAACTCGCCCCCTCCGGCCGCCCTCGGTTAATACTTTTACTCAACTAATTAATGCCACCGTCGCCCTGTGCTTCTCTACTATTTCTTCTGTCCTTTTTGTTTTTATACTTCTTCTTCTACGTCCACGACCAGACGTAGGAACGAGAACGCGAACGAAAGTAGCGAAGAACGATGAGGGTGAAAACGTGTGTACTCTGTCTCCGAGTATATCTATTTTACGAGAACCGAGGAAGTAATATAGTACAGTATACAGTGCGTTTCGAAAGGTTGTATATCACGAAGACTGTGCATTCTTTATTTCAAGACAAATCGAAAAGTTTCGTAATGTGGGATTTCGTATTCGAGTAATAAGCAATTAAAAGTTGTCCAATCGATTTCCAGGATGGTTTGTCTAGAATCCTTCCGAAACGATACAACTAATCGCAAGTACGCATCCGCTAAGTATCGTAAACGGCGAAGGGTCGTCCGCGATAGGTTGTCTCGTGACTAGCGAATCGCGGTCGGTCATAGTGGCGAAAGGGTTAAGTCGGATCTGTCCAGCGTAAGGGCCGTTCACGCGCTGCTTTTCCCTTTCCACTTTTCTCTTTTAGCCACGATAGGCTAACATTTCCATAGTCTAATCGCGTTCCTATGCCTATCGTAACAGTATCCATATACTGGTGTTTGCAAGCGCTGCTATATCCCGCATCGGCACTTATTCCATGTACTTACACCTTCGTATTATTCTTTACGTATTATCGAACACTTGATCGTTTACGTCTCGGAAACGAAGTCTCGGATTCTGAAGCGAAGATACATACAGAACTTTTCGGTTTCTTCTCCTACGGACAATTTGTAACTACATTGTTGACGGTGTGCATTTATTTTGAAACGTCCTGTATAAATCGGTCTTGGTATGTTCTTAAATTTCTTCGAATCGCGGTTCGAAAATATTACGAGTCTCGTTGCATCGCGTTAATCGTCTGTTCCTTCGTTGTTCGACGCTGTGGCCGTTCCGTAGTAAAATACAAGGGCAACATTTTCCTTTTCGTCGGAACGTATCGCATTTTCGTCGCGTCGAAGCATCGCTCATTCATCAATCGATTCAACGTTTTTTTAACAATGTAACGTTAACTGCCGATTTAGCGTTTATTTATAAATCGTGTTAATTGTAAATTATCGGTTAGGTTACACAGTTAAGGGACTATTTTAATTGTATATTCGATGATTTTATCGCGCTCGACAATGTTTTTTTTTTTTTATTGATCGACGCATATAGCACGCGATAGAATAGGAAGATCGTTATTTAACTTAATCTTGACACTATACATAAGACTGCGACGAGTAAACTCGTTATCGATATACGCAATTTCTTTTTTATTTTTTACAGTAACGACTCTCTTTCATTCTCTCTCTCTCTCTCCTCTCTCTGTCAGCGACACTTACATAGATACAAATATTGGCATCTTCGTTTACGTAACGGTAATGTTCTAACGTTCGTTCATTTTGTACAAGACGCGCCTATTCGTCGATATCGTTCGACGAATCTTTATTTGTATCTCGATAGACACGTTTCATGAAACGTCGATAACCATAAGTCAACTGCCGTGATATTTAACGATCGACGAGCAAAGAATAAAACGTAAGAAAATACGTAATTTATTTGTTTTTGTACGATATCGAAATTTGCTGATGGATAAGAAGTGATTTTATATAAATACTTTTTAAGTTACGCGTGTCTACATCGGATTTCGCTAGTCCGTGTCGATTA